CAAGCCCCTATCCAATTCGCAGTGTTTCGTCGGACACATCAGATATAGGGGTAAAGCCAGGCTTTTCGCTGTATTTAATTCAACCGTTTAACAACCAGCCATTTCTAACATAGAAAATGACATCAGACAATTCTAGAAAACCAGACACTTTTACCATCGACGATGAAACCTTCACGATGACTTCTGCAGTTATGCGCTGCGTCTTAAAGTAATAAGTAGAAATTTGAGTGTCAGTTATCTTCTCTGTCTGATTTTATGTCAGGAAAGTATGCCTGAAAAACAGATTTTTACCTGAAAATTCTTAAAAGCGATACATTGATCACGTAATAAATTTCGCAATCCTAATTATTTGCACGCTTTCTAATTTGTGGTAATTTTGAAAACAATGGTATTGTGAAAAACTTATGAAAGGAGTCTAATTACAAAGTCTTACAATGTCCATAATTTTATTAGGGACAAATGATGCATATAGAGAAAAGTAAAATACAAGGAATAAATGTAGATGTTTCGATACAAGGACATGGAAAAAAGTAGCTTGTTCTATCGCGTGAAAAACAACACCGTACTAACACTTTGATGCATGATTAAACTAATGAAACATGTTAATAAGAACTAATTGTTGGTAAGAACAATTGAGCCAATTTGACATTTCCTTAACAAAAACTACTCTGAACAATTCCTGGGGAATAATAATTGGCTCATTAATAATAACTATAAGTAAGGCAGCTGTGAAGGGTTTCCTTTCAAAGTTTATCTTGTTCTACGGGACGCTTCACACACGGTTGAGTCCTGGAGAAATACAAGATGGGTACTGCGTGGTTTCTGCCGTTGTTGCAGTTCTTTCTTTTAGTTGGTAAGTAAGACACATCCACTTTTGTTTGAGCTCTATTTTGTCAATAATTTTATCTTTAATGCTGCTTTTCTTGAGAGAACTCTTCGTCAGGGGAAAGCCACGTCACGGCTCGTTAAGAAGACCAACGTCCACGTCAATTTTCCGATTGGTACTTTTCGCGCGCGCTGATTGATGGTTTAAGAGTTTAATTTAGGTCTCTTTTTTGCATACAAGCAGAAATAAAATAATTTATTTGTTTCAGTGTCAGTGGCTAGTGGTGAACATTTATCGCTAACCACCTCCACATCGGCGAGGAGTTGTTAAGAAACATACTAAAACAGTAAGACAATATACTACAAAAAAGATGATTTAAACTCGTTTATTCTGCAGCTATCTGCAGCTGTCACAATCTTTTCGGGCGCCAATACCCCGCTAGTTGCTAAGAGATAGTTTGAGATAACTAATGAGAGCGCGCCTTCAACGCTATCTGCTGTTTTAGTATATACTAAACACCATCATTCACCTCCACTGCGGTGAATGATTGTTAAATAATATTGCTTTTGATCTGAAATTAGAGTTGATAGAATCGGAGATCATCGAGTCAGTACAACCCATGAGTAACAAATAATTCCCAACAGAAAAAAAAAAGCAACAGCGAGACAAAATAAAGTAAGAGAAATGAGAGATGTTTCATGATAACTGGGTTTTTTCTTTTCATTTTCTAGGATTTGCGGCAGGAGGTATGTACAAAACTTTTTCGAAGCATAGTTTAAAGTAACCTTATCGTGGGAAAATAAGACACCCGATTCATATATAGGAGGCATAAACTTTCCACAAAGGGCAGAAAAAAAACCGGGTCAGCTTAATGGGAAATTAGATTCATTTATTTCCCCACCCTCTATGCCTATCGTTGTGCAGGTGTGTCTTTTCTTGGTATTCTTTATGTACTATTTGCGGATGGTATTCGTCTCCTCTCAAAGTATTGTAGTCCCTACTTCCCTTACTGGGCGTTTGTTATTTTCCATATATAGATTGTGACGCACCACTAGGAATAGAAAGTGGAAAGATTCCAAACTCAGCAATGAAGGCTGCCACCGTGGTATGTATAAATGTATTGTATATTTTCTTTTTACTTGACAGCATGGGTTGTTCCTCGAGCAATATCCCCTTCAAATATATACTTGCCTCACACGTCTCCGAGTATCGCCCTTTCGGTCAGAGGCATCAGATGGAATGAGGAGCTACAGCGCTATCACAGCACACAAAATTGCAATAAACTTAAACCTGAGGAGAAATAAAGAGAAGCTCAATGACTTACATGAGCTCATTGCGTCTGTTGGCTTATCATCCCTAGTTGCATGTGCGAGGACCGTTGCAGACCAAAGTTTGACACTCAAGACACCAAAATTTTAAATTCTACCGTCAGATGATCCAACTGTCTACAACACCTAAGTCGAAGAGTTGTTCGTCCAAAAACTACATTTTAAAGCTTTAAACGAGGCAGCAAAGCGTAGTTCTGACTTCCACGTGAAAATATCCTGACTCAAGTGAGCTGAATACTTAATGATCCCAATACATTTGCAATTCAATTTGAACTTTCCCCGTGCATCACGATCAGTATTCAAAATAACACCGTGAGTAGTGGGGCAGAATGTTTGATTGCTGATAGTAATATTTTTATCCCGGAGGTCTAAGATTCTTCTGCGGTAAGAGACTTTCAAAGCAAAAACTAAAAAACTTCCAAAAGTATCGACCACCAGTTTATTTGTAAACGTAGATCGTCTGTTTCGCGGTGTTCGTCCTTTTTCTCATAAATAACTAATGGCAGAAACTAAACATTCGGCGATTAAAACGATTTTATGATGACAACCGATGAAAAAAATTTTAATAAAAAATAATGATGGTATCTAATAGTATATGATAAAAATTGACCAAGACGGCTGAATTTTCTCTTTCAAAGAAGGAAAGAATTCCTTCATTTTCCGAGATCTTGTAAACACTCGTTTAACAAGTCGAACACAAAACAAACAAACGTTAACCTGAAGATACAACATCTGACATCAACAAACTAAGAAATCAGAACCAAAGAACAAACAATGCATTAAAACACAGATAACAAATAAAACACAAAGAGCACGTAACAAGAACTAGACGTTGCATGAACACAGAAATAAAAAAAAAAATGCATATTAAAATAAACGAATAGAGCACAATATGCACTTTGTGCAAGATACTACACGTAACAAGTAGAACACAGAACAAAACAGTGCACGAGATACTACGCACGTAACAAGTGGAACAGAACAAAACAGTGCGCGAGATACCACACGTAACAAATAGAACACAGAACAAAACAGTGTTCGAGATACTACACGTAACAAGTAAAACACAGAACAAACAGTGCCCGAGATACTACACGTAACAAATAGAACAAAGCAAAAACAGTGCGCGAGATACTACACGTAACAATTAAAATACAGAACAAAACAATGCGCGAGATACTACGCGTAACAAGTAGAACACAGAACAAAACAGTGCCCGAGATACTACATGTAGCAAGTAAAACACAGAAAAAAACAGTGCACGAGATACTACACGTAACAAGTACAACACAGAACAAAACAGTGCACGAGATACTACTCAGAACAAGTAGAACAAAGAACAAAACAGTGCCCGAGATACTACACGTAACAAGTAGAACACAGAACAAAACAGTATGCAAGATACTACACAGAACAAGTAGTACACACAACAAAACAGTGCGCGAGATACTACACGTAACAAGTAGAACAGAACAAAACAGTGCCCGAGATACAACACGTAACAAGTAGAACACAGAACAAAACAGTGTGCGAGATACAACACGTAACAAGTAGAACACAGAACAAAACAGTGCGCGAGATACTACAGGTAACAAGTAGATCACAGAACAAACAGTGCGCGAGATACAACGCGTAACAAGTAGAACAGAACAAAACAGTGCACGAGATACTACACGTAACAAGTAGAACACAGAACAAAACAGCGCACGAGATACTACCCGTAAAAAATAAAACACAGAACAAAACAGTGTGCGAGATACTACACGTAACAACTAGAACACAGAACAAACAGAACAAACAAATAGAACACAGATTATACAGTGACTGAGATACTACACGTAACAAATAGAACACAGATTATACAGTGTGCGAGATACTACACGTAACAAATAGAACACAGATTATACAGTGTGCGAGATACTACACGTAACAAATAGAACACAGATTATACAGTGTGCAAGATACTACACGTAACAAATAGAACACAGATTATACAGTGTGCAAGATACTACACGTAACAAATAGAACACAGATTATACAGTGTGCAAGATACTACACGTAACAAATAGAACACAGATTATACAGTGTGCAAGATACTACACGTAACAAATAGAACACAGATTATACAGTGTGCGAGATACTACACGTAACAAATAGAACACAGATTATACAGAGTGCGAGATACTACACGTAACAAATAGAACACAGATTATACAGTGTGCGAGATACTACACGTAACAAATAGAATACAGATTATAAAGTGTGCGAGATGTCACACGTAACAAATAGAACACAGATTATATAGTGTGGGAGATACTACACGTAACAAATAGAACACAGATTATACAGTGTGCGAGATACCACACGTAACAAATAGAACACAGATTATACACTGTGCGAGATACTATACATAACAAATATAACACAGATTATACAGTGTGCGAGATACCACACGTAACAAATAGAACACCGAACAAACAGCGCGAGAGATACTACACGAAACAAATAGAACGCTTAAGAAGCAATACCAGAGATTCTACACCTAACAAGTAAAACAAACCCCAAAGCCGCTGTGGAACCGTCGCATGTGACGAAACAACACAGCTGCACAACTGAAGCGTAGGAGACTATAAGTGGGGCAGTTAATCGGGCTGCTTTACAATCCAAACAAAAAGAAGGGGGGGGGGGGGGCGGTGTACTTCTTTCCCCCTCTCTTTTCCGCATTCTTGAAAGGTGTACATTTGGGGAAGTATATTTTTTAAGAGGACTTTACCGTAAAGCTAAATATCAGATAATAAACTCTCACAGAGGTTTTAATGTTCCTTTTTATTCTCAACAGACTAATACCCACGTGCTTATATTTCAATCTTAATAATAGATATTCATTTTCCGTAATTTTGGAAAGCCATTTCACATCTGGTTCGGATAATAACCCGCTGACATCTGTAAGAAACGTATGAATAGAAATAAATTGATATTTGCATGATGAAATTGAATTTAAAAAGTATTCACACAACAAGGAATGTAATTGAGCTCAAAAACTATGAGAAATTTCCAATTTATTGTTGTGCGTAATCGGGGACTGTGTTTGAGAAAACTCGCGCAGCACTTTAAACCAGATGGAAGACTGAATCCAAGTGCACGCTGGTCACTCATATTTGAGGGGGGAAAAAAAAGGAGAAACATACCTTATCCTTGCAGCTGATAAACGAAGATATCAGCGTTAATCTCGGCTCCAACACCGTTCCCAGTCTTCTTCGAGATTGTACACGCATTAGATTTTCCGTAGTCGTCATATACCGAAGCTGCATTGTCAGCAGACCAACATCCTTTATCGTCGATACCAAAGGTTTTGTAGCCAAACTTCTCGGCCTTCTCTTTGCAGTACTCAACCATAGTTTCAGTACCGGACACACTCCCGACATTTTTGTCGAAAGCTTGGGGCAAAATTGCAGGGGCACTGTTTAAAAAGCAGTCCACTGCCTTAAATTTACCTGTTTTTAAAAGAAACGTGTTTAAAAGCGTTCTTTTATTAAAATATAAACTTAACATAAAATTATAGAAGATTTTACACGCAAGCTTCCTTACGAAAAATGAGGCATGCTCTCGCGCTATGTTCGCTTTTGTTAATTTCAAAGAAAAATTATGATATTCTGTGACGAAACCAGTGTGAAATTATTACGAACCAAAATTGAGTTGAGAACTTTCATGATCATTTCGTTATGAGTGGAAATTTCACTGTGAAGTCGATTTAACTACATGGGAGTCATAGGTTTCCTGCAATTTGACTTTCAGCTAAACACCCGTAAGGTTAAATAATGTACATGTGGATGTTAAAAGACCGAATAATTCGTGCCAATGATCTACTGGAAAACAGACAAACGACTGAAGTCAGAAGAAACTGGTTAAACCTTTTTTTTTTTTCAATAAAACATGGCGTGCAGTTTTAAAAATGTTTTCGCGATTATAAAAGATTACAGTCAGTGAAGCTCTCCCCCCCCCAAAAAAGAAAGAAATTCTGCATGAGCAAACTCATGTCACATGTCGGTGCTGTGCGCAAAAAAGCACAGATTCCTTTTTGAGATGTATCGGCTTAGCAATAAATAAAAGACGTCACTTTTAAGTTCCTCGCTCATTTGGACATTATATGATCTAATATGATCTAAACTGACCAGACACAAGGCAAAGTGGGATCCACTTGTTGTGTGACACTCCCGTCGCTTGTGTATATCACTATTCACATACGAACAGGTTCGTTATGATCCTTTACCTTTGCCATCCATGCGATACACGAACACTGTGAGGGACTCTGTAAAGCCAGTGCCATAGGCTTTCTTTTTCTTACATAGTCCCGATTTTCCAAACTTATCGTAGGATTTCTCTGGGTTATCACTTGTCCAGCATCTTTTGTCATCCATACCAAACAATTTGATTCCTTGAGCCTTAGCCTCTTTTACACATGCGTCGAATCTCTTGCTCGTTTGAGAGATGCTTCCTGCTCTTAGGAAATACTTTTCGAGTGCTTTAGCTTTCATAATATAGCAGCCCATTGGCTTCCAGGCAGCTGTTGATCAAAAAACAAAGTTACATCGCTCGAGATTTTCCCTATTTCATTACTGAGCTCAAACTGTGAATTAATTAAATTTCTCAGAAACCACGCCAGGAAACTAATTCTCTAATCAGTATGCTGTTTATGTGATGTTAATTGTGGCGTCTGTGCGCGTAAAATACCTCTTAATTACCGAGTGCTAGGTCCGTACTGTAAGTTACGGACCAAGTTTTGTCCGCTCAGATTTGTGGCCCAAGCCTAAAGCACGCGCCCATAAATCCGAGCAGAAAAGAACGAGGTTTTGTAACTTAATTACGGACTGGGTAAACAAGGTTAGAAAGATATTTATTATATCTCTTGGTTCAAATAGAGGGGGAAGATTTCTATTCAAACAAACTTTTGAAACTAGCAGGCGATACAGAGAAGTACGTCCTGCTTAATTTACTATTCATAGCGCACGTACCAACTGAGAGATAAAATTAAGCTTGATATCAACTAATGATTTGTTTCACGTTTTCATTTGACTGGTCGAGAGTGGGAACATAAGTTTTTCTACCCCAATCAGAGAGCGCATCCTAGTGTCGAAAGACCAACATAATCCTGGATCACTCTCGCCATTGGATTCAAAATTGCTCAAATTACAATACTGAAAAATAAGTACTTCCCGTGGATCGTCGTGTGTATAAAAATGATCTGTCAGTATTGTAACACATGAACCTTCATTTTGATTGAAGATGCAAACTCGAATCGCAAACATAGAGCGCTTTTCGATTGTGTCGGAGTAAAACTAAAATCAAAGTAATCACAACAACAACCAATCAGAAGAAAGGAAATAGCTATAAGAGCCAATGAGAAATCAAAGTAGACGCAGCCAAACTGACTAAAGCGCGGGAAAATGCTGGTGACCAAGTCGTGATTGTTTTAGTTTTGCATCCGACTGGTTGAGAGAAAGGCGTGAATTTCTGGACCAATCATAGAGCGGAGCAATAACAAAGCGATCACGGGTCACTCTAGACACTCAATTAAAAATTCCCCTAAATCAGCCAATTAGCGACCAATTCTTCTCCAGCTGGAGAATTCTGAGTTTTTACCAATCAGTTTTATCCTTTCTGCGCTACGATAAGGTTCGAAAATCTTGAAATTTTAACCTTAAGTTCCAGGGTCAATGAAACCCTTCTCCAATCTTCTTCATCGCTAACTATCCTATCCCTTTCTTGGTTTATTATGGACTCTTTTCCTTCCTCTTTCTTATCGAGCTAATATTTTGTACTCCTATACTTTCGATGGTAGTCCTGCATGTTGCAAAAAAAAGAAAGACTCAAAATATGTTGGCGGAACTCCTCTGAGTTTTCATAAATGTGCCATAAAAGAGTCTACTTACGTCCACAAGGATTTGTGTTGCATTCCTTAGTTTCTTTACTTGGTCCAAGGACATTACATTTCTTTCCTCCTTTTGACGGCTTCGGTTTGTTGCATCTTCGCTTTCTTGTTTGTTGTCCTCCGCCACAAGTTTTGCTACATTTACCCCACTTGCCCCATTTACCGTAACCACCGTCAACTGCACATAAACAAATGGGTATATTAATCATTGCACTTGTCCAGGAAAATATTGCCGGCGAATCAAATCTGTCGTGGAGTTACGTCCAGGAAACTTGCCAGGAGCATAATGACCCTGTACAATTGCCCTTACAGTTACAACTGTTCAAATCACTTACATTAGCAAATTTCTTTCTAGGATAACTTTTCTACAACAAGCTAAGTCTCTTTGTTTAAAAGCTGGAACGTCAGCTTATGAAAAGAGCGACTAGTCAGGAAAACCTGGCCAATGGAGATCTACATGGCTTCTTTACATTCACGAAAGGTTTTTGTTTTAACAACAAGCATTACTAAAGTGAAGTTTAACTATTTTGGGGAGGAAAATATGTATATGTAATCACATGAGGCCAAGTACTATTAAGGATTAATTGCACGAGAGTTTTCAAAATTTTGGAGTGCAATTAATCCTTAATAGTACGAGGTCTCATGGGATTACTTGTTTATCAATAAAGGGCAAAATTTATACAAAGGAAAATCACGCACGCAGTCTATTTTTATCTGGGAAGCCTGTTTAGCGCTACGGCAAATCATCAATCAAATTGAACTGACCAATCGATTCAATGAAATTTTATTCTCCAAAACTGTGTCGTGATACACTGCCAAAAGTCTAGAAAACAAAGCTCATTTCAACAGAGCGTTTCTGCCAACAGAAAAACAACAAAGTGCTTTTAACTGAACAAGGTAATCATGCCCTCTCTTGATTACTAAAAATGCCCTCGATTAAGAAAAAATGCCCTCTCTCTCAACCAATCAGCGCTCAGTAATTTTGCCCTTTATTGATAACTCTTGTAATCAGACTTAATTCCTTTATTGCTATGTCGGAAGTTGAAGTAACTTTAATATTCTGCAATCCTAGTTTACAAACAGGAATCCACGCGTGGCCATGAAATGACCTCTTTTTTATCTATTTGCATTTCTTGACTGTCAATATCAACGAAGTCAGCGCAGAAAACACGAATGAGTGAAATAGCTTGCAAAATTAGACCGGAACCCCTACTCTGCTTTCATCAGCAATACTTTGAACAATAAATTGTGTACAGCGTTTTGCAAAAATCAGATAGGTGCAGGGCGTTAAGAGCTAGTTACTCTAAAAAATGCGGGCCATCGATTTTGAGCTATCAATTGATTATAACCACAGCATTTAGAAACATAAATAAGGGGTAAATTAAAAGGTAAAAAAAAGGTCATTTTCCCTAGTACATTATTCTTGTGCTTTATCATTCATGTATCATTTTACCAAATAAAGCCATGGTAACGTGCAAAATATGCCACGGTATTACACTAAACAGCAGGGCAAAAATACGGCGCAAAAAAATGGCCGCATTGAAAGATCCAAACCTTTTTTCGTTTTGTTAAGCTTTAATTTTGGAGAAACAAAATTTAACAACGATAGTCTTTTTCCTTGGTCATGAGGAAGACTTAAATGGTTTTGTCGTGTTGTCGCGTACTCCCTAGGCGATCGATGCGATGCACAGACTAGCCCGTAGAGTGTAAACTATACAAATCAAAATATTAAAAAGTGAAATAATTGTTTGGATAACAAATCCTCAACTCGCAACTTGCAAAGTACCAGCGCTTACTATATGTCAATCCATCTAATGAATAGAGACTATTTCATGGAAAGTGCGCAATAACGATTTTAGTCACGAGATGGGATGTATCAAAAACGCACCCGTTCGCCGTGCTCACTCGTTCGTTTTTTGATGCATCGCAACGAGTGAATAAAAATTGTTCAAGCACTTTCCATGGTATAACGTTTTTATTTCACACACACTGAGATTTTTTCTTACTGACTGACACATTTCAAGGATTGGAAGCCATTTGTTGCCCTCCGCTGTGAGGTACTACGTTCGTGTCTCTGATTTGACAAACGATGTATTTTCGCAGTCGTTCGTTCAGCACCTGTGAAATTAAGTGTGTATACTTACCGGGGCATTTGGAGACTTTCGGTTTGCACTCCTCCGTCTCAGTGTCCTTTCCAAGTCTAGAGCAGTCTTTACCGCCATTCGCAGGTTCTGGATTGTTGCACAGCCTGTCACGTCTTCTTGTGCCTTTCTTGCTTCCGCAAGTAACTGAACACTCGCTCCACTTTCCCCATTGGCCGTATCCACCATTAACTGTAAAATACACACAGCAGGTTTTTTAATTATGCACAATAGAGCAGTTTTCAATTGAGTTTCATAATACCAAACCCAAAAAAATCACAACAACCAATCATAGGAAGGGAAATGTCACCAGGTGCCAATGAGAACTCGAAGTAAAAGCAGTCCAACCGTCTGAAGCGCGGGAAAACGCGTGCGACCAAGTCACGAGAAAGTGGCATGGGTTTTGTGGATCAATTACATAGCGAAGTAAAGCAAAAGAAAGCGATCTTAGATTTTTTTCGCCACTTAATTTAAATGAATTGCTCTTTTTCGCGATATAATCAATAGACCAAAGAAATCAATAGATTTTTGCTGCATTACGGTAAAATATGGCACGAAGACAGATTAGCTACGATCAATCACATATCTATATCTGAGAAACCTAATCCTATAGAAGGGTTATAGTGTGCCTCTGCGATCCGGTGTGTTCCATTCAACTTCCCTACCCCCTCCACTGTAAAAGACAAAGAAAACGATGATATCAGAAAGATAATGATCACAACGGGGGCAAATATGAATACGTACTGGGGCATGGAGCAGTACCACATTCCTGAGTCTCACTCGACGGTCCAAGACCTGAACAGTCTCTTCCCCCATTCAATGGCATAGGGTTGGTACACTGTCGATGGCGGCTGCGTCTTCCTCCACCGCATGTAAAGGAGCAATCTGACCACTGCTCCCATTGGGTGTAACCTCCGTCAACTTTAAAATAACAATGAGATCGAATGGAGTGCATGCTGTCAGAAGTTTTATCTTTTGTACATCCTGTATTTTCAGCTTGGAGAATCCTAGGTCAGATGCGGTTCTTTTAATTTTGTTTTTTGTTTGACTGTCTTTTTCTACCTCATTGAAATTTATTAATGAACATTACTTTCCACTTTAACATAACCCGTGTCAACAAATTTGTTGTCTTAGTAATGGCCGATGGTTGCCAGCAAAAAAAAAGCAGCTCTACTTCTTCCGTGCATCGATAAAAGCATAGGCTCATAATTTAAAACTCAAAATATTCTAGAGACCGCTACACGACAAAGAATTGCGGTTCATCCTCCTTGCACCGGAAGCTGGAGTGCACTCACCATTACGTCACTGACACTTCCTTTGAATTGTAAATAACGTTTGACTTAAATTCTACCTGGTTTACCAGGGCATTTCCCATTGTTACAACTTCTTGTAGAAGAACTTGGTCCCAGTTCACTGCAGTCTTTTCCACCGTACTGTGGTGGGGGATTGGTGCATGTCCGCTCACGTGTCTGTTCCCCACCTCCACAAGTCTTTGAACAATCACCATATGATGTCCAAGCAGAGTAGCCGCCATTGACTGCAAATATATCACGGAGACTTCAACATGGCAATTCAGCTTCGTTAAGACTCACTGGTGGTTTAAAAAACCTTTCACTCTGAATTCTGACATTCTCTCGTTTTCAAGCGCATGCACCTAGACCTTTTTACCCAGCGGTTTTCTCTCTGCGGCAGACTCATTCACTCACGTGTACCAGAGCCAAAAAAGAAGAGCTCAGATAAGTCATTTAGAAACATAGTTTCTGATCTTTTGAACCTGCGCATCTCTGAGAGTGACAGGTTAAAACGTTTTACCATATGTAAAAACGCCTTTTTCGTTTCGGATCTTTTTGGTGAATTGGTGTGAAAGCTGCTTAAACGTAGCGTAGAAAGGGTAAATACACCTCTATGGTAAAAAATACTAAATTCTTAGAGTAAAAGTATGAAGCTTTTTTTCAGTCAAAGGTCTGAAATTTTCACCATCTTGGTTTTCAAAATGACAGTCAAAGATAGTTTCCTTAAGATGACAAAGCTGAGCATAGTCGGAGAGGATGGTATGGAGAGAAGGAATAGAAAAGAAGAAAGGGAAACGTTGTAGAGTGGAGAGAGGTCTAAAGAGAATCGCTGAACAAAGGGTTTGTAAAGGTTGAAAGGGAGAAGGGCGAGATGAAGGAAAGAGAAGGATGAGGGAGAAGGAGGAGGGACAGACAGGAAGAAAAAAGTGCCGGGAGGCGGAGAAGAAGAAGGTGAGAAAGGGCCAAGAGGCTATGGAACGAAAAAGGAAAACAAAAACAGAATGATTTTTGTTGTTCTTGTAATCATACCTGGGCAGCCTCCAGCATCGCATTCTTCAGTCTCTTTGTCAGGTCCTAGGCTTGAGCAGTCCTTTCCACCGGCGCTCGGAGGAGGACTGGTACAAGTGCGAGTGCGGGTGTGACTACCCTTTCCACAGGTTTCGGAACACTGGGACCAAGCTCCCCAATTTGAATAGCCACCGTCGTCTACAGAAAAAACCAAAATTTTGCCTCTTGCTCTCAATTTCATCATTTTTTGTTGCTATATTCCTATCGCTTCAGTTGATTCTGATACTGCTACCGCCTGCATCAATTCCCTTCCTGCAACTCTAATAACGCTGCCATTACAGTTACCACTTGCCACTGCTACCACTACAACCTTAAATTTGACACTCTAGGCTGAATACTACAAGCGCTGTGATTGAACGTTGGCAATAACTATTGAATCACTTTATAGACGCATGGCTGACATCATACAAAAATGTTTCCTTTGCTTTACGTAGCCCACAATGATAGAAATTTTTGAGAATTTTGTCCGCATTGAGAAAGTGAAATCTTTAACCTGATTTAGAATAGCTCTTTACTACCACATTTTGTTCTTACCAAATTTTGACGCAATCTGTGGTCTATTTTTGAGCAGACGCGCGATAACGTGAATTGTATTCGTTCGATATACCATAGAGAGTTGAGCACTTAAGGGCTAAATGAGGCTGAGTAATCAGTAAAGAAAACGCAGAGAAAGCATTCATCTTTCACGCAATAGAATGTGTATGATTCGGTTATTTAAAAAATTGGCGTGCACAACTTCCAACGTGATACGCAATAAGTGTCAAACATAAATACTCTGAATTGGCTATAAATAATCACTAGGTTAGTTTAAAATCATGTGATCAGGATAAACGGATCGTACTTGACTTGCAACCGTAAAACTCGAGCCTCATCGCAATGTAGGTCTGCCATTCCTCTGGAATGATCCTCAAATATCGTGCCCTGATAGGTGGGTCCAATTCGTGGCCAACAACGGTATAACGATCGCTATTTGCCTTAAATGTCTTATCACATAGAGAGAAAAAGGAAAAAGATATTCGAGAGAGAGTTAATTAATCCACTACCAAAGCGTTCTCGTAGAGGGCTTGGTCTTTGCCTTACATTCACAGAATGCTTACTTTTTCATCTATCCGTGATATAAAGACTTGAATCTTCACCAATTTTGCCCTTAAAACATTCTTTGACCTCAACATACAATATTTATTATTTCATTTAACGGCCCTCATCACTGAACAGCTGGGCAATGAATTAGCGACAAATATCAAGCTAGAGATGATAAACTTTTTTTTTACAATCCCTCGATGGGAACAACAAACCTTTGTGTGTCCTTCGGGTTGGTACTGCGTAAAGTAAGACCCATCATCGCTGTATCTAAGTGTGTATTCCTTCACCCACTGTGAGCCATCTTGTCGACCCTGGGTGTCAATCCGTGTAATTGTTGTCTCGACCCCAAAGTCAACCTGAAACCATTGCTTGAGGTCTTGCGTTTTTGCAATCCAGGATCCACCGCGACCACTGGCAGCCGTTTGATGTAGTCTGGCCATTCCAGGCGCATAGGTGGCACTCAGCATCGATGAAGCTGTCAATACTGAATCTGGCAACCTACCATTTTGCATACCGAGTTGCATCTGACAAGCAGGCGTTTCCGGAATTTTAAACCCTGTAGAGAAAAGGTAGATTTTTCATATTTGGCGCTCTTTGCAGGGATTGACAGAAAAACCAAAACTAAGGTAATCACCGTAACTAATAGGAGCAGTTAAGAAGATCGTTAGGGGGAAAAGAGAACAAAAATGTAAAACAAAAAAACTGTCTGAAGTTCGGGCAGACGCACGATTGGTTGTGCATTCCATACCAATCACAGAGAGAGGTTAAAGCAAAACGAATGCCGTTCTAAAAATTGCGATCCCGCACTCCTGTCTAAAGCAACTCTAGTATAAGTATTCATACAATTCAAAGGCAAACATTTTTGTGTAACAAGTTCTTCACGAGACGCACAACGTCACCTTAAGGCGGGACCACTCATTTATTACCCGGACAGTCGGAGAGTATGGGGGGGGCCCACATGCTTTTGAAGGGGAGCAGATGGGGAATCAATCATCGCTATCAGATTATAAATGGGCGACTCTAGAAAATTGACCGCCAGTTAACTGCCAATAAGGGGAGATCATAAGATAGTTATAGAGCCTTGGTGGAGGGGGGGGGGGGGGGAGGCTTAAGTAATTTTCTAACAGAGTTAACGTTACAAGCTCGCGATCGACCCGCAGCCATGTTTAATTTGGAGTTAAAGTGGGCGGTAGGGGGAGGAGGGGAAAGGGGAGGAGACTAATTTCTATTGCCCCACCCACCCCTTCCCTCTCCTTTTTTTTACCGTAGCTCACCCCCTTGGAACAAATCTCTTTCTCTCCCCAGCCTTTCGCAGTTGTAAAAATCAAAGATGGCAGCTTCGTTTTCACCAAGCAAATACTGAACACTGGCTTACCAAAATTACACTTGCTCGGTAGGCTATGTGAAAGCAGAAGCGTTTGTAAATGTTAGTGCCTTGATCATGTAAAGTATACCGCGAACACGTACCTTCTGTGCAACCGTAAAGTTCGAATCGTAAAGCCTTGTAGCCATGATACTCTTTAGGGTGGAGCCGTATGTAGCGCGCGATTATGGGCGGGTTGAAGATGTGTCCAACAGTCTTGGTGTCTTTATTAGCAGGAATAAGCTAGAATGAGGTATGGAAAAAAATGGAAAGTACATTAGATGACAAGATTTCCAAATAAACACGAAAAACACTCTTGCCACTGGCGACCTTTTCTAGGGTCTCGTAGCCAATGGTATCACAGCATAAATGTTCAACCACAGGTAGCCCAAGCTCGCATAATGAGCCTTCGATTCGTCAATATGTAAACATGTTTGCGTTACACAATGAACCAAATAAAAGGATTTGTACGATAAAAAAAATAGAAGGATTGCATTACCAACCTTAAAATCTAAACTAGTCTTGAGAAAAAAAGAATTGCGCAATGTAAACATATCTGTATATTTACGAAGTCTCGTTTGCGCGCTTGGACTACCTAGGGTGCAACCAGATCTAGCTGGACTAGGATTATGGAAATTTTCTGGGGTTGATTTTTTAATGTCGAAAAGTCATTAACGACTAGTCATTCAGATCATTCCTTAAAAAAAAAGGACTAACATATTGTCTCACTCAAGCTTTATCAAGCGAACATTTTCATGAAAAAACGTTCACTCTATTTCTTTAAATTCAGGGTGGACGTTTCCCATAAAACCGTTCATGGATCACGCTTTTTAGGTGTCAAAGTTTTTGCAATCGAATGTAACACCAAGGTCAATCATTATGTTTTACTTAAATCGTTCATGATACTGTCGTCAACAGCAAAACCTTTCCTTGCTTTCACTGTTGATAATGAACCTGAACCACATACGACTTAACGTAAGTTCTTATCAGACAATTTACCTGATTCTCTTTGTAGGCGAGGTAAGGGCCGCCTTCAACACTATACGTTACATAGTAGTTTTTGGTGTAATGTCCCACATTGTACCGTCCCTGAGTGGCAATACGAGTTATCTTCGTGATTTCTCCAAGATCAACTTGAATAAACTGACCATCATCTTGCGACTTTGGAAACCAAGCTGCACGGACATTTGAGGGCAATGTATTGTCGAGTCTGGCGTACTGTGGGAGATATGAATCACTGTAGCTAGAGGTGGCAGTGATAGCGCTGTTGGGTATCTTACCGCTTTTCATTCCAAGTTCTGACTGACATTCCAGCTTGGGTGGTAAAAATCCTACAGAAAGAAAATTATTCCAGCTAATCTTCTCAGAAGTAAAGGGGTTGAGATCTACAAACGTCCTGACGTCTCTATTTTCCTATGACATGCAGTAAAAAGGAACCATTTTAAAAACAGGAGGATTTCAATTCAAATGGTGTGCGCGTCGTTTTCCATTAAAAACGACGCATCCAAGTTCCATTCCTAAAAAATGATTCCAGTTATTTGAAAAGAGGGAAAGGAGGAAACAAAAAATTAAAATGTACAAAGCATTGCTGCATTAGCTCAAATAAAATCAAAAGTTTTTTCCATTGTCCAAGAGCTACCTACTATAACAACTGCCAAAAATAACAGGATTATACAACATGGCGACCAGTCATTATTTATCGTGGGGGATCAGAGTATTTTACGGGGGGGATCAGGTGGTTTTCAGGGGTGACAGAGGGGGTTTCAGTATCAGTTTTCTCTACCAGAGTTTAAAGAGAGTCTAGAGAAAATTGACTCTCGAAGAGGCGATTATTAGAGTACTTCAAGTAAATTTCATTGTGACACAACCAAAATCTTCCGAAACCCCCGCCCCCTTCGCCAATAAAAGATGAAAGGGTCTTATCTGCTACCTTCTTTACAGCCGTAAAATTCTGCTCTCAAGGAAATATGGGCCTGCCACGTTTCTGGACGAATCCGGATGTATCTTGTTATAATTGGTTTATGTAATTTGTTTTTTACCACTGTGAATCTATCGTAGTTGCCGTTAAACACCTGCAATATTCATTTCACAAACATTTACTAATTACACAATCAATTAAGATTAAGTGAATTATGTGTTAAGAATCTTCTTTTTTACAATTTCACCGCACCTTAGACCGCGCGTGAATTTTTTTTGTCTCACCACTACATGCAATTTCCTATGTCGATCCATCAAAATTCCTTCATGTTGCTGTAAGTTTTTTTTTTCATTTTCCTGTGATAAGAGATTCACGTCAACAGCGAGGAAAGTGGCGTCTCAGAACAGCTACCGCATTATAGTCTATTACGTGGCCGATTAAAGACCCTTCGAAGTCACTTTTCAACCACAAAACTTCCCATTCTTAAATCCCTCCTTATCAGAATTTTCTTACCCCCAAAAAATGTGCGACCCCATCCTTATAGAGCACATCTTCATTTAACCGTCACTAGGAAGCTTCCCCAACCACCCACCCCCATCTCTTCCGCTCCCTAGCACAAACGTCCTTGACCAAAACACAAGCCGAAGTATTCTCAAAGAATATTTCATTTTCTCGGCAGACGTATTGAGCAATAATGATCCCTTAAATCCTTGAAATCAATAAAATACCCATAACAACACTAGCGAATAACCCTGAGCCAATGGAATTCACAATGATCAGAATACTACATTCATTAGGTTCTCACCTGCTTTAAGTGATCCTCATCGTTGAATGTTTCCCAGAACACACCATCATAGCTGAATGAAAGGCTGTACGTTTTAACCCACTGGGCAGAATCCTGCCTTCCTTGGGTGGCTACAGCTGTGATCTGTGTCCATGTTCCGAAGTCGACCTGGAAATACTGGTCAGCATTGTTTGAGGCCGCGGCCCAGCTGCCGTATTTACCACTACCAGACATCAGGAAATGAAGTCTGCCAACGTATGGAGCAAAGCTATTAGCATTTGCTGAGCTTGACGCTGTAATGGCAGAGTCTGGTATTTTACCGTTTTGCATTCCGAGGGGATCCATGCACTGTGGTGGTTTAGGTCTGGAAAATCCTACATAAAAGAAATAGAAACTTCAGTGTTGAAAGCGGCGTTGAAAATTATATTTTGCCTGTTGACCATAGTTCATTTTCAGTGAAAGTTCATCGAGTAGTCTTTACAAGTTAATAGCGCTCTGAGGCTCAAAACTCTGTTTAATTGTTGATGTTTAACCTCGTGCAATCGGAAGGAAAGTCCACACTCTGAGATAAAATGAGGTAACTAGTTCTGATTAAAAGTATACTACATAGTAAAATTGAATTAAGACCAAAATGTCACGGTTGCACTTCCGCGTAGCTCGTCGGACCTAGATATATAGGGTCAATAAATATTCCCCCCCCCTCCGTTTCATGACTTAGCAACTGCGCCCCTACCCTTCCCCTAACTCAACAACAGTCAACTGACAAGACGTTAGTGTTGATGGATGAGAGGAGGGGTAGGTGCGCAGTTTCTCAAATACTGACGATGATTTTCAGGGCAAATTGGTGCCCAGATCGCCTGCCTCATAACTAATGAGCAAATCGGGCGGTGAGGTAGACAACAGCCGGTCAACGCTTATTTGTTATGTAGGAAAATTTCTTTGAGAGTTTCATTTTATTGGATTAAAGATCAACTTCCGAGATGATGCGCACAAAGCCCTTTTTAGGTGTTTGCTGATTGTCATTAGGTTATCTGCAAAACACCTTGACCTGACACAGTTGACACTATTAATGCTAAAGTTAAAATTGTTTATTATGGCGTTCTGGTACAATATACGCTACTCATCGAGACGGATCTTCCTCACCTTCCTAAGCAATATTTTTTTTTTAAAAGGAAAGCCTCCTTCAAGGCTATTCGAAAGATTAGGTTCCTGTCGATAATTCCTCGTCAGGGTTTCCTTCTTTCCACTCATAAGTATTGAAGAACTATATTAGGTTGCCTTAAAGGTAACTTAAAGGTTAACATTGGAAATATCTAAGACATCTTGCATTTCTCAAAAATGAATAACCATTTATGAAAGCAACTGATACAGGCGATAATATTCTGTCTCTTCTGAGATCTTGTGAAAAAAGGCCACTTGCTCTTGTATTAGAGTTTTTTCTTTGACGTTCTTATTTACCAAAAATTTGACATTATAAGCCACATACCATCAGAGCATCCAAAGAGTTCCACTCTAAGCGACGGGTATCCTGAATATGATTTGACATTGATTTTAACAAATCGAGCAATGATGGCTGGGTTAAGAATGCGGCCAACTGCAGTCTTGTAGTCGGTATTGCCCATAAGAACCTTTTCAAAAAGGACAGTTTCAGATTTAAGAAAAGAGGACCCCTCATTTTTCGCCTGAGGAGGGGGGAGGGAAGTTTAGGGGGATTATATGGTTTTCATGGAGAACGGAGCGGGGGTTAGTCGTCGCCAACAGAGTATAAATGGTAAATTTTGGAAACTTGACAGCCACTTCCCTGCCCATGAAGGGGGAGGGGGGTGAAGGCTCATAATGCTATTGTAGAGCCTTATGGGGGGTTCAGATAAATGTTATCGTGACATGACCAAAATCATCCGGGGCTTCAATGAGTAAGTTCATCACTTGAATGGAAAAGCTTCGTGTACATTATGGAAATCATATTAAACTCAGGTCTGATAAAACAACCAGGATTTTAACTCGCATTACGCTTTTTTTTTTAACTCCCTCTGAAATGCTACAGCCCTTTCATCTTTTTTTATCCATTTGGCCCCGAATAGTCTAACAGTGAGTGTAAACATACCTCGCCATTGTTGTACTTTGTAAACTCTCCTCCATCTTCTGTGGTATAGTCCAGGCTATAGGACTTTGACCACCATCCCGCGTCAGATCGGCCCTGTGTTGCTAGTCTAGTTACCTTGGTAACCTTTCCCAAATCAACCATAAGCCACTGATTAGCGTCCCTATATTGGGAAATCCAACCACCATGGTAACTCCCTAAGGATACAAATCACTTATTGATTAGTATCGGCACATTGGGAAATCCAACTACCCTGGTAACTACTTAAAGATATAAATCACTTATTGACTAGTATTGGGATATTGGAAAATCCAGCCATTCTGGTAACTACCTAAAGATACAAATCACTTATTGATTAGTATCGGCATATTGGGAAATCCAACCACCCTGGTAACTCCCTAAAGATACAAATCACTTATTGATTAGTATTGGCATATTGGGAAACCCAACCACTTGGGTAACTCCCTAAAGATATAGATATCTTTACCTCAACATTTCAGAAAGATTTCATTTCAAAACTTTGCCTTCGTTCGAGTTCTTGTCTTCACTATCAACTTTACACAATACTTAGCTGTCATGCAAGAATTGCTTACGAGTTCTTAGCCTCCCCACTGATAGGTAAAAGGTAAAGTCTGTGCTAGAGCCTATTGGCCACCTGTAGTCAAAGCTTATCCCGGTTTCCATGTAGCACGAAGCGTCTAGGAGTCTTACTAGAAGTCTTACTGGAGTGTTATTACCACTCCTCCCCCGGATGGAATGCTAGTCCATCGCAAGGTTACCCAACCCCCCCCCTTAGAATTTTATCAGGCTTCCCTGACAATTCACCGATACCCATTTATACTCCTGGATGGAGAGAGGCATTGGCCCGACCAGGTCTTGAACCCAGACCTCTCGAACCGGTGTCCAGTGCACTGACCATTGCGCCATTGTGTGTCCCTCTTTCAACGATAGGCCTGTGTCTATAATTGTTATGAATACTGAGGAACATCTGTCAAGTTTAAAATAATCTATCCAATACCTTCTTTCTGCATGTTAAGTCTTGCCCTCTCAGGTCCCCACCATTGGTTATAACGTGATGATGCTGTAATGGCTGTATCTGGTATGTGGCTATTTTCCATTCCCAGAGCAGAAGCACAAACTATTACGGGTGGTTTGAATCCTATTTCAACAACAACAAAAGATGTGAGTTAGAGCTGTATTTTGTTGAGACTCAATACTTAAGTGTGAGACTAGCCCGAGGTACAAGGAAAAAAACACTTCTTCATGAAACAAAAATACAGATATAAAAATTTTCTTTTGGTGAGATATGAAAACACAGAAATGGTATGAATGGCCTTAGAGGAAAAAGAATTAATAACCTTTTAAACTCTCACGAGTGACCAAGCCAGAGTTTCTCCTTATAAAATCAATACAATATTAAGCAGACAAGTGATGAGAATGCAAAAAATATCAATAATTGGGGGATTATTAATTGATCCAATGTCAAATTCTCCAAACTGACATCATAAGAGTTGTGTGGCATATGGTGAGAAGAATTACTTGAAGGACCTTTGAAAAGATTAACAGGGATTGTACGTAGATAACCATACTGAGAAATTAAAGACACTTTTTCCATGAAATACAAACTATGATGAAGTTCTTACAAGGAAAACACTGGCAAATTTGCATTCAGCACACCGAAAAGCGCCTATGAAAAACTCATGACGCGGTCATCGAATCGTAAGTAGTAATAATAGACCTCTGAAGTTCACCTTTAAGTCTTTGTCACTCGTGTTTGCTCACACTTACATTTATTTACTTTGAGTTCCTACTGGCTCTCCTACAAGTCCTCGTTTATTCTGATTGGTCGTAGATTATAATAGTCTGGCCTGGGTTTCGAAAAGTGCTTAAAGAACTAAAGTATACATTTTACCTTCTTTGCAGCCGTAAAATTCGGCTCTCAGGGTTATGTGAGACTGCCATGTTTCTGGGTGAATGCGGATATACCGCGTTATAATCGGTTTGTACGGTGAGTTCCTTACTGGTGTGAATCGGTCAGAATTTCCTATAAAAACCTGTATAAAATTCAAATTGCACGAGTGAGTCGCTTTGTAAAAATATTTTTCATTAAATCAGTTATTTAGTAGATTGGGACTTTCAAATAAAAGTCTGTACCAAAAAGAATTGTAAGCGACCGGATGAACAAGGCAGAAAACTGTACTGTTAGGTTCTCACCTGCTTTAGGTCATGTTCATTTAGAACTGTTTGCCAGAAGACACCATCATAGCTGAATGATAGGCTGTACGTTTTGACCCACTGGGCAGCATCCTGCCTTCCTTGGGTGGTAACAGCTGATATTTGCGTCCAACTTCCAAAATCGACCTGGAAATACTGCTCAGCGTTGTTTGAGGCCGCCGCCCAGCCTCCGTATTTACCACTGCCGGAACTCAGGAAATGAAGTCTGCCAACGTACGGAGCAAAGCTATTAGCACTTACTGAGCTTGACGCTGTAATCGCAGAGTCCGGTATTTTACCACTTTGCATTCCAAGGGCATCCATGCACTGTGGTGGTCTTGGTATTGGGAACCCTGCACACAGAAATAGATTACTCTAGTTTTATGTGATAAGCTCAATTACACACGTATTTCATTGGCTCTTACCCATGATCTATGGGAGAACAGAAGCTTAGATATATAACGTCGTCAGTAACAACATTTGTTTCTTTTATCGTATAAAACAAATGGTAGATTCCATATTGACCTGTGTTAAACCCTCGCCCATGGTGGTTGATAGTGGTAGAATTATTTGGATGCAAATCGTCACGCTTGAGTAAATGGTTGGGGGACCGCTGCTCTCATAAAGTAAAAAAGCTGTTACTTTGACATTCCACTAGTTCTCTTTCACATTTCTCAAAACTGGCAAAAGATGTATCCTGTTAGAGGCTCACAGTGCGATGCAATGGTAATGATAGCATGTGTTTAAAACCCTGTACATAATAATTTGTCAAATCCCCTTAAGGTTCTGTCATATTCTTATGCACGTGAAAACCATGTGATTCCTCTAAAGTTGTCCCCCCCCCAGGAGGTGAATAGGGAGTTTAAGATGTCACTATTGCAACGTGTGGTAAAACAAAATGTTGCCGAAGAAACGTAATTTATTTTCCGCTGAGATTTTCACCAGTAGCTCGATGGGTTAACCTTTTCTGACGGTACGACATCTTCACTTCGGCACAACTTGTAAATGTGGTGTTGAGTTAAAAATAAAAACGTTGCTAAATTGCTGTAGATCTTCCTTGCTAAGAGGACGTAAAATTTGATGATTTCACGTGTTTGATCTACATGGGACGGCTAAGAAATCTATAAAGTTTTAAAACGGACGTGTTTCGCTATTGTTTTGCTCATCAAGTCTTTTGTTTCGCTACGTTCTCGTCGCCTTCGCCGTCGTGATTTTCTTAAAATCCCTAAAAATAACTAATCCCCAACTACTAAGGCATCTCACTTACCTTCGGTGCATCCATATAATTCAACTCTCAGGGACGGATATCCATGATATGATTTGACGTTGATTTTGATGAAGCGCGCGATAATTGGTGGATCAAGAATATGCCCAACTGCATTAGTATAGTCGATATTCCCTTGAAGCTCCTATGACAGTACAAAGAGGATGTCTGAGAATATTAGGATAAGAAAATGATGCACGCGTTCCTGGAATTCATAATCACGTGGAAGTACTTCCTAACCATGCGAAGTACTAGGCCACTTATCCGTTGCATGGTCAATTTAATTACGATACCTGGCCATTTTTGTAAGGTTTGAACACTCCTCCATCTTCACTGTATTCCAGGCTATAGGACTTTGACCACCATCCCGCGTCAGATCGGCCCTGTGTTGCTAGTCTAGTTACCTTGGTAACCTTTCCCAAATCAACCATAAGCCACTGATTAGCGTCCCTATATTGGGAAATCCAACCACCATGGTAACTCCCTAAGGATACAAATCACTTATTGATTAGTATCAGCATATTGGGAGATCCATCTACCCGAGTGACTCCCTGAGGATACAAATCACTTATTGATTAGTATCGGCATATTAGGAAATCCAACCACCCTGGTAACTCCCTAAGGATACAAATCACTTATTGATTAGTATCGGCATATTGGGAAATCCAACCACCCGGGTTACTCCCCAAAGATACAAATCACCTATTGATTAGTATCGGCATAACTCCCTAAAGATACAAATCACTTATTGATTAGTATCGGTATATTGGGAGATCCAACCACCCGGGTTACTCCCTAAAGATACAAATCACCTATTGATTAGTATCGGCATATTGGGAAATCCAACCACACGGGTAACTCCTTAAAGATACAAATCACTTATTGATTAGTATCGGCATATTGGGAAATCCAACTACCCGGGTAACTTCCTAAAAATACAAATCACTTATTGATTAGTATCAGCATATTGGGAAACCCAACCACCCGGGTAACTCCTTAAAGATACAAATCACTTATTGATTAGTATCGGCATATTAGGAAATCCAACCACCCGGGTAACTTCCTAAAAATACAAATCACTTATTGATTAGTATCGGCATATTGGGAAATCCAACCACCCGGGTAACTCCTTAAAGATACAAATCACTTATTGATTAGTATCGGCTTATTGGGAAATCCAACCACCCGGGTAACTCCCTAAAGATACAAATCTCTTATTGATTAGTATCGGCATATTGGGAAATCCAACCACCCTGGTAACTCCCTACAGATGCAAAAAAAAGACCGTTCTGTGATAATGCCGTGACATAAGTTCAGTATGGGAGTTGAACGCTCCAAAAAATGAGCTCCTGGTTTTCGTAATTGCATAAATTATCAACGCCGAGGTCTGAGTTACATCCATGTAGTTTGTATCACAGACACGATGTTTGACAATTCATGATATCATGCAAAAACTGAATTCAATAATTGTTTTGTTATACCATTTTTAAACAATCTGCGAAAGACATTTCTCTCGGAGTTCGCAAACGTTTGAGAACACTTCACAAACGAGGGGGTTAGAAACTAGACAGACTTTGAACTCGACATGATAACCAATTATCTGCGGCAAATATTGAGTTATCGTGTCAACTTCACACACTATTGTGTATTGACTTTATGCTTTCGATCAACCAGAGTTTTCATATTAGGTCTAAAGTATATAATGATAACGATGATAACTCAAATGTAAAGCTGATTGGTTCTTATTAATGAATTATTGGTAGACAGACGCATAGATGACGTCGAGATGTGCTAAGAACATCAGTTCAACACCTGGCTGCGCCTTGTGTCTTTTTTTTTTATGTCTTTACTGCATTTTGACGTCATCTATGATCTATTACTGAACAGACACACGGCAACATGTAATGATGATAAATATAATGATGATGATGACGACGGCGATGATGTCGATGACGCTGGTAAGGAAGATGATAATGGGATGATGATAACAAAGATGATACTAATGATGACGACAAAAATGACGATGACGAGGGTAAAGATGATGATGAGAACATAATGAAATCTGTCCAATACCCTCTCTCTGCTCGTTAAGTCTTCCTCTCTCGGGTCCCCACCATTGATTATAACGTGATGAAGCCATAATGGACGAATCTGGTATCTTGCCGTTTTCCATTCCGAGAGCATCTGCGCATACAATCTCGGGGATATCAAACCCTGTTGGCATAAAGGTATCGATACAAGATTCATAGAGTTTTTCAAGATATCTTGAAGTTTATCCCACTACCTTAGTATAACCCACCTAAACCCTTCCCTCACTCAACAACATTCTTGACTGATAACAAGTTAATGTTGGGTTAGGGAAGGGGTAGGCGGGATAGAAATGCAGTTGCTTTGATACTGAACTGATCACTGCGTTACTTACGCAGAATGGCAACTGGTAATTTTTAAAAGCATAAAGTTTTAACCTAAAAACTAACTTACAATTAACTAAGTTCACACGTGACAAAAATGTAGTAAGTGCTTTTATTCTTCTTTGTGAAAAAACACGATTCTAGAATAGAAAGATTAGATATATTCGAAACTTACCAGATTTACAGCCGTAAAAGCCAGCCCTTAGGGCAATATAAACATTCCACGCTAATGGGATGATGCGAATATATCTTGTGACAATTGGATTCTTCAGATCGTGGCATATTTGAAGATAGTTGTTTGTGTTGCCCGCAAATTCCTGAAATAGAACAAGCGGCAAGGAACCTAATAATTGCCTCTGTTTATCAATCAAAGCTGGACTACTTGGCGTTCATAGAAAGGTACGAATGAGAAAATACCACAAGAAGGTAATGAGAACTGGCAACTCAAGGACGAGGTCGAGATTGATCTTGGTTTGGCGTCTGGTGGGTTGAAAGGATGGTGAAAATGGTGAGAGCGAAAATGGTGAGTGTGAAGATGGTGAGAGCCAAACGGAGCAATTTTGAATTGAGTGTTGAAAGTAATAATGGATTGCCTCGCTTTTCCTTTGCTTTCCTCTAGAAAACTCTCGTCAGTCTCGCAGCCTTTAAGATTCAAAATTTGAATCCATCGCAGTTTGCACACTCGCATTTTTACTCTCTTAAAACAATTTATATGTTTTCAATTTTTTTCCACATTCAATAGGAGAAACCTACACTTAATCGACAACTTTATCATGTTAATTTAAAACTTTCCTTGTAAATGCATACCTTGTTTTATTACTATTGTTTTTTATTACTATTTTGTTTTGTCCAATCAGCATTTTGTTACACACTAAATTCAACTTTGTACTTTGTATTATTAAAACTGAAGATGACAGAAGAACTGTCGAAACATTTTTCGAAAAAGTGTCGTTCATTTTCTTAATTTTTTTCAATTTGAGTTCCTATTGTCTCTTGTGATCCATTCATCTGATCAGCTGTTTTGATTACTTCGGTTTTGGTTTTACCCAAAGTGCACTGAAGCAAGGCCGATGTAAACCCAAATTGCATCGGACACACGATTGAAGAGTGCTCGAAACATACTTGGCAAAGGAGATTAATTAGTTACAAGTTAGGGTAAAACAGAAAAACCATAACAACTACGCTGCTTACAAGGCTGTGCGCGTCCTGAACGAGTGAATATTTATTTTTTGGTGTTTATTCATTTCTACTGAATGAATAAGTGGGATGTTTCTTTTGATCAGTCACTTCAACTTAGCTGGAATGCTGTTGAGCATCGGCATGGGCAAGTCCAAGAAAACTGACAAAAGCTTATCACAAATTAAAAAGTACCAGAAATTCCTCGTAACCATTGCATTGAATTAAATTTACAAAAAAAATAAATAAATAAACAAAAACAACAAGCATACCTTTGAAAGATTATCTTCTACATAATCCCGATAAAACACGCCATCGTAGCTATAAGCAAGTCTGTACTTGGTAACCCAGTAGCTCCCGGACGCTTCTCCCTGGGTGCAGAATCTGGTCACCTGGGTCCAGCCTCCAAAATTTACTTGAAACCATTGTTGGGTATTTCTTTGGGAGGTCATCCAACCATACGGAAATTTGTACAGCCGACCATTGCTGGGACGATAGTTTGAGTTGTAAACGCTGGAAGCGGTGATGGACGAGTCAGGGATTTTGCCATCTTCCATACCCAGACCTTCCATACACGCTGGAGGTTTTGGAATGTCAAAACCTTAAACAACAAGAAGATCTAAATGAGTAAACAAATCTAAACGGCTCGCAAGGCTCTTATATTTTTGTCTGTGCCGCTCAGACCCAGCCTCTTTTGTAACACAAGACCATATAGGCTTAGCCGGACTTACGAACAAGGACAGACAAAGTTATGAAAAATTATGCAAATTTTCTAAGCCAGGTAAGAAAATATTTGGGGACCACGGTTTTACTTAACTTTTAAGTTAGACGAAACGCGTCGGAGAGTAAAGACGTTTTACGACAACTGTTCGCAGAGTGCTGCTCATTAATTTGGTTTTTTGACAAATTCTTTTTAAAAATTGTCTCTTGTTAACATGTGTTCGTTATATCAGGGTATATCATACGTTTGGGCTTCTGGATTGTAATCGTTATAACGAGGATTTCGTTATATTGAGGTTCTGTCCCATACACTTTAATTGAACTTTGGCCGGGCTAAAAAGTATCGTTCGTCATACCGAGGACTTCGTTATATGGAGGTTCGTTAAATCGATGTTCTACGGTAGTCCGAATTCGAAGTATAGCGGTCGTTGTTTAGAAATGAAGAAAAAAAGGCTATGATCGCTTTTCTTTTCGTTTGTAACAGGCTTTTGACAGGTCTAAAAATTAAAATGATGATGACAACAATGATAACATAAATGGCAGTGGTATTAGTAAAAAAGTATTTTATATTCCATGTGATCAATTGTACACATGGAAAACAATCATTGGTTCATTTGTACCAAGTGGTAAATAATCCTCCTCACTGATTGGCTCTATGCTAAAGTGTCCCCGTGACGGAGTTTATGATAATAAAAGTCAATTGAAAAAAGTCATTCCATTAAAATACTTTCAAGCTAAAAGAGAAAAAAAGGAAATTTGGACCCATGCCTACCGGACTCGCAGCCATACATTTCAATCCTCATTGCGGTGTAACCGTAATAACCAGTCGGGTGGATACGAACATAACGAGCAATGATTGGTTCATCCAAAATGTTCACCTTTACAGATCGGTAATCGCTGTTCCCGTAATATTCCTGAGATGAACACCCATCGTCATTAAAAGAAATCAGTCTAATTTAAATAGCATTTAGAATTACATTTAGGTGCAGGTTAGAAAAAGAATGATTTATTGTCCTCTAAAAACAAAATTGGATGGATGTTTTTGTAGAGTACCAACCCGTACAATACCCTCTTTACAATCACAATAAGCCAGATAAAGTTATGCGTAGGCCTACCGTCTACTATGATCTGGACTAGTCGTCCACAAAAAGGAGCTTTAAAAAGAAAGCTCTTCAGAAAGAATAAATTTTAACGCCAGATTTGCATCCTAGTAAGGAGGGAAAACATTTGGAAAAGCGAGCTTTTCGAAGACGCTAATGTCACTCCTCTTTGTCAGTACTTGGTGGTATGATTAGACCTTAATTGTGCGCATGTCCAAAAATGCAGTCAAGCGTAACTTCTGTCGATGGTCTTTCTTCTATTTTTTTAATTTAAACATATATTTTTTTTGGTTTTCCCAAAAGCACTTGGGCTAAACAAGGGGATTACGATAAAATACGGGAGACATGTTATTCGTTTCCTATATGGCTAGTGTGGACGGAATACTTGTGTTACGCTTTTTTGAATAACTTTCGAAAACAACGTGTTCAAGTTGATTCCGCACAGGGTAGAACAAGCCTCGAAGTGCATTTAGGGCCAAATTTATCGAATACTTTTACAACCTACCCGTGGGACAGTGTAGGGCTTGTGCTCTTGAAACTGAAAAAGACTACCATCCAGGCTTGAGGAGACTACATACTTTGTGATATACTGATTGGCATTATGGCGACCTTGGGTGGCAATTTTCGTCACTTTGACAACTTTGCCGAAATCCACCTGGAGCCACTGGCCCTTTTTGTTATTTCCGGCCAAATATGTAGTGTGATGATTGAGTCTTCCCTTGTAAGGCTCCCAACCTGCTCCGCCATACTGGAAATTTCAATTCATAAAGAAAAAGGTCAAGGAGCCATGACCTGAAACTACCCTCTTTGCCTTTCAGGGTTGTCGACCTTTCCATTAAAAAGTTGCATATATTCGTTTGTTTCTCCTTCTGATTGTATCTGCTTTGGCTTTTAAGTGTAATTAATGGCGCAGTAGTCCATTTTACAGTTGTGCGCTTGGTTGCCAAGCCTTTGAACAGGGGTGAGGCTACGGATGACCTTGTTATGATACAGACGTTGCTGCTTTTCAAATGCAAATTACTTTGTTATCATGCTAACTAGATACTAATCTCTATCACAACATGGTCATGGTCCTTCTTGGCTCAGTATCGCCATTTTTTTCTGTTTTACTATCTCATCCAACTAGTTTGTTGTAGTCACCCTCAAATTGAGCGGTGGGATAAATTAATATTTAAGATATCGTGATGTAGCCACCGTTGACATAATGTCTTTTGGGGAAATATTGACATAGACCACAGCAAGCATTTGAAGGGGATATTGTTCGAGGAACAACCCATGCTGTCAAGTAAAAAGAAAATATACAATACATTTATACATACCACGGTGGCAGCCTTCATTGCTGAGTTTGGAATCTTTCCACTTTCTATTCCTAGTGGTGCGTCACAATCTAGATATGGAAAATACCAAACGCCCGGTAAGGGAAGTAGGGACTACAACACTTTGAGAGGAGACGAATACCATCCGCAAATAGTACATAAAGAATACCAAGAAGAGACAAACCTGCACAATGATAGGCATAGAGGGTGGGGAAATAATTAAATAAATAAATTTTCCACTAAGCTGACCCGGTTTTTTTTTCTGCCCTTTGTGGAGAGTTTATGCCTCCTATAAATCATAGTTAGTAGAGGTCTCCTCTACTAACTATGTATAAATGAATCAGGTGTCTTATTTTCCCACGATAAGGTTACTTTAAATTGTGCTTCGAAAAAGTTTTGTACATACCTCCTGCCGCAAATCCTAGAAAATGAAAAGAAAAAACCCAGTTATCATGAAACATCTCTCACTTCTCTTACTTTATTTTGTCTCGCTGTTGTTTTTTCTTTCGTTGGGAATTATTTGTTGGTGTATACATTTGCTGTCTGTGCCAGTACTCATGGGTTGTACTAACTCGATGATCTCTGATTCTATCAACTCTAATTTCAGACCAAAAGCAATATTATTTGACAGTTATTCACCGCAGTGGAGGTGAATGATGGTGTTTAGTATATACTAAAACAGCAGATAGCGTTGAAGGCGCGCTCTCATTAGTTATCTCAAACTATCTCTTAGCAACTAGCGGGGGATTGGCGCCTGAAAAGGTTGTGACAGCTGCAGATACCTACAGAATAAATGAGTTTATCTTTTTTGTAGTATATTGTCTTACTGTTTTAGTATGTTTCTTAACAACTCCTCGCCGATTTGGAGGTGGTTAGTGATAAATGTTCACCACTATCCACTGACACTGAAACAAATAAATTATTTTATTTCTGCTTATATGCAAAAAAATAGACGTAAATTAAACTCTTAAACCATCAATCAGCGCGCGCGAAAAGCACCATGTATTTATAAAAAAAATACTTTTGTAATATAAATGTTATGTCACATAACATAACATTCATAAGATCAGGAAGCTAATTAATGAGAATTTGGTGTTATATCCAAACTATATCCTCAAGTTCTTAAATTCTAAGGTTCTCAAGGGAAATTTCAGCAATGATCTAATGGAAGAGGAAGAGTTGCTGATTATGAATTTTTAGAATGTATTCAACGACGGGGGTTGGAAAAACTATTTTTATTTGACCAAAAGTTGTTGTCTGCTCAGAGATTTTGGTTAGGGAGATAGACAAGGATCTTAAGTTAAAGCAAGTTGTTCCTTCAATAATTTACTTGCTTATACGTAAAGATATTTCATTTCGCAGTGGTTCACTCCCATCTAAGCACTGGAAACAATTCTACCTCACCCCACCCAGAGTAGGGATCATACGTGCGCCTCTCTCTGAGGCGTCTACACTGCACGCCAGCATAATTTTTTTTTTCACCAAATCATTTTTTTTACTCTAGCGACGAACTTCGCCGAAAAGCAGGGATTTTTCGTAGTCTAGCCCTTTCCTTCTCACATGAATAGCACTTTTCTTTGTTCCTTTTGGCGTTTTACTCGAGGCGTTTGGGAGAGTCAGTTCCTTTAACTTATCTTTTTTCAAGACATTTGACGGAGAGTTGAATGAAAATATTAAGAGCGTTTAAAAAACATGTTCAGGTTTTTTATCGTTAAATGCTGTGTTGCTCCGGAGCATGAGTGAAACACTCGGCTGAATATTACACTAAGGCATGTTACCCTAAAAGAAACCAGCAGGCGTCGCAACTTTCGGAAAATTGACGTGGACTTTGGTCTTCTTAACGAGCCGTGACGTGGCTTTCCCCTGACGAAGAGTTCTCTCAAGAAAAGCAGCATTAAAGATAAAATTGTAAAATAGAGCTCAAGCAAACGTGGATGTGTCTTACTTACCAACTAAAAGAAAGAACTGCAACAACGGCAGAAACCACGCAGTACCCATCTTGTATTTCTCCAGGACTCAACCGTGTGTGAAGCGTCCCGCAGAGCAAGATAAACTTTGAAAGGAAACCCTTGACAGCTGCCTTACTTATAACTATTATTAATGAGCCAATTATTATTCCCCAGGAATTGTTCAGAGTAGTTTTTTTTAGGGAAGTGGTCAAGTTGGCGCAATTGTTCTTACCAACATGTTCTTATTAGCATGTTTCATTAGTTTAATCATACATTAAAGTGTTAGTACGGTGTTGTTTTTCACGCGATAGGACAAAACATCTCTGCTACTTTTTTCTATGTCCTTGTATCGAAACATCTGTATTTATTCCCTGTATTTTACTTTTCTCTATATGCATCATTTTTCCTCAATAAAATTATGGACGTTGTAAGACTTCTTTCCCAATACCATTGTTTTCAAAATTGCCACAAATTAGAAAGCGTGCAAATAATTAGGATTGGGAAATTTATCACGTGATCAATGTATCGCTTTTAAGAATTTTCAGGTAAAAATCTGTTTTTCAGGCATACCTTCCTGACATAAAATCAGATAGAGAAGATAACTGACACTCAAATTTCTACTTATTACTTTAAGACGCAGCGCATAACTGCAGAAGTCATCGTGAAGGTTTCATCGTCGATGGTAAAAGTGTCTGGTTTTCTAGAATTGTCTGGTGTCATTTTATATGTTAGAAATGGCTGGTTGTTAAACGGTTTAATTAAATTCAGCCAAAAGACTGGCTTTACCCCTATATCTGATGTGTCCAACGAAACATTGCGAATGGGATAGGGGCTTGAAAAAACGTGCATTTGTCTCACCTTATAATCGTGGCGTATTGTTATTAAATTGTAATTTGTAAATGGTAATAAGTATATTTTCGTTTTTTCTTGATCCTGCTAATCAGTACTACAACTAACACAAAATCCTGGACTTTGCGAAAAATTCTGTGAGGGGTCTAGAATGTCCTCTGTGCTTGGAGGCAATAATGAGGGCACAAAAGTAAAAAAGGAGAAAAAAAATAGCTTGTTGCTGTAAATAATATCTTTAGTGAGCCACTGCAGAACGTTGGCCACGCGTACGTTCCATTCACACCATTTTTAATCAGCAGAAGATGCTAAGGAACATGACGTTGAGTGTTTTTTTTGTTTTTTTTTAAGTCAGGTTTTTCAATTTACTATGCGCAGGAAAGTCACAATTCCCATGACAATACAACAGAAGGATCTTGATCATTTTGTTTTGCAGGTTACAATACTTGTAAATTTAATGAACAACGTCTTCTGATATTCTTCGAGTGAACAGAAATGAGTGGCTGAAATGGTTGTCTGAAAGAAGCGAGTAATTTCTGGCGCAGGTTATCTGTATCTTTTAGCGTACTAAGAGGAGCAAAATAAGCCTTATGTTAATGAAATATAAAACTTCACGTATAAATTTAGTGTATGAAAAGTTAAAAAACAGAACAATGCATTTTAAAGTAAATATTTATCAGGTAATTTAGCGTTAACAACTGGGTTGAAAACGTAAATTAGCCACCGTAAAGAGTAAAAAAGCTGACGTTTCGAGCGTTGGCACGGTGGTGGCCCGCTTGAACGACAGAAACAGGATAGCCACGTTTATCGAAAAACTGGCACATTGTCTCTGATTTTTCGTAAAAATCAGAGTCGTCACTACATAAACGACGAATTCTGAGAAACTGAAAAAGGTATGGAGTTCTTGACGTGTGATGGATGTGAAGATGAATACAACAAGTAACTATGTGAATCTGTAGGTTTGTAGTAAACACTAGTACATAAGCCGTTGCCTTCAATTGAAATTTTGATGTCTAGAAAAGCCAAAGAAGTGTCGGAAATTTCCCAGGTATATTTAAGAGCCGGATGAAAGGAATTGACGGCGGTTATAAATTGAGTAAGCTCCTCTTTGGTAGAGGAGGTAGCGCCTATGCAATCGTCAATGTAGCGGCCATAGAGTTCAGGTTTTGGACCGTGGTATTGGCTAAAAAATTGATGTTCGATAAAACCTACAAAAAGATTGGCGTAGCTGGGTCCCATTTTAGCACACATGGCCACGCCATTAGTTTGTTTGTAGTAGTTACCACCGAATGAAAAGCAATTGAGTGTGAGTACTAGTTCGGCCAGACGGAGTAGTGTTTCAGAGCTAGGTTCCTTAACAGTGCGTTGATCGAAAAAATTTTTGAGGGCCCGGAGACCTTCGTCATTGGGAATGACAGTGTAAAGAGATGTTATATCCATGGTGAAAATAAGTTTGTTTTGGTCGAGGAAACTGAAGTCACGAAAAATTTCAAGTGCGTGTTGGCTGTCCTTAATGTAAGACGGTAAAGTTTTGACGATAGGTGCCATAATTTTGTCTAAATAACTGGAAATCAGTTCGGTGGGACAACTGCAGGCAGAAACGATGGGTCGACCTTGGTTGTTAGGTTTGTGGATTTTAGGTAAAAAGTAAATACACAAAGTTCCAGGAGTGGTAATGATGAGATTTTTAGCAGTGGCCAGCAATTCTTGTTTAGCTATAAGATCGTTAATCGTATTTTTGACAATCATCCATCACACGTCAAGAACTCCACACCTTTTTCACAGTTTCTCAGACTTCATCGTTTATGTAGTGACGACTCTGATTTTTACGAAAAATCAGAGACAATGTACCAGTTTTTCGATAAACGTGACTATCCTGTTTCTGTCGTTCAAGCGGGCCACCACCGTGCCCAACGAATCGATCGACAGTCAGCACTACAAACGGCTAAGAAAGGAAAACACTGACCGCATTCCATTTACTCTTACATTTCACCCTCACAACCACGCAGTTAAATCTATCATTCTTGAAAATTTTAAATTACTCCAAAACGATTCAGAGACTGGCACCATCTTTTCGCAACCCCCACTTATTTCATTTAAACGTGACAAAAACATAGGCAACTTTTTAGTCAGGAGTTCATTTCAAACCAATGACCAATCTGGAACTTTTAAATGCGCTCGCTCACGATGCAAAACTTGTCCTTTCATTCATAACGTTGAGAAAATATCGGGACCCAAGAGATCCATTAAGATCATTGATCACTTTACGTGTACCTCCGCCAATGTTATTTACTGCATAACTTGCACTTATTGCAATAAGTTATACATTGGCGAAACAGGAAGACGAGTAGGTGACCGATACCGAGAACACCTTCGCGACGTAGAAAGAAATGACAAGGACGCATTCAAACCAGTCGCTAGACACCTTAATCTTCCTAATCATTCTAAACAGCATATGGCAGTTTGCGGCCTTTCCTTACATCTAGGCAGTTCGGAAAGCCGTAAAACACTAGAACAAAAATTTATCTTCCAAATCGGCTCCCTTAATCCCCACGGAATCAATGAGCGCTTTTCATTCAACTAATTTTTTCCTGTTTCCTCGTCACCATATTCCCACCAATGGCGTAGCTCCACTTTCTGCATATAAACCCACACACAACCCACAATTCCTTTATTCGCTCTGACGAAGGGCTAACGCTCGAAACGTCAGCTTTTTTACTCTTTACGGTGGCTAATTTACGTTTTCAACCCAGTTGTTAACACTAAATTACCTGCCATACTCTCCCACCGACACAGCACCACAGTTTCTTTAGAAACTTACCCCTTTAAATATTTATCAAATGGGTAGCGTCTATTGTTTAACGCAGTGGGAGAACGCGTTTTTTTTTTTTATTATTCTTTAGCAAAACAGCAGCAAAAATTCATTCGTTAAAACTACTTAAGAGGTTAGAAAGATACCGAAGAAGCGAAGAAGTACCATTTCATTAAAGTTCGATGCCGTTTTTCTCGGGTTATCTGAAGCATTCATACACAACTGCAACAACACGTAGATCCTCCGTTTGTGGAAAGGAAGTCCAGTAGAAAAAATAACGCGATAAATTTTGACCCACGAAACACCAGAAGAGATTTTATTATGTAGCTAACAGCACCCGTGGGCAAGATGAATCCTGTGTTCTGGTTCGCTACCCAAGATAGGCCCATCCGATTGTCCGCTCGGAATTTCCCGCTTTGATTCCGTGCAAGGAAGAACATTGCGTGTAGCGGCGCACTAAGAGGATTCGAAATTCTTGGACAATGTCGGCAATGGAGTCGAAAATGCGACACGAAAAAGTCGAAAAATAAAGATAACCAAGAAAATATAAATGAGTTTCGTGAGTTTATTATGTCCAAAAACAAAATTCAAAAGACAAGGTGATATGAAGGTTAGAAGCGGTTTTGATTCACATTAACTCGAAACATTTCTGCTGTGTAATAAATACGTCATTGACCAAGCTTGTCCAGTCAAGATGGATGGATATAAGCCTTGTTCTTTTCAAAGCGTTTTTATGGACCTCAACGCTTGGTCAGTGAAACATGCTGTTTATAATAGTAATAGGACCGAGTGGAATCCAATTCAGTCTGTAATCATACCAGTGATTAACAAAATTTGACGACCGCGAAGACAGAATTCCTCCCTACTATATCAATACAACATCAGGCAGACAAGTGATGAGAATACAGAAAGATATCAATTAGGGAATTATTAGACGATCCAATACCAAATTCTCCGAACTGACATCACAATCATTGCATGGCAAATTGTAAGGAGAATTGCTAAAATGAATGAATGAAATGTTGGCACAGATTTTGCTACCATGATGTTTCTCAATACTGAAATTGTAATATTCATCAAAGAAAACAGAACGTTGTGTAGTTAATAGACTTCTTCAGTTTAATTGTATGTTTTGTTTACCCATTTCAGGTCTTAAGGGAATTCCCAGCATTATCTTTGGAGAATCACATGGACATATGCATGTGAATTACATGAAATTTAAAAGAAACAGTTCTCTAGGGTATTGTCACATGACCTGAAATAAGCAAACAGAACATACAAGTGAAAGAGGTCTACTCTTCTGTCCCCAGATGAGGAGTTCTATTCAAATGCTGCACCCCAAAGTATGCACCAAACTCAACTAAGCATGCGACTTTAATTCCCAAGTCACAATAGGAACATTATGATTCAATCATTCACAAAATCCATGATCTTACCCTGTCATTTGGCAGCTCTGAACCTGGACATGTGAGAAGCATGCAGTTTATTCATATAAAGTTTACCCCTACTCCATAGTATCATTTGAACTGACCAGAAACTTTGCTCTAAATTCCTCCTATGTGGGACGTAAGGTCCATTGCACAGGTTACCAATCAGCATTTTGTCTGGTATTCCTGTCAATTAACGTCGTCATTTCTTGATCCACTGTTCAGCATGCTGCCAATCACTCAGCCAGATAGGAGAAATTTTGTCCATTTTGTCTTCAGAAAGATGGGGAAATCAAGCAAACGTTATGTGCAATAAAAAATAATCCCTTTCCAAAGATTAGTTCAATTTTATGGAGTCTTTTTTTTCCAACAATTTTTTATTATTTGTATCAAATCAAGTGCATTTGAGTTTGCAGAAAGAGACTAAGAAATAGCAGTCAAATAAATTATTCCTAAATTGGGATAATAATCTGGAACTAAAGCTGGTATTTCCTAACCTATCACTCCTAACGAACAAGAATTTCTTTCGCTGATGATCATTTCCCATATTCTAATGCACTAAATAAGTGATTCAGTGCTAATACTGTTTGGAGAAATTAGATGTTGGTCATCCTTGAGGTCTTAAAAAAGGTTACAGGTATTAGTTTGACTCAACCAGATTTGCTTCACAATATAACTCAGTAATATTACTATTGAGAAAAGTTTACTGGAAAAAAATGAAAAAAAGCAATAACACAAAGTCAAACGTCAATTAACTCACCCAATCATTGATGAGTATAAAAATAAAATGAAGCGTTGAGCCTGACTTTTTTGCAGTTAAAGTAAAAATCGATGACAACAGAAAATACGAATATGATAACAACTAATGATTTCGACTCATAGTTTACGCTTCATTAACAGAGTGTGGAATGGTAGCTATTTTGTACAAACTTCAGAAGCGGAAATATTTCTGTATAATCCCCTATTATTCTAAAACAAAGTCGTGAAGTCCCAAAGTCGCCGTGACGTTTTCCTCGTCTACGCTAATGAAATATGGGGCTAAGCGAAAGGAAATCATGCCTCAGAAGCTAATAATCGCAAGGTCTTTAAAAATAAAAAAACAATATGCCTCAAAACGTGCCGTACCTTTCAGTTAATACTCAGTCAGATAGGAACTCCGGATGAATTTGTAATGTTTTGTTGTTGCTTTAGCTAGCAGGCGGTCGATGTATTGAACCCACGTTGGCTCCTTCCCAGCTGTCACGCAGCGCTTGATCGACAAAGTCACGCAGTCAGAATCACCATTCTGAGAGAATAAAACTGTTTTTGTCGAAAAGTGAAGTTACCAACTGAGTATCTACCCTTTCTGTATTGAATGAGAAAATCGAAGGAGTGTAATGGTAAAGTAACAGAGTATATGAAAACGAATTCCTGGTTCGTCTTGCTCGCCGCGCACGCGAAAATAATTCTGGGTACTGAAGCATGACAATCATGTGATTATCTGCAGTCGCGCTGACCTGAAGAGACAGATAAAGATTCAAAAGTTACCTTGTGGTCCAACATTGACGACGACAGACTACTGTGGATTGAGGTAGGGTCAAGGAAATTAGTTTACTTCGGACGAAATTGAGTTTATTTAATAATTTACAAATAGAGAAGTCTTGGCTGTGCTCTGTTCTGTAGTAACGCACGCAGGAAGCAGCCAGAGCACGAAAGAAGTGTCTCTAATACAGAATCGGAAAGTGAAATGTTTAGTGAAATTCGACCGAATTGTGGCTCATAAAAACACACAACTTTCTTCACATGACAAATTAAAAACGAACTTTCCAAGGCGAGTGTTTTATGAATGAACGGCAGCCGGAACATGAAGATCGCTCGGGATGACAGCGCCGCAAAACTCGGCTGCAGTTCCACTCAACACATCGGAAAGGATATACAAGTGTTAGCGGTGTTTCATTTTATTACCTTACGCAAGCTTGCAATCTGACTGAGTATGAAAGCCTTTAAAACTCGGACTGTCCATTTGGTTTTCTCTTTGAGGATTGTCGTCTCTGCTCACGTTATAATAACTTAAATTTCGACGCCTGCCATTTTTACAAACCTTTGTTTGGTACTTCTGTTGCTACTTGGTGCCGTCTTTCAAGTTTGTTTATTTTTATTTTTGTCATATGAATTGAATTTCAGGATGCGGATTTTGTGGTTTCTATCAAAACTGGTTCTTCTGTCATCAGTAACATTGGCTATTAAACAGAATTCTAAACCCAACATCATATTCATATTGGCAGATGATCTGGTGAGTATAGTGGATTAGTTATGTAAATTTCCTGATTGTAAGAAAGATAGCCTGCCCAATTCTCATACAGTTGTTTTGAAACCTAGCATTGGGGTCATCTGTGCATGTTTTATTTTGGGGTAAGACATTTGACTTTTACAGTACCATTTTTCACCTGAAATTGCTTCTTTGACCATTGCTTCACTTTCTGTTGCTCTTTTAGGGATGGGATGATGTGAGTTTTCATGGTTCGGAGCAGATTCCAACTCCAAACCTGGATGGACTGGCTAATAGTGGGGTAATTCTCAACAATTATTATGTGCAAAGTATTTGTACACCAACAAGAAGTGCTATAATGACAGGCCGATATCCCATCCATACAGGTGAGTGTTTAGAAAATTTACTTGCTCTAATTTGAGCATTGTTTGCCAGTCCACTTTTTTTTTTCCAAGGAACACAGTAGTATCTCATTATTTATATCACTCCTCTGGTATAATGCTAGGTTTCTGTGTTGTTTGTTTGTTTGTTATTTTCATGAGTACTGTTTTGAATGGTTATGTATCCTTTTCAGGTATATATGTTTTGTGCTATGTTTTCTATTTTAGGGGAAGATTATTGTCAGATTTTCAGTGTGGTAGACTTACATGTAGGACCATGTTGACTGTTCTCAAACAATGCATTAGCTTACATTATTGTATGGCTGACAACACCCATGGGAAAGATGAAGCAAATCTTGTGTTATGATTGGCCATGTGAGCCCATATTTGCTGCTTGGGATTGCCTGCATTGATCCCATGCAAAAAAAAAAATTGTGTGAAGCAGGCTTACAAAGGTTATAATTTATCCACAGTGTCAGGAGTTGTAAAAAGCAACAGAAGACAGTAACAACAAAGAAAACACATTAAACAAGTTTCATGATTTAAATTTGGTACAAAAAGCAACTCTCTTTCCCAGAACTCAAAAAAGCAAGTCATTTGTGATTCTTATTAAACCAAAATCTTTTTGCCATTATATGATAAATCCTTGATACATTTATCAATTAAAGCTTTAACTTCCTCCTCCCCCTCGAGGCAAAAATTTTGTTAAATGTCCCACCTATTTTTTCAGTAAAAGGCATAATCAGAAACAGTAACTTTCTTCATGTTGACCAAGCTATAAAACCTACACCCTGCAGACTTTTTTTCCTTAGCCATTTCATAGCTGAAGTGAAATATTTCCCTTAAACACATACTTAATTAGGGATATAATACTAGTAATCTTCTAGAAAGACTCAACATTAAATTTCAGTTCAAATTTCTCACCCTCCCCGGGGGTACGGACAACAGTGATATTCTCTCCGGTTGAAGGGGGGAGATGTTGAAGCTTGAAATTGATCAACACATTATTGACAAAGCTTGTTCAGTAAATATGGCTGGATATTAAAATTGTAAAAAAGGAACTCAGTTAACATTGAACCATCTTGGCCTCAGGCTTGGTTAGCAGGGCACATTTACATTGAAAGACAACATAGTCACAAAGAAAGTACATTGCATTATTAATGTACTCAAAGTCATTTCAACCAAACCACATGTAACAAGACTTAACTTGTTCTCCTGATTATCTCATAGGAATGCAGCATGATGTCATATTAGCTAGTCAGCCCTATGGCCTTGGTTTGAACGAGACTCTTTTGCCTCAGTACCTAAAAGAACTTGGGTATGCTACACATGCTGTTGGAAAGGTAATAGTTAGACCATAACAATTTAAAAATTCTGCTTAATAACTTTACTGAAGCTCTACCAAGTTTTACTTCATTGGTGGCTAAAACCACTTGGTGGGAAAAAAGGGAATGTAAACTCCCATCTACTACTGTGCTGCTAACTTTGGGGAATGCTGCATCATAAATTTTTGGGAGAGGGTAAAAAAAATGGTAAAAATATGCTCCTGTTATGTGTTTCCTCCTTTCCATGGCTTTGCATGCTTCTCAAAATGTAATGCAAGCTGCATAATGGATATGGCTTATTTTCATTAATTTTTTTTCCAGTGGCATCTTGGTTTCTTCAAAACAGACTACACTCCCACAAGGAGAGGATTTGACACCTTCTTTGGTTATTACTGTGGAAAAGAAGATTATTGGGACCATTCAAATCGTGAGACAAATGGATGGGGATTAGATCTTCACAACAATACAGAGGTACATGTAAATCTGTTAATTAAGAACTGGTTTATTTAAATGATGAAAATGAAGTAACATGCATGTAAACCAAAGAGTGTCAGGTATTTATGCAAACCTATGGTAAATTGTGAACCCTTTCACTTTGGAGATCTAAATGTAAATTCTCTCCACTGTCTACCTTACAATTTTTTTAATTTTAGCCATTAAAAAATTGGTGTCAGAGCAGATAACATTGACTTATTGATGTTTCTTTTTTCTCAACACCTTTTTGCCCAAAACTGTATTGGAATTGTAAGGAGATATTCAATTTTGGTCACACCTGGGGACAAAAAGGTTAAATTTCCAAAATCATTCATTTTATGTTGTAGAGAAAAGGAAGGAGAAAGTTTCTCCCTGAAAATATTCAAAGAGTCCCATCTGCAGGTCTACTGTACCAATTTTATCCCCTTTTTTGTCCCTTGGAGTTTTCTTTCCTCTAACAAGGGTGCAGGTGATGCAAAAATAGGAAAAAAACATCACTGTGAGGAAATGTTGATGTAAGAATTGTAGCAAAGCCAGTTGGGAGAATTACTCTTATGACCTTAAGAGTGAATGGATTGAAAAGGAATCCTTACCCCCCTCTCCCTAATTATGCACATTTTCAAATTTACATTACCTAAGTAGTAAATTTATTGACCTGTTAACCTTCCTCCCTTTTGCACACAAATTCTCATTTCCTTCTGTGCATTCCTCTTTGTAATGTGTTTTGCTATCATTTACCATTTCCACTCTGCCTCCATCTCTTTATCCCTCACTTGTCTTACCTCTTCTATGCTTTTTCTTGAATTTTTACAATGTTTCCTCATCTTCATTTCTTAAATTTGAGTATTTTCTTATAAAATTGATCTCTTCTTTCAACCCTTTGACCCTCAAAAGTGACTAGAATCTAATTTCTCCTTACAATATCCCTCTTAAGTCAAACATCAGGGTCACGAGAATAAAGAAAATGATCACCAAATTAACAATTTAACTCTTGACTGTTAAACAAATTCTCCTTGTCAGCTCCTTTGGAATGTACAGAGAACAGTATGGAGAAGATGCATACTGATGCAAGGGTGTAAAGGGTTGGTATCACAACTGTTCAAAGTGTTTATTTACATGCAACTGTACTATTTACACATCTCTTTTCAGCATACATTTCAGCCTGTCTGGACGGAATGGGGCCAGTACAGTACTGATATGTTTACAGAGAGAGCCATAGACATCATTAAAAAGCATGACCCTTCCAAGCCATTGTTTTTGTATCTTCCTTACCAAGCTGTCCACAGTGCAAATTACATTCAGCCAATTCAGGCCCCTCCAGATGAAATCAAGAAGTTCTCCCACATCAAAGATGAAAACAGAAGAATCTTTGCAGCAGTGGTTTCAGTCCTTGATCAGAGAGTAGGACAGGTACACACAACGCTTGTTTTATTTATACTGTCTTGTTTTTTAAGTTGCTTTGAATTTTTATATTTCTTTTTGTTTGATTAAGTGTAGGTTTTAGGTGCTTTTAATGCTTTGAAACTTGCAATTAAATTGGCTTTGGGCGAAAGAGTTAGTGATCTATAGTAGGTCTCTAATGAGTTTAATAAAAATCTCTATTGCAGCTTGTTGATGCACTCAAAGGGAGTGGTTTGTACAACAATTCAGTGATCGTCTTCTCGACAGACAATGGTGGTCCTGCAAATGGTTACGATATGAACATGGCTTGTAATTTTCCCCTGAGGGGCGTAAAATGGACGTTGTGGGAAGGTGAGTCGAAGCATCCTTCAACCCTTTACACCCTAACATAAGTATGAATATTCTCCATACAGTCTTCTTTGTATTCCTTGGGGTATTGAAAAGGAGAATTTGTTCAACAATCCAGAGCTGCTCTAGCGGGTGATCATTTCCTTGATTTTCGCGACCTTAAAGTTTGATTCAGGGATGATGTTGAAAGGAAAATTTGATGCAAGTCACCCTACGGGGTTTGAAGAGTTACTCGTTTGTGGTACATGCATATCGTTGAAGTGGTATGCATTTTTGTAGTTTGTGTGTAAATTGATTGTAAGTCGTCAATTGTCTCAATAGGAGGCGTTCGTGGCGCGGGATTCGTACACAGTCCTTTACTGGCCCAGAAAGGCCGAGTAAGCATGGATTTGATGCACGTGACTGACTGGCTTCCCACACTGTACAGTGTAGCAGGAGGTGACATTCATAAACTTCGTAATGTGGATGGCTATGATATGTGGGACACGCTTTCTCAAGCTTCTCTATGTCCCCGCGAAGAGATTCTTCTCAACATAGACCCTGTCAGAGGTGACTCGGCTTTACGGTACAGGCAGTGGAAGCTTCTTGTTAATATAAGTAAGTATTATTGTACGGTATGATGTCAAACCGATTTTTCTTTGTAACAACTCTCTGTTTATGCGAACTGAGTGAAATAAGACTAAATTTGAAGAGTTTGAGCTAGCAGTTGTCTGTGGATGTCACTGAGTCAGCGACGTCGATAGAAAAAGTGTGATTTAGTATAATCAACTGAGTTGATAACGTAAATTGGCCACCGTAAAGAGTTTCAAAGCTGACGTTTCGAGCGTTAGCCCTTCGTCAGAATGAATGAAAAGTGGGTGAGCGAAAAACAGCGCAGGTATGGGAAAAGCAGGGGAAAAGACTCTTCGTTTCTTTCCTTATAATACACGCTCCGTTTTACGCCTGCCAATTTTTCGATCTTCTTCACTGATGCACGGTGTTGGAATTAAACAGTTTGCCTGACAATATGACTAAATTAAAAAATGCAACTCATCTCTTTTAGTTGTAATACACGACTATACATTTTTAAATTAAAATCAATCTGAACATTTAACTGTGGCTTAAATATATGGCGCTTACTCCTGTACATATCACTAGCACTACTCTGACATGTTATCACCTTATGACGTTGTTTCTCTCCCCCACCCCCAGGTTCAGGCTGGAGCGGATGGTATGCTCCCCCCGGAATTGAATACTCCAACCATTCTACTCGAGCTGCGCATGCGTCGTTGAAGAATGCCGTCGTTACTTGTGGTGAGCCGCCAAGTTCCCCTCCTGAGTGTACCCCCGAGTTGGGTCCATGCTTGTTTGATGTTCTAGCTGACCCGTGTGAGTATGTGAACCAGGCTAAAAACCACCCGGATGTTGTAGACGGCATGTTGCATTGGCTTAAAGAGTACAGAGAAACGATGGTACCGACGAGGAACAAGCACTTTGATCCTAGGGCTAATCCAAACAACTTCGGTGGAGTTTGGTCTCCTTGGATGGACTGAGAACTTGCTTCGAGATTAGACCCTTTTAAGAGAAAATGAGGAAACAGAGAAACTCCTGGTCTAAGCAGGGCGTGAAATTGCGCCTAATACAGGCGCCAATGCGACTAAATTTTTTACTTTGGCGACCAAATCCTGAAAATTAGTCGCCAAATTGGCGACTAGAATGTTTCATCACAACCTTACTTAGAATTTTATAGTAAATTAAAAAGATTTGCAAAGATAAATCCGCGGCAAACTTCCTCATTAAGTTTGTTTCCAAAACGCAGCACATGCATCTCAATCGATAACTAAATTTAGGATGGATTTAGGTGAGCTTGAACGTTGCATATCATCCATTCTATTGTCCACTTTGTAGCACGTTAAAGATCTTTTCCCTAACTTAATTTCTAGAACGATGACAGCGAAAAAAAAAGGGTTTGTTTGTCTTTGAAAATGGCGACCAACTTTTTTGAATTGGCTACCACTTTGAATAATTTAGGAGCCAAGTGGCTATCAGAAAAAAAAATCAATTTCACGCCCTGCTAAGCCCTTGGATATAACTGCTATTCTCATAAACGAAAGTATGTTTTCCCAGACGCCCGTACAGATTATCTTTTCGGTGTTTTCCTTTCCTGATCGGCCGCCATGATTACTTTGGTTTTGGTTTTGCAAAAATCAATCGAAAGCGCTCTAGCATTCATTTAATCACAATCTAAAAGGGTCAGCTTTTAAGCTGGAGTATGATCGACTTCTTCATCTTGGAGTGCTCTGGAACAACCAGTAACTCTTTTTGTGACTCGAGTGACCAGACTCGTCCCTTTTTTTTAAAAGTAACATAATTGTTTTCCGAGTGGAAGATCTAATGTATGGTTGAAAAGGAAATTCCACGTCTCAATACGCATTTCGAAATTTAAGGAGACCGTAATTGTTTTGGACTTTAAAAAATTATGTTCAATATTTTAGTCTGTGCAATTCAAGAGTTTTATCCATATACTGAATGTTGAAACTGTGTGATGGTAAGAAAGATACAAGCAACTAAATATGTTAGTAGATAGATCAGCGCTGTACGCGTTGTAGAATTATATCCTGAGACAAGGTTAGTGTTGCCTCGAAATTTGTTGTAAAATAATGAAATAAACTTGCACGTAATGCGCTGCAATTTCGTCTCAAGACTAAGCTTACTATCGTTAAGGAGTAGTCTAACCTTAAAGAAGGACAGTTTGTCTAATAATAAAAAATTTGTTGAATTTGTGATCATTTCCAATTCTCACAACTCTCCAAGGTGGAAATGAAGGAAACCATGTTATTTTAAATGAAGCTAGGCGCTTTGGGAAGAACGTCTCAAACCACGAATTCGGGGTCTGGCAAGAACTTTGGTGGTATGGAGCTAAAGATGGATGTCTGACATTGTGGGTTGTTGTGGTTCGATATCGTTTGTTGAGTGCTGAGCGGAAATCTTGCCTCAGAAGCTAATTATCGCAGGGTTTTTAAAAAGGAAAAAGACTATGCCTCAAAAGGTGCCGTATCTTTCAGTTAGTACTCACTCCGATAGGAATTTTAGATGAAATTGTGATGATTTGTTGTTGCGTTAGCTGGCGGTCGATGTACTTAACCTACGCTTACCCAGCTGTCACGCAACGCTTGAATCAACAAAGTCACCTGGTTAGAATAACCATTTGAGAGAATAAACCTGTTTAGGCCGAAAAGTGAACTTACCAACTGAGTAGCCGCTCTTTCGGTAATAAATGAGATAATCGAAGGAGTGTAATGGTAGAGTAACAGAGTACATAAAAACGAATTCTTAGTTCGTCTTGCTCACCGCGCACGCGATATAGAAATAGAAGTCTGGGTACTGAATCAGGACAATCATGTGATGGTCATTTGAAGAGACAGTGAAAGATTTCAAATTTATCTTGTGGTCCAACATTGACGAAGACAGACTACTGTGGATTGAGGTAGGGTCATGGAAATTGTTTACTTCGGACGAAATTGAGTTTATTTCATAAACAAATATATGCATGAGGAAACTTTTGAGTATTTTGGACTTATTGTTTCGATGATAGCGCTCAGGTGTCAAAATTACTTTTGTTAATTTTATAAGATCACACCGGAGTCTTTGATGCTCAATGAAAAGCTGATTTTTCAACGACTTTGAAACATATTTGTTCTTTTTGGAACTAAGCAGCCATGATCTAGGGATTACCTGGCCGCAATTTACGAACAACTGAATTCTGCGTGCAGAAATTGTGCAAAACATCTCAGGTCGTCTCTGGCAGTTCATATGGGTTACTGGGGTTCTGCTAAAAAATTTTTTAGCCATGCCTTCTCTCCTGCATGGTTACTTAATTGATGCTGTCTTTTAAGTCTGTTGATTTTTATTTTTGTCCTAATAATTAGATTTCAGGATGCAGATTTTGTGGTTTCTATCAGAACTGGTTCTTCTGTCATCAGTAACGTTGGCTATTAAACAGAATTCTAAACCCAACATCATATTCATTTTAGCAGATGATCTGGTGAGTATCGTGGATTAGTTATGTAAGTTTCCTGATTGTAAGAAAGATAGCGTGCCCAATTCTCATACAGTTGTTTTGAAACCTAGCATTGGGTTCATTTGTGCATGTTTTGTTTTGGGGTAAGACATTTCACTCTTACAGTACCGTTTTGGGCTGAAATTGTTAACCCCTTGGTCCCCAAGAGAGATATCAAGTTTCAAGGGACTCTCAAGTTTTTCTTTAACCATTGCTCAATGTTCTATTGCTCTTTTAGGGATGGGATGATGTGAGCTTTCATGGCTCAGAGCAGATTCCAACTCCAAACCTGGATGGACTGGCTAATAGTGGGGTAATTCTCAACAATTATTATGTGCAGTGTCTTTGTACACCAACAAGAAGTGCTATAATGACAGGCCGATATCCCATCCATACAGGTGAGTGTTAGACGATGTTTGTTAGTCCCCTTTTTTTTTTCCAAAGAAAAAGGTAGTATCTCTGTCATTACTTATATCACTCCTGTGGTATTGCTTGGTTTCTGTGTTGTTTGTTTGTTATTTTCCTGAGTTCCATTTTGTCCATTTTGAAAGGTTATGCATCCTTTTCAGGTAAATATGTTGTGTGCTATGTCTTTTATTTTAGGGGAAGATTATTGTCAGATTTTCAGTGTGGTTGACTGAAATGTAGGACCATGTTGACTGTTCTCAAACACTGCATTAGCTTTCATCACTGTATGGCTAACAATGCCCCTGGGCAAGATGAAGCAAATCTTGTGTTCTGATTGGCCACCTGAACCCATCTTTGCTGTTTGGGATTACTTGCATTGATCCCACACAAGAGAAAAAATATTGTGTGAAGCAGGTTGCTTCAACACCTGACATTTTGCACAATATCAGGAGTTAAATTGTAAAAAGCAGCGGAAGACAGTAGTAACAAGGAAGACACATTAAAGAAGTTTCATGACTTAATTTGGTACAAAACCGACTCTCTTTGCCAGAACTAAAAAAAAGCAAGTCATTTGTGATTCTTATTGAACCAAAATCTTTTTGTTATTATATGATAAATCATTTATACATCCATTAATTAAAGCTTCAACATTCTCCTCCTCAGGCAACCCCCCCCCCTCAGGTATTTGAACTGTTGAAGATTGGTTTGTTCAAATTCCACCCCCCCTCCCCTTGAGGCAAAAATTATGTGCAAATGTCCCACCTATTTTTTGTGTAAAAGGCATAATCAGAAACAGTAACTTTCTTCATGTTGACCAAGCTATAAAACCAAGACCTTGTGGACCTTTTTTTCTGAGTCATTCCTTAGCTGAAGTGAAATATGTACCTTAAACACCTCCTTAGTTAAGGATATAATACTTGTAGTCTCCTGGAAAGACTCAACTTTTAATTTGGGTTCAAATTCCCTACCCCCCCTGGTATGGACAACAGTGATATGCTCACGGGTTGAAAGTGGAGGGAGACATTGAAGCTTGAAATTGATCAGAACATTTTATTGACAAAGCTTGTTCATTAAAGATGGCTGAATATGAAAAGCGCACAAAAAGAACTTGGCTAATATTGAACCATGTTGGCCTCAGGCTTGGTCAACAAGGCATATATATGGTACACTGAAAGACAACATAGTCATCTAGAAAGTACATTTCATTATTAATGCACTCAAACTCAAAAAACTTTTCTTGTTTTCCTGATTATCACTAAGGAATGCAGCATGCTGTTATATTAGCTAGTCAGCCCTTTGGCCTTGGTTTGAATGAGACTCTTTTGCCACAGTACCTTAAAGAACTTGGATATGCTACACATGCTGTTGGAAAGGTAGTGGTTAAACCATAACAATTGAAAAATTATGCCTAATAACTTTACTGTCAGTAGCTCTTCCAAGGTTTACTTTATTGGCAGCCAAAACCACTCTGTGGGAAAAAATGGGAATGTATACTGCCATCTACTGTGGTGCTGCTAACTTTAGGGGAATACAGGGCTCGAACTTAACTTTTTTGTCTACTAGCAAAGTTTTGCTAGTAAGATTTTTTTTACAAGCAAAAGAAGGAACCTTACTAGCAAATGTTTGCTAGAGGATATTTTTTTAGACTAAACTTCTTTTTCAAGGGGAATAGCCCTAATAGTATGTCGTAAGTTTTGGGGAGAGGGTAATAAAAAAAAGGGTAAAAAATATGCCCCTGTCATATGTTTCCTCCTTCCCATGGCTTTGCATGCCTCTCAAATTGCAATGCAAGCTGTATAAATTAATGTGTATGCCTTGTTTTCATGCATTTTTTTCCAGTGGCATCTTGGTTTCTTCAAAACAGACTACACTCCCACAAGGAGAGGATTTGACACTTTCTTTGGTTATTACAGTGCAAAGGAAGATTATTGGGACCATTCAAATGATGAAATGTATGGATGGGGATTAGATCTTCACAACGATACAGAGGTAAATCTGTTTATCAAGAACTAAGTTATTTTAATCCTTATTATATTTAACCCTTTGACCCATAAGAGTGACTAGCATCTAATTTCTCCCTACAATATTCCTCTCGAAACAAACATCAAGGTCAAAAGAATAAAGAAAATGATCACCAACTTAACAATTTTACTCTTGACTGTTAAACAAGTTCTCCTTGTCAGCTCCTCAAGGATGTACAGAGAACAGTAAGGAGAAGATGCATTCTGATGTAAGGGTGTAAAGGGTTGGTATCACAACTGTTCAAAGTGTTTATTTACATGCACCTGTACTATTTACATGTCTCTTTTCAGCATACATTTCAGCCTGTCTGGACAGAATGGGGCCAGTACAGTACTGATATGTTTACAGAGAGAGCCATAGACATCATTAAAAAGCATGACCCCTCCAAGCCATTGTTTTTGTATCTTCCTTACCAAGCTGTCCACAGTGCAAATTACATTCAGCCAATCCAGGCTCCTCCAGATGAAATCAAGAAGTTCTCTCACATCAAAGACGAAAACAGAAGAATCTTTGCAGCAGTGGTTTCAGTCCTTGATCAGAGAGTAGGACAGGTACACTCACCACACTTGTTTTACTTATACTGTCATGTTTTTGAATTTGTTTTAAATGTTCATATTTCTCTCTGTTTGATTAAGTGTATGTTTTTGGTGCTTTTATTACTTTGAAACTTGCATTCAAACTGGCTTTGGGCAAAAGAGTTGGTGATTTATTGCAGGTCTCTAAATAAAAATAAAAGTGAGTTAAATAAAAATCTCTATTCCAGCTTGTTGATGCACTCAAAGGGAGTGGTTTGTACGACAACTCAATAATCGTCTTCTCGACAGACAATGGTGGTCCTGCTAATGGTCTCAATATGAACATGGCTTGTAATTTTCCTCTGAGGGGTGTAAAATTTACGTTGTGGGAAGGTGAGTCGAATCATCCTTCGACCCTTTACACCCTTATATGAATAGGTGCTGACAAGGAGAATTTGGTGAACAATACAGAACTTCTTTAGTAGGTGATCATTTCCTTTATTCTCGCGACCATAATGTTTGATAATGTGTGATGTTAATAGATTAAGAAAAATGGTAAGTTTTGAGTTCATTAAAGAAATAGAGAAACATGTTTTCCGTCTTGTCACGAGTGTGGGAGAAAGAAAAAATTCTGAGTCCTCATGAGGAATCGAATCTCAGACCTCCGGATTCTGCGCTCTGATGCTCTACCACTGAGCTACAGAGACTCTATGGTGAGCTAGACCCATTATGAAGTTCATACGTCCTGCATACTGTTAGGATCAGTAATGTTTTTTTTCTTTTGTCCCATGCTCGTGACAAGACAAAAAATACCTTTCTCTATTTCTTTACCGAGTTCAAACGTACCAACTTTCTTACTCTATACACAAACATGACACTACAGACATCGCTGATCCTAGAAGTATGCAGGACGCGTGTTATACATGAACTTCGTAAATTTGGGCCTCGCTCACCATAGAGTCTCTGTGGCCCAGTGGTAGAGCTTCTGTGCGCGGAATTCGAAGGTTTGAGGTTCGATTCCTCATGGGAACTCTCAATTTTTCTTTGTCCCACATTCATGACAAGGTGAAAAACATCTTTCCCCAATGCGTAATGTTGTAAGGAGTAAGTAGATGCAAGTCACCCTTAGTGGTTAAAGATTTACTCGTCTATAGTACGTGTATGCCGATGAAGTGGTATGCGTTTTTGTGGTTAGTGTGTAAGTTGATTGAAAATCGTCAAATGTCTTAACAGGAGGTGTTCGTGGCGCGGGATTCGTACACAGTCCTTTACTGGCCCAGAAAGGCCGAGTAAGCATGGATTTGATGCATGCGACTGACTGGCTTCCCACACTGTACAGTGTAGCAGGAGGTGACATTCACAAACTTCGTAATGTGGATGGCTATGATATGTGGGACACGCTTTCACATGCTTCTCTATGTCCCCGCGAAGAGATTCTTCTCAACATAGACCCTGTCGGAGGTGACTCGGCTTTACGGTACAGGCAGTGGAAGCTTCTCGTTAATATAAGTAAGTATTATTGTAACGTCGATTTTTCTCGGTAACAACTCCCTTTGTATCTCAACTGAGTGGAATAAGATTAAATTGGAAGAGTTTGAGCTGGCAGTTGTCTGCGGTAGATGTCACTGGGTCAGTGACGGCGATAGAAAAAGTGTGAATTAGTATTATCAACTGAGTTGATAACGTAAATTGGCCACCGTAAAGAGTTTCAAAGCTGACGTTTCGAGCGTTAGCCCTTCGTCTGAGTGAATTAAAAGTGGGCAAGCAAAAAGCAGCGCTGGTATGGAAAAGCAGAGAGCGGAAAGATTCTTGGCACCTTTCCTTCTAATACACGCTCCGTTTTTCGCCTGCCTATTTTTCGATCTTCTTCACTAATGCATGGTGTTGGAATTAAACAGTTTGCCTGACGGTTTTATTTACTTCAAAAATGTAACTTATCTCTTTTGGTTGTAATACACGACCATACAATTTTAAATTAAAATCAATCTGAACATTTAACTGTGGCTCAAATATATGGCGCTTACCCCTGTACATATCACTAGCACTACTCTGACATGTTATCACCTTATTACGTTGTTTCTCTCCCCCATCCCCAGGTACAGACTGGAGCGGATGGTATGCTCCCCCCGGAATTGAATACTCCAACCATTCTACTCGAGCTGCGCATGCGTCGTTGAAGAATGCTGTCGTTACTTGTGGTGAACCGCCAAGTTCCCCTCCTGAGTGTACCTCCGAGTTGGGTCCATGCTTGTTTGATGTTCTAGCTGACCCTTGTGAGTATGTGAACCAGGCTAAAAACCACCCGGATGTTGTAGACGGCATGTTGCTTTGGCTTAAAGAGTACAGAGAAACGATGGTGCCGCCAAGGAACAAGCCTTTTGACCCTAATGCTAATCCTAACAACTTCGGTGGAGTTTGGTCTCCTTGGATGGATTGAGAACTTGCTTTGTGAGTTAAACCCTTTTAAGAGAAAATGAGGGAACAAATGGACTCCTGGTCCAAGCCCTTGGATATAACTGTTATTCTCGTAAACGAAAGTATGTTCTCCCAGACATCCGTACGGATTATCTTTTCGGTGTTTTCCTTCCTTTTGATTGGCCGCCATGATTACTTTGGTTTTGGCGACAATCAATCGAAAGCGCTCTTGCATTCATTCAATCACAATTTAAAAGTGTCAGTTTTACGTCACAAAACTAAACTTACACAGCGTACTTTTAACCTTTCTTAGATTACGATCGACTTCTCCATCTTGGAGTGCTCTGGAACAACCAGTAACTCTTTTTGTGACTCAAATGACCAGACTCGTTTTTTTTTAAATTAACATAATTGTTTTCCGAGTGAAAGATCTAATGTTTGGAAGAAAAGGAAATCCCACATCTTAATACGCATATTGAAATTTTAGGAGACCGTAATTGTTTCGGACTTTAAAAAAAGTAAGGTCAATTTGTTAGTCTGTGGAATTTAGGAATTTTGATGTATTTCCATATACTGAATGTTGAAAATGTAATAATTAGATAGCTACAAGCAACGAAATATGTTTAACAAATAGATTCCAAGTTGCCGTACGTCTGTTCAGTAATAGATCACAGAGGACGTCAAAATGTGGTAAGAACAAAAAAGTGGCGCAGCCGAGTGTGTCACTGACGTCCTCTGTGATCTATTACTGAACAGACGCACGGCAACTTGGAATCTATTTGTTTTATATAATAAAAAAATTAAAATATACGGGAAAAAAAAAGTTTTAATGATGACGTCATCAATACGTCTGTCCTCCAATAGATCATAAGTGAGAACCAATCAGAATGCGTACATAACTGAGCTCATTACATAAAAGTAAATAGATCAGTGCTGTACGCATCATATAATTAGATACTGAGACAAGGTTAGAGTTACCTTGAAATTTGTCGTAAAATAATGGAATAAACTGGCACCTAATGAGCAACAATTTCGTCTCGACACTAAGCTGACTATTGTTAAGGAGTAGTTTAACTCTTTACACCCTAACGTCAGTCTGTATGTTCTTGATATTGTTCTCTATACCTTTCCCATGGTACCTTGAAGAATAATTTTTCTTATAATCAAGAGCTTGTTGGCTTTGTGATCATTTCCTTTATTCTTACAACTGTAATATCTGATCCAAGGGTGGTACTGTAGAGAGAAATTAGATGCTTATCATTCTCAGAGTTTAAGAGGTTAACAGAGAAACTGGGCGGTTTATTAAAGGGTCAGACAACAATTTCTCAAACCACGTGATTTTGAGGTCTGGTAGTGTGTGGCCAAATGTGTATGTTGAGGTCTGATATGAGGCGGAAAGAGATGGGGGGGGGGGCTTACTTACGGGTGGTAGGTGTCGTTCCAACTGCTCTGGTGGAAGAGGAAACTATGTTATTTTTCAGCCTGGGGGATACAAGAATAGTGGTATGAACTTTACGAAGCTTAGGATCGATGTCTGATATTGTGGGTTGCTGTGGTTTGATATCGTTTTTAAGGTCTGGTGAGGAGGCTATGTTTCCTATGAGTGACGTTCCAACTGCCAAACAGTAGGTTAAACGGGCAATCATCACATTTTAATTTCAGCCTTGTGGAAGCGCTAGTTCAAAGCAGCCATGATTACGATCAGCAGAGCATCTTGCAACTTCGCCGCTGAAACCCTTCTGAAGCGTGGAAAAAAGCCGCAAGGTAACCAGCTACAGCTTCATCCTCCCTCTGACACACAAGAAGTGCGTGAGAGCGAGACGGTCACGAAAGAAGTAACTTGTCGCCCCATGTAAGGTAATCCGGTTTCCGGAATCCAGGAAATTTTTGCTCGTGGAATCCGGAATACTGGGCATTGGAATCCAGAATCCCGCTAAAATCGTCAAATCGTATTAACTGCTTTCATGCGCATCCATGCAACCACGGTCATGCTAAAACGCAGACTGCAGACCATGTAGAGCGCGCTTTGTTCGGTGGAGAATTCCGACTGTTACAGCTTGCGAGACACGGACAAATTCATTCATGACCTATCACCAAATCGACTTCGACTTCCTTATTTCCCAGTAGAGTTCGATTTAGCTCGCATCTCTTCCTTTACTCTTAAGTTCTTTAGGCTGTTATGTGAAGATTCCATACCTCTAAATCAGCGTCACATACAAATTACATGCCGTGTAAGGCCATGAACTCGAGAAACTTGAGCCTGCGATTTTTGTTTTGCTAACAAGAGCTCGAAATAACATCATAAAATTTCATCATGTGGTGTCCAAAGTGCAGAGTGCAGTTCACTGAAGTGGTCAATGGTATGCAAATTTGGAGGGACAAAAGAAATTGTTTACATAAACGAAGCGTTCAAATCCCATAGGATTTTCTTAGAACACCAACATGACGACGGACCGCACGTTTCCAATTACGATAAACTTTAAACAAAGATATATATGTGGATACCTATGGGAGCCGGGAGAGGTATATTTCTAAGTAGATTTTTTACCATTTAAACGTAAACTGCTTTCTTTGATATTTGGCATTCGGAATAACGAATTTGGATAAAATTTCCGCACAGCCCCATACTATTGTAAAACAAATCTGTTTTCCCAATGGCAATGTATTGTTTTAGTCATTGTTTTCTCTATTCAAGAACTGAATGCATAATGAAGTATGGGGCTGTGCGGAAATTTTACCCGAATTTGAAGATTTCATTACGCATCATATCTCAGTGCAAATAAAGTAAGATATTACCAGAATTTAGGGTCAAACAACATTTTGTAGAGAAGAAAATAGCGGCGGGCCCCTTTATAAAATCATTGCCCTGGAGAATTCATAGCCGACGCAATGTGAGTTGACTTGGTTAACCTTTTAAAGAAAAAGGAAGTACTGAGAAAGGAGAATCTTTTTCTTAGAAAATTACCGTGTAAATACAGATCTTTCGCGATTTTGCAAAGGTTTTAGTATAGTTGAGTTAGTTGAACACCGTTTTATCCGCAATCTCATAATGTCGAACATCGTCGCCAATTACATATAGGAAAACAAGCTTTTCTTAGTACAGGCTGCAATTTATTTGCGACATACACGGGGCGTTATAAAAAGTGTATTTCAGTTTTAGTTTTTCCTCAATTTGGTCTTTGTTTACGTTAAAAAACCAATTTGAGATGGATTCCGGAACCTGCAGGGGTAGAATCCAGCACCTGAATCTTATATTGTCCTGAATTACCTTACACAGGGCGAAACCTGGAATGGCCAATGGAGCATGGGAATTAAGTCCAACTCCTCCCCAAGACTACGCAGTGGTTCGTTGCAACTTGAGATCAATCTTTTCCCCAATCTCGTGCCTGTAACGAGTCGAGTCTGTGTTGACCGAAAAATCCTGCCAAAAGTCGGCCGAAGGCTAGGTAGAGTGGCGTATACATTATAGGAGGTATTAAATAATTTTTAGGATTATAATCTTTAGCCAAGGAAAGAAGCACATGCACACATATGCGTTATGCAATCCATATTATGTCTGCCTCAAAGTAATTGCTTAATTATATTGACGAAAATCGTGTCTGTGCGAGTCTGCGTACCTCTATTGAATTTGCCCTTCATGCATAACATAATTAACTATTACTTCTTGTGTCACCCCTAAAGTGGCCCTATTTTGCTTGATACATATTATGAAAGATTTTTTCAACAACGAACGAAATCTCCTCGTACCTCGATCGGCTGATGTCTGGGCAAAATTGTAAATAGTTCATGATTAACTCAATTTATTTTAGCCAAATTTAAACATCCTTTACATTCAGCTGTCTTAAATCGTGAAGTATGCTGGATAATGAGGGGAAAGGATGGCTGATGAATTAAACTTAGTGGTTCTGATAAATCCAATGGTAATCTATGAAGGGAAATTTCATTTTCGATCCAAAACCCTTGAGGAAGGGAGTCATGCCCCACGCTCGTGACAAGACGAAAAAACATCTTTCTCTAAGCTTACAATTTATTCTTCACAGAAGCCAGCAAAAGCTTGACCCAAAAGGCAATTTTTTTAAGTTGCTGTCAAGAAAATCAACATTTTGGATTTTGTGACATGAAAATTTGACACAAAAGTCGAGGGTTGGTATACTCAGTGGAGTACAGAAACATTACTATTGATCCCTTGAATTTACCCATTAGAACCTCATGTGGACCTCTTGGAAAAAAGCAAAACATGGTATGATTACAAAATTGCCACATTAGTTTATGCCTGTCTGTAGCTGAATATCCAGACCACAATGATGATTGCTTTCATTCAAAAATAAATTGTACGTGTGTTGGAAGGGTCATGCAGAAATAGTTCGTACTCCAGTTTGTTTGGAAAGTTCTTCTAGGATGCTGCTTTTCTGTAGTTCTGCTCCCAACTGTCCAAAGGATTGGATGACACTTCCCAGTGTGTTTAATTAATTGCCATCTGCTGGAAAGAGTTATTTGTGTTATATACGTGTAATTGATAGCAATTTATCTGGTGGATCAAGTTATCCACCCTTCAGACAACCAAGGCCTAAAATTTTTTTTCCTCATTAACAGAAGGTCAACATGCAGTTGATATCATTGAATATTGCAGTCTTTGTGTCATTGTTGCTCTATGGCCTGCCGCTGTCAAGTGCAACCAAGCAAAGCTCAAAGCCACACATCATATTTATTGTCGCTGATGATTTGGTGAGTCATATGTGAGGAAATTACCATGATATCTCCACATCTGAGTGCAAGATATTTAATCCGAATTGAAAAAGCAACATTCATTTTGGATGTCTTTGAGACTATACGGTCCAATGCCTAATGGACAATTAATATGATAATTGTAGAAAAAAGATGAAAACATGCAAAGAGGAAATCTGTATTAAATAAATCTAATTTCTTTTGAAATTGCAAATATGAAGATACTTGTGGAGCTACAAGGTAATTTGGTATTATTGACTCAGTTGATAATATAAATTGGCCATTCTAAAGAGTTTCTAAGCTGACATTTGGAGCTTCAGCCCTTTGTCAGAGTGAATGTGGAGTATTAACTTGTGGAGCAGATAAGTTCCTCACCTGCCTACCTGGTAGAAGTATGCATTTCATAAATGTTTTGGTAAAATTTGGAACTACACAGGGCCAAATCTAGAGTACATGTGCACGGAATTCCAACCCCCCTCCCCCTTCCTCTAAGATGGCTTGCAGTTTTTTAAATTGATATTTAATAATAATATTAAGCTGTATGGTGTTTGCTTTATATTTTTATGTCTTTCCTTGATTTAAGTCTTCCTCTGTCTTGTGCCCTTTTAAAAAAGTATTTTATGTCATCCACCAGGTATGTCTCATTCCTTCCATGGCACATCCCTCCTGAGAAAAATCCTGGATCCCCACACATCCCCCTCCCCTCCCACTAGACCAAGTGAATATCCTTTAGCTGATATATGTTGAATTTTCTGCCCTTATTTTCTGATTGGTCAATTATGATAATCATAAATTCAATTACCTAATTGAATGATTCTTTTTAGGGATGGGATGATGTGAGTTTTCATGGCTCAGAGCAGATCCCAACACCAAACCTGGATGGACTAGCCAACAGTGGGATAATTCTCAATAATTATTATGTTCAACACATATGTACACCGACAAGAAGTGCTATAATGACAGGCCGATATCCCATCCATACAGGTGACATAATGTTAAAATGACCAAAACTCATCACCATGAACACACAGAATATTTATTATCAAAATTATAACATGCATAAATATACACCAATTGATGCGACATCATGTATGCAATATAAGATGTAAACACATTGTGTGTATATTACAAAAGATATAACATGCAGCACTTTAAAGTTAATCCAAGACATTGACAAAAAATAAAGATCAGCAAAATGGTGTTATCAGGTAATTCAGTAAAGAAATAGTTAAATAATAATGTTTTGTAAGGTGAAACTTCCTTTTTGCTGTCACATATTGGTTGCAAGACAGGTAAATTTGTCTAGCACTACTGTATACCACCAATAAGCTATGAGTAACTTCTTCCCCACCCCACCCTATTTGGTAGCTTTATTGCATGTTTGATGCTCAGACTGCAAACTAGGCTGCAAGCTGGTCTTTATAATTAGTGTTGCAGAATGCAAGTTTCTCTGTGTGTAGGAAGATTGGAGACAAGTTAGGAACAGGTTTGGCAAGGGTTTGGCATTGATATTATCAATGTTAGACCCCTCACAGACCTCTGACTCCAGCTGCACTGTTCAAGGCCTCACACTTTCCTAAGGCCATAAAAAAAGCCCAAAGTGTTAACATCAAGGGCCTAATCACAGGCTAATTGCTATTACTTACTCTAACTCTAAGTGATAACCATGATCATTATGTACATATGTTTAGGTATGCAGCATTATGTTATTGAAGCCGCACAGCCCTATGGACTTGGTTTGAATGAGACTCTTTTGCCACAACACTTAAAACAGCTTGGATATGCCACACATGCTGTTGGAAAGGTAAAACACTTGGCTCTTTTAGGGATAACTGTGTTGATCATTTATACCTAGGTATGCAGCACAGTGTTATTCAATCTTCCCAACCTTATGGACTTGGGTTGAATGAGATTCTTTTGCCACAGTACTTAAAACAGCTTGGATATGCCACACATGCAGTTGGGAAGGTACAAATTACAAACAGTGATAATGACAAATCTTGCACCTTTCTGCCAGCTGTACAATTTGTTACTTTTCTCCTTAATAATAATACTGCTAACAGATGTACATGTGTATACCTGGGCCTGGTTTACCAAAGATCGGACAACGGTATCCAACAGATAAACTGCTATCCAGGGGGTATGTGTTAACCAGATAGAGATTTATCCAGAAGCTAGCATTGTCCACCCTGTGAACAACCAGGACATGAATGATAGCTATACCCCAGAGGTTTCCATGCCTTTTTTCCACAAGCAGCTTCCAATGATGTCATAAGCAGCTGTGCCTGTAAAGGTACTGTTAGGCAAAACCCAAATGCAAGAAGCTGCTTGCAAGTGAAACAGATGACACCTTGATGCTCACAAGTCAAATTAAAAGTTAGCATCTCTGTTATGAGGCCCTATTAGGGGGGGGGGGTCTCTATGTCCCCTGTCTGAATTCAAACCTTTGCATGTTACATTTTCAAAAGGTTTGCTATCTTGATCTAAGACCGAGTTCTTGTAACTAATATACAAGGATATGTGTAGCAGCTACAAGGGAGATTAACAATCAGATCTTGGGAGTTAAAGGCTTAATCACCGAGTCATCTACTCTTTTCTTTATTTCCTTCCTCTTTATTCATCAGTTTTCCATTCAGTTATCTTCCCTTTTTTTATCTACTTTTTTTGTCTTCTAGTGGCATCTTGGTTTCTTCAAAACAGAATACACTCCTACAAAACGAGGATTTGATTCTTTTTTTGGTTACTGGTGTGGAAAGGAAGATTACTGGGACCATTCAAACAAAGAAGTATTCGGTTGGGGATTGGACCTTCGTGATAACCTGGAGGTAAAAGTTGAATTGATTCAGAGTTAGTATGGAATTCCATTAAAATAATTATGTTCAATAGAGCGATTTTCAATTGAGTGTCAAAAGTATTCTGGGATTTCTTTGCTTTTACTTTTCTTCGCGCTGTGATTGGTCCACAAAACTCCCGCCACTCTCTCAACCAATCAGATGCAAAACTAAAACCAATTATGACTTAATCGCCCGCGTTTTCCCGCGCCTTAGGCAGTATTTTTACTTTGAGCTCTTATTGGCTCTTCAAGGTATTTTCCTTCTTCTGATTGGCCTTTTTTAACTTTGGTGTTGGTTTGGCGACACTCGATCGTAAAGCGCTCTATGAGTTTTTTAAGGGACTCGTTACAGACCTTTGTGCTGTCCCCTCTAAGACCGCTCTTTAGTTGAGATTTCATCTCAAACCTTCGTTTTTCACCTCCTTTGGTCATTTCTTCGCCTCTTTGTTGATTGTTCTGTATCTTTCTTGTTTACTATTTGGTCGTGCTTTGTTTGCGTCGTGGTGCGTTTGGTTCTTTGTCTGTTTGCTTGTTCTGCAGTTTTTTCTGTTCGTCATTTTCTTTGATTCGGTTCGTTGGTTGTATTTGGTCGGTCTGTCAGCTCGTCGTTCCGTCGTTCTGTCGGTTCGTCGATATGTCTGTCCGTTGATTCGCTGGTTCATTATTATTCGATGAGCTGTACTTATGTTTTCCAAATCGTTCGCCTATTCTTATTTTTTAATTTCTCTCTCTCTTCCCACCATTGTTTCATCCTCGTTATAATTTGTTTTTTCTTCTTTTCAAATATCAGCCTGCCTTTACTGACTGGGGAAATTACAGTACCGATCTCTTCACAGCGAAAGCCATCGATGTTATTCAGAAGCATGACCCTTCTCAGCCTTTGTTTTTGTATCTTCCATACCAAGCTGTTCACAGTGCGAATTATATTCAGCCACTGCAAGCGCCACCATCTGAAATCAAGAAATTTTCCAACATCGAGGACGTAAACAGGAGAATTTTTGCTGCAATGGTGTCAACCCTCGATCAGGGTGTTGGAAAGGTACTTTTCGATCGATTATCGTAAATCCAAACCCATAGTTATCACAACAGCCAATCAAAAAATTGACCTTTGACCGCTGTGATATCAGGGTGAGGGAAGAGGGAAACCACCAAAATGCCTAAAAGTATGAGTTCATTTTCACGAACCATAAAGCACTCTTTTAGTCTCATTGCGCTCGATTGCCGTTCAGCAATCAAGACAATTTTGAGAGAAGAGTGAAATAAAGCAACTATGCATGCAACTTTAAACTTAAAACTACACTACTTCCGTGAATTTCTTTAATCATTGATTTTAACCGCTGAATTCTCTCTATACGTGTAGGTCATTAATGCACTCCAAACCCAGGGATTGTACAACAATTCAGTGATCGTATTTACAACGGATAATGGCGGTCCGGCGGCAGGTTTTGACTTGAATTCCGCCTGTAACTTTCCTCTCAGAGGAGTCAAGGCAACATTATGGGAAGGTAAAGCGTTATACGAAATTATGATTTTATTCATTAGAAAAAGAGTTGTTTTGGGATGTTCGCGATTCTATCTAGTTTTGTCACTGTTTAAGGGTAGTGCTAATTGTCAGTGCCACCACAGGCGTCACAAGCTCACGTCTTGAGAGAAAGCGAACAATTTTTTTCATGAAAGTTCACGAAAGCGTCACGCGTTGTGTGACGCAGTGTTAAGTTATGAGAGGAAACGTTGAAAATTTGAACACGATATAAGGAATAGTATGGGGAAGATGTGGGTACGTTTTATTAATTTTTCGTATAAAATGTTCATATTTTGAAATATTTATACACCGCGTCACATAACGCGTGACGCTTTCATAAACTTTAATTCATGAAAAAAATAGCGTGCATTCTCTCGAGACGTGAGCTTGGGACGCCTGTGATGCCACTGCTTGCGTGTTGCCACCAAACCATGAAATTACTCATTTCATGTTTCGTCCAATTTTTAATTAACAACAAGCTAACCTTTTGCTTATTAGGAGGTGTTCGTGGCGCGGGTTTCGTACACAGTCCTCTGCTGTCCACAAAAGGCCGAGTGAGCATGGAAATGATGCACGTCACTGACTGGCTCCCCACACTGTATAGTTTAGCGGGAGGTGACATTCATGATTTGGGTGTTGTGGATGGCTTCGATATGTGGGAGACACTTTCCAATGCAACTGAATCACCTCGCAAGCAAATTCTTCACAATATAGATCCTATGAGTGGATATTCAGCCTTGAGGTTTGGCGACTGGAAACTTATTGTGAATGCAAGTACGAGAAGTAAGCCTGAATTTTGATATCGAAATCTACTTCATTTGTTAAACTAAAAGGTCCATGTACAATTTGTGTTTATTGTTGTTGCTTTTTTTGTGATGATGGTTGTTGAATCGATAATACAAGAAATATATGGATTTTCTTTTTTCTGAAGTGACTCTGTGGGTCAGAATCTTAAATTCTCTGATCTCATTGGCTAATCACGTGCTCGAAACTGGTCCAGCTTTTTACAATACAGTCCACGGTTCGGAAATTTTCCGCATCATTCGCGGAAAAACTAGCTGAAGAAAAAACAAAGACATTTACCAGTCTAGATTGGTCCGTATGGGAAAAAATTGTGCCCTCTGCCAAAGATCTCAGGCACAGTTTCTTCTGATGCGGATCCCACACACGATTTATGACATAAACTCCTCATACGTTGCTGTATACAATACCGTGGCTTTACGAATGTCTCTCTCCCCCTTCCCTCAGGTAAATCGTGGAGTGGATGGTATGCTCCCCCCGGACTAGACAACTACAATCATGCAATCCGAGGTGCGACATTGAAAAACGCTGTCGTCACTTGCGGTAAGCCACCCAGTTCTCCGTCGGAGTGCACAAGGGAGTCGGGCCCTTGTTTGTTTAACGTTGCAGATGATCCTTGTGAATATGTCGATCTTGCTAAAAATGAGTCGGAACTGGTAGAAAGTATGTTGAAGCGGCTCGAAGGATTTAAAGAGACTATGGTCCCACCAAGAAATCAACCGCTTGACCCTAAAGCAAATCCTAACAACTTCGGTGGAGTTTGGAGTCCTTGGATGGATTGAGGGTTGATTGATGTAGAAGAGGAGGAACGTAGGTTTGGGGGAAGTTGGTGAAAATTCTCTCCACCCCCTTTGTTTCCTTACTGAGAGTGGTTAGGCCACACTGAACTAAAATTTATTTTTGTAATATTTTCATCAGTAACCAGCCAATCATGTTATTGCAGGAGTGATCTGTAAGTGGATTCCCTTTGAAATTTTGATATACTGTAACTTCAAACGAGTCTTAATTAAGGAGCATGAAACTTACCAACTGCAGGGAACATTGCCTTTTCTCAGAAATACACGTGTCTGGCCATTACGTGTAAAAATCACCTCCATTGTTTAAGGTTCTAAGGGTTGCAACAATGAGAACGTCAAACAGAAGGGATGACGTAAAATTTTATTTTTTAAAAAGTAAAAAAAAAGTATGGATGAATAAAACGAGAATCATGGGCTGAAAGGTACCGCTCGGATTTAAAAAATCTTCTAAACACTTGAGTACTCTGTACAATACAATGAAACCTGTATTAAGCGGACCGCTTTTGTAACTTGTTGTGTCTTTGTTAATTCTGGATAAACTAGAAGGGTTTTTTTGCCTTCTATTAAACGATATTTTCGTTAGAATCTTACTCGAAGTGTCCTACCTCAACCCACCCATCCAAAAAAATAACTCCTGCATGCGTAGCGTGCCTATGTTTTGATATATCACGAAACGTTCCACCCATCCCTCCTCCCCCCCCCCCCCCCCCCCAACCTTCCGCCCCCAAAAATATGCTTCGTTTCATGGAAGTGATGAGTGGCATCTTACACTGGACGGCTGCAAAGGAGACTACGGTGGGAATCAAAGTATCAGTTGTATAGGAGTTTGAAGAGGGGTGGGATGAGGGTACATATTATTAAGCATTTGCGCTCGGTTATGATAATCCAGCTCGTCTGGCAGGCCATTACATGCACTGCTGTCATTTCACGCGGTCTTGTATCACTCAAAATCGAAGACGTGCGATTCGAGCGCTAAAATAGATCAGGTAACGTTTGCGTTTATTAAATAAATCCCTCATGACTCTTATTCTTCGCTCGCGCTCTTACGGTGATGATATGATAGTGAATACAAGGGTTGTAAGCAGACTAATTGTTGTATTAAGTGGCTTTACGGACGTTTCTGAGATCAGCCGGTTGCTCCTCTAAATGTTTTTTCCTGCGAAATATGGCAGCCGGTAGATGGTGGAAGACTGAAGAGCAGAAGGAAGGTTTATTTCTAAGTCGAGTAGAGACAAAAGACCGATTCTGGGACATTTTTTCAAAAGAATCAGAAGTTTCCGATTTTTTAGCGCTTAGTCTGTTGAGAACAAACATCATCTCCCTCCCTTCCCATTACCTTTTTTTATAAGCCACTCCGTTCTGTACCCCTCCCCCTACTTTACTTCTCTCCCTTCCCCTACATCGGAGGGTAGCTTGGGTGCCATAGCGCTATGTTGTTGTTCCCAGGTTCCACATTTGGACCACGTTGAGATCATGGGAAAGTCACGAGCTGTACCTCCAGACAGTCCAGGCGAGAAAGGTGAGGTAATTTTGAGTCATAAGACTTAAGTAATTGACATGATAAACGCTTTTCTATCTCAGATTATCACGCAGATTTCAAATCATTTCAGGTTTAAACATTAGACAGCTGTACTGGACCTTCGATTGCTCCAAAATTCGGTGAGCCTTGCAATTTGTTAGTGAAGCGTTACACTTACGTAATATTTTTCTTGATGTGTATGTTATTGACAGGCCACATGCTAAACGTTTCCCTGGTATTGTTCGTCACACTGAAGAGCAGCTTACGATAACGCAAGATACATGTAGTTGAAATACTTTGAATTTCAAGGAGAAATGGATGGGAAACCATTGATGTATCGATCACTCACGTGCGACAATCCCCCTTTGTAATATCTTCACCCCCTTGTAGACTCGAGGTTGTTGTTCCACCACCCAGACCATCATTTCTAGATTAGGCTATTCTTTTTCATTATGCATCCCACTTCTGTAAGATTTTGAGTTTCCTCACAGCCCCACCATTCCCATCTTTTTCCCATCAGAGTCATGGCTTAACACAGATAGCCCAAGCTTCAGCTGTGAGATGATCATCTTGTGAAATAAGAGTCATGGCAAAAAGATAAGAGTTTGTATGGGAACATTTACAACCGCTCTTAGGAAAAAAAAAAATACTGTCAAATTCTCAATAATATCTCATACCTTGCCTTACTTCCACAGTGCGTTGCTTGTTGTCTGACTGTTTACTATGCTGAAAAGAAGACATTTTAGCAAGTTATCAATTTCTAGGGTTACTACTCCTAAGAGAAGGACCTTTTCTTATATTTTTGCCATGACTTGTATTACCTAAGATGATCACCTCAGTTGGAGCTTGGGCTGCCTGTGGACCTAGCTACAGATATTATTTGTAATAGTGTTGATTTTCCTCTGACCATCAGCTTAGCAAGATGCAGTTGACTTTGCTGAGCAGAGTCTCCTTAGTATTTGCATTGCTCAGCTATTTGCCATGGTCATGTGCAGCCAAGGAAAGCTCCAAGCCTCATATCATATTCATTGTAGCAGACGACTTGGTAAGACTTGCAAACATCGACCCCAGTGATAGAAAAGACCCAGGAAATTGGCCATGAGCAGAGGGAGTAGATGGTAGGGGAGAGGGAAGATTTGCATGTAATGGCTTACTTCCTTGAACCATTGCTTTCCTGTTCTCATTTAATCCCTCTTTAAAAATCTCCAGACAACCATGTAACCTTTTAACCCATTTAGGTTTGATCATGCATAACTCAGGAATGCATATATACAGAAGTTTATCTCCAAATAAGGCTATGAATTATACATGGTTTGTGGGCTTAAAGGTAACAATCTTAAATTTTGAAAATTAGATACTGTAAAGAGACATTTCATTATACATGTAAATTCAATTCATAAGCCCTGTTAAATTTGTCTTGCCTGTGTGGGATTGCAAAATACGTAGCCACCTTAAACTCTAAGCCTCATGCCTCTTGATCCACACTGATTTTCTCAGTGTTGTGAAACATGTTTTCACGATGAAATAGCAGTTTTGTTTGATTTTTTCTTTTATTTTGCTTTTAGGGTTGGGATGATGTAAGTTTTCATGGGTCTGACCAAATTCCTACACCAAACATCGACAAACTTGCAAAGGATGGTGTTATCCTGAACAATTATTATGTACAACCCATATGTACTCCCACGCGAAGTGCAATTATGACTGGCAAACATCCAATCCATACAGGTTTGTCCACTGCAGTTTCAATCAGCTTAAGTGTGAGCAAAACATTTTGAGGTGCATACATGCATGCACTCACACTTTGGTTTCCTTACATGAAAAGTACTTTCAACAGTACATTTGAAAATCTAGCTAATACTGTAGTTTCATGTGTCACACTTAAATCCAATATTTATTTTTTTTGTAGTAAATTGTATAAAGTTAGAAGAAAAAGATAACTTGTTGCATCTCATGATCTGACTTTTAATTCTCCTCTCTAGCTGAAACTCATTTGTTGCAAATTAATTGTGAGAATTTGGTCTTAGATCAAAACAAAAACTTCTAACTTACAAGTTTGAGTATTCTCATGACCTGTTTTCTGGATAATGAACGGATATTTTGGGGAGAAGTGACTTATTGATCACTCCTGGCAGTTAAAGGTCTTACCATCTGTTTGAGGGTTGTGTTCTGAAAGAATGTCATTGAAGGCGATCACTGACAGTTTTTCGACCCTGAGCCTGGCAATCAGACAACATGGATGCCTAATAATATTTTCCAATAAGTTGATAAATTCTACTTTATGCATGAGCAATAGTTGTAATTTTACATTAAGAGAAACTAAACTTTTATTAGGTATGCAGTCTGGTGTTATTTTGGCTGCACAACCATATGGACTGGGTTTGAATGAGACTCTCATTCCACAGTACCTTAAAGAATTTGGATATGCAACTCATGGAGTTGGCAAGGTGTGGCTGGAAGCATTTATTGTTGATAATCATTTTAATGAATTGATTTATTGTCATCAGGCCACCACTCTGATTTTTTACCATTTTTCAATTTGAAGTCTATAGTGTAAGTCTGATAGGAATACTTGGGAAACAGGGATCCTGCCTGAATATTTAGCAGGATCCCGTGCAAGAGGTTCCTAAATGACAGAATGCCATTTGAGATCCACCTGTACATACCTGGGATCAGGATGGATGAGATTCCACCTCCTATATTTACTTGGGATTTTATTGAGGTTTTTTTTTTCTTTTTGTTCACCCTCAGTGGCATCTGGGTTTCTTCAAGTCAGAATACACTCCCACTAAGCGTGGATTTGATTCATTCTTTGGCTATTGGAGTGGTAAGGAAGATTACTGGGATCACTCATCAGATGCCCCTGGCCAAGGGTGGGGATTGGATTTTCATAACAACACCAAGGTTAGTGAATGTGCACATGAATATTTAATTTTTCTCTCCCAAATGGAATTGTTTGGCTGAAATTTTTTTAAAGGGTGAATAACATCATGCATTGGAATTTTTTTTATTTAACAGGGTCAACATGTGCATGCAAATGTGCTTATCCCTGGATCAATTGTTATCCAGTTGACCCTATGGCCCCTAAGAGTGACCAGCATATAATTTCTCCATACAACATCACCCCTGAATCACACATTTAGGTCATGAGAATAAAGGAAATGATCACCAGTTTAAAAAGCTCTTGATTGTTCAACAAACTCTCATTGTCAGTACCATAGAAAAATGTACAGAGAACAGTATGGAGAATATGCATACTGATGTTAAGGTGTAAGAAGTTAATCCAATTCAGCAAGCAGTGGAGGGATACAGTATAATTTAGCTCAATTTCAGAAAGAAATACTTGCAGTGATAAAAATGGCTTGTTTAAACCTCATTACATAAATTGATGAATTTAAAAGTCCAGTTGGTAAATTAGAGTTGATTCACTTTTACCTTACAAATATGAATACTCAGGGCTGGTTACACATTTATTGAATTCAACCTCCAAAGTTATTTATTGACCCAGCTCCTCCATTTTAAACATTAGTGACTGCAAATCTTAAAGTGAAAAAAAAAAAGTTTTAATCTAATCACAAATTGCTTGCCAAAGGGAAGATCTTAGATTTTTTACCCCTCTGACTAAGCTAGGCATAATTCTTTATTTGTTCACAAACCCAACACTCTGTTAATTGCTTTCATAAGGAGGATTAAGCAAATTATGAACCCTTTCACTCCCAAGATTTCATTAGAAATTCTCCTAACTGTATGTTGTACAATTTTAATGATGTGAGTTTGGAGAATTTGGTATTGGATCAATTAATAATTCCCTAATTGATATTTTTCTTTCTTCTCATGACTTTTTGGCTTGATATTGTGTCAATATTATTATAATTAGGAGAAATCCTATCTTGGTCACTCATGGGAGTTAAAGAATTAAGCAAATGGCAGGGATTTCAAGTGTAATAGGCAGCTGTGCCCTGGTGAAGGGAAGACAGGCTTTAGATGGCATTAAGGGGTCTTATGGGCTGCCCTAGACTGTTAGTAACTGGCTTTTGGTAAAAACTCTGAAAATAGTATTGAGAAGAATGTCTACATTTATTCAGAATGACTTTACCAAATGGGGCATGTACAGCACTGAACTGTTCACCACTTTGGCGGTTGACATCATCCAGTCACATAATCATTCCAGGCCTTTGTATCTGTACCTACCCCATCAAGCAGTACACAGTGCAAATGGAATACAGCCCCTTCAAGCCCCTGAGAAACTAATCAAGAAGTTTAAGCACATTGAGGATGAGCGAAGGAGGATCTATGCTGCAATGGTTACTGCCTTGGATGATTCTGTTGGAAAGGTAAAAATAGGGAACTATCTCATAGGTAGTCTCCTTGACAGCCATTGTGCGGTCTTGTCACGCAACTTATTTGGAGGGAGAGAAAAGGCGTTGCGTGACACGACCAAGAAACGACTACGCAAGAACTTGTCTCCATTTTGTTCATGTTAAAAATTACAGCTAAATATTTTCAAGTTTGATGTTTGCAATTCTTTTAGTATACTTTATCATTAGGTAATAAAAGTCTGTTCTCGAGTGGCTCATCCAGTCGGAGCTTTTTTTGATTTATGTAACATGTGGCGACTACTAGTACTGCTTCTCTCCTAAAATGGGTGTCAGGTTACCACCCCTTTCTTTCCTTCCCCTTCCCCTACTTCCCTGGCATTTTGTTTGGCCTCCCATATAAACTCCTGGGTGGGAAGAGACACTTTTGATACTTAAGTGTCTTGCCCAACAACACAGCACTACGACGTCTCGAACTCGGGTCTTTCGATGCGGACTCCAGGGCGTTAGCGGACAGGCCACTACAGCGCTCACTTTTTCATCCTGTGCTATCCATTCCTTGGTTGTTCCTTCTTAAATTATGGCCTCTCAAAGTGTTTTTCTGATGCTGAAGCTGATGTTTTTCGCTTCTGTATTTAGGTAGCAGACGCCTTGGTAGCAAACGGTTTGTACAATAACTCTGTGATCGTATTCACTACAGACAATGGCGGCCCGGCAAACGGGTTTGACAAGAACATGGCATCCAACTTTCCTTTGCGTGGAGTGAAAGCTACTCTGTGGGAAGGTACATGCGATTTTTGCGGATTTTCACACAATAAAGTCCCAGTTTGAAATTGACAAAGGCAAAATTTATTTTAGAAAAATTAAAGGCTTTTGAATCTTAAGCTGAAATCTGACCGGTTAATGTCGTTCTTTGATATTCTTCGGTGCCCCTTTAACCGCTCATTGTGACATGTTTCATGCATGATGAGTGCCCTCACGTTTACAAGTATAGTCGCGGCTTTTTTTAACGGCCGTAGCTAGCTTGAGAGGTGAATTGTCTGTTTTTGTAAAGAGGAGTTTGGTGACTGGGAACTGGTTGTTTTGATAAAAAGTCATTTTGATACAAGTCGATTGGATACAAACTTAAGTCAATTCTACTCATCCTTGGAATCTTCTTTAGGTGAGTTTTGGTTTATCATCCAGAAATCCAATTACTCCTTTATTAATATGTATCAAAGTGACTGAAGTTGTATCGAGACGACTTTATACGTGTATCGAATCGACTTTGTCAATATATTAAACTGATTTGTCTCAAAACGACTTTGTAACGAAACGACAGTCACTGTAAACCGATCTACAACTTCCTCTCTTGAAGACTTACTCAAATATTGATAAACACCCACACACCGTACTGCAGAGTAGGAAACAGGTATCTGGGAAGTCAATTCAACAGGGTTTCGTGAATATGATATGGATATTTACAAGGTTGTGTAGATCTTGAGTGAGTTTAGAAACTCATTATTTTTATTTCAAAATTCGAGATCCTATTAAACGAACTGACTACTGACGGGGAAAGTTTAAAAAAATGTAAATTCAACTTGTACTTTCGGAGAATGTTAAGATAAGCACCGTGACTTCCTCGGCCTGAAAAAAATGAGGAGGTTGACATTTGTTTTTCTTTATTTTCCACGTAAGACAATCCCTATTTAATTTACTCTTGGAAGAGTGGTTTTGACCGTAAATTTTATTCACAGGCGGAGTTCGCGGAGCAGCCTTTGTTCACAGTCCTTTGTTAAAGTCAAGTGGCCGAGTAAGCCTGGACCTGATGCACGTGTCTGACTGGGTTCCTACCTTATATGGTTTGGCGGGAGGAGACACCAGCAAGCTTACTGACCTTGATGGGGTCGATATGTGGGATACCATCTCCAAGGGAGAGAGTTCCCCCCGTCAAGAATTACTGCATAACATTCATCCAAGTGGCGGGGAGGCTGCTATGCGGTATGGCCAGTGGAAGATAGTTGTTAATGCAAGTAAGTGAACATTGAAATATCAAGCCTTTTATACGCGTACCATCCATCATTAGGAGGAACTGAACTTAAATGCTGCTTCGCCCAACGTTTTTTTATTATACAATGGCTTCACTTGTTCAGCTATCATCCTCAAAAGGGTTTAATGCTCAGTAAAGCCCACAGATGTTTTTGTTTTAGGTTATTGTTAAGCTTTTCTGCACCTGACTTACACATGAAACTTTCAATCAATTTTTCCAGTCACTTGTTAACCCTTTAACTCCCAAGATCTGATTGTGAATTCTCCCTTTTAGCTGCTAGACATTTCCATGTAAATAAGTTACAGGAGTTTGGTGTCAGATGGAGATAACAACTTCAAAAACTTCTCATTACCTGTTTGCTGGATAATGTGTAATTATCATATTGGAGAAGTTACTTGTTAATCACTTCTGGGAGTTAATGGGTTAACCCTAAAACCAAACGATAAAGCGATTGGGAGCTTCCAGTACACAATGTGGCCCAATCTTTTTTTCTTCCGGCCTCCTTTACCAGTCATAGATAGACTCGCGAATTCTTACTGAAGGTAACTAGAGTCAAGGGTGTGTCAAGGCACAAGATGGAGGCAGGCGCGCGAGGAGTGACTCACGTTCCTATTCTCACGCCTGACTTAGACTTGTTTCCCCCCTCGCTCGTTTTGCGCTAGCCAGCTCAATTGAGTTATGTAATTAAACCCATGTCTTTTGAGCAGAATAGAAAGGGCTAAATGCATTAATTATATATTGCAGGCAAAGGCTGGAATGGATGGTATCCTCCACCCGAATACGAGAAATCAAACATCTATAACAACACCTTAAAAAACGCAGCGGTGAAATGCGACCAACCGCCCAGTGACCCACCAACGTGCACCAAGTCTGAAGGACCTTGCTTGTTTGATATCGAGAAAGATCCTTGCGAGTATGTGAATCTGGCGAGTCAACACAACGACATCGTTCAGGAACTGTTGGCAAAGTTGGAGAAATACAGAAAATCTAGTGTTACGCCCAGAAACCAGCCTACAGACCCTAAGGCGAATCCAATATATCATGGTGGAGCTTGGATTGCATGGGACGATTAGAGCTATTCTTTATAATTTTGTCCCGAATCCTAATTCAAAGTAAAATTTTTCTGGTCGGTCGTTGTAATAGCTTTTATTAGTTTTAAGACACTCAATTGAAATACGCTGCTCTGCTGCAGAAAAAAATATGGACTTAAAGATTATATGGAGAGTTCAATTGTGGCAAACTTTAGTTTAAAAGTTTGTTACTAGATGTTGCAAAATAGCTTACCTATCAGTAGCTGGCGACACACGCCTTTACTATCTATTAGCCTCACTAACGCCGGCATGTCAGGCCAAAATGAGCATCATGTTTTTCATTGTCACATCAAAGCATTTGCTGAAAGACAGCCGAGTTTGGATTGGAAACTAACGAGAAAGTATGATCTAAAAAAAAAAACGATGGTGTGGGGTTAGGGTAGGTGGGATAATTTTTGTAGGTTAACGATTTTTAAAAAACCACTCAGAGGCGGAAATATTTTCGAGATTAAGAATTTTAATCAGTTGGTGGATTCAATAAAGACAAAGTGTTGGAAAGTAAAATTTGACTGAATAAATGTGTGGCAATTTGAAGTTAGCTCTGAAGTATCTTGGGTACCAAAGAATTTAGCCATACTAAAATGATTATTACATTATATTAGTCAACTAAGAGATTTTTACCATAAGACCTTCAAAATCTCCCCATAAATTTTTTAATTACCTGCGTTTGCTAATTTACAGGCAGCTTTTTAGTTATTTTCAATCCTTCCCTATATTATTTTTTTAATTGTTATTCTTGGATTTAATTTCTTCCTGGTTTTCCGCACGTAAGACTTACCAACCCTCAATAATTAGATTCCCTTGTTTATCAATCTCGCGACTCAGTACCAAAAGGGATCATTCCATTCCATTCCATCTGAACTGCTGCTGCATTTAACTCCAAACTCCTAGAGGCGATTCACATGTAACTTCTCTATCAGGAGCCCATTACCCGGCGCTTCCATCTTCCATACTTACCATCTGAGTCAACTGAGTCAACCCTATCCCGTATCTTTTTATTTTTAGAAGCACCTCCCACGGGCTTTTTCGCGGGTGTTTACATAATAGCCAATCATAAGAGAGCTGTGGTCCTCTACTGTTTACGTCTCCTGCAGAGAAGGAATAGAAGTCAGCCTTCGCCTTTGGCCGCCATTTTTTTTTGGGTGTTATGCGAACATCACCGTGTTTTCGCGGGAAATTAAAGAACCCCCCACATATCTCGGTTCTAAAAAAATAAAAAGATACGGGACAGGGTTGACTCAAGGGTACAATTGGTATGGAGGCTCCGGGTAATGGGCTCCTGTTCTCCATATAGTATCCATACATTATCTAGCAAACAGGTAATGTGAATACATAAACTTATTAGGTAGAAGTTGTTATCTTGATCTAACGCCAAATTCTCGTAAGTAATTCGCTAGGAAATGTGTAGCAATTAGAGGGGAGAATTAGCAATCAGATCTTGGGAGTTCAAGGGTTAACTTCCCGGACCCGAAGAGAGACTTTCATGAGATGCACAGCAACGTGGCAATTCTTTGTTTTCCATTAAGAGATGTTTGCCCATGGCTTTTGGTAAAGATGAATTTGAAAGACGCAATCGCGTTACCGAAGGAACCAAATTACAATCATTTCTGCTTTAATTCTTTTAAATCCCCACCCACAACCCGCTAAGTGACGATCAACCACACTGAGTGCCCTGGCACTACTCCTCGCAGTTCTCATTTGGTTTCTCGTCACACCACGCTGTCCACACGCCATCATGGAATTTGGGATCCGCGTTCTTGTCGTAGGGTTTATTCCTAATCGGCACCATAGTCGCTTTGTACTTCTCCAGCAATTGCAACATCATTTTCAGCACGTCCTTCTCTTTCTCGGCTACGTTGGTGTACTCACATGGATCGTCTTGGATGTTGAAGAGGCATGGCCCGTCCTTGACGCCACACTTTGTGGGCTCAGCTGGCTGCGGTCCGCACGTCACAACAGCGTTTTTCAGAGAGGGAAGGGAGGTGGTGAAATTGCGCGGTGATCGTGCGTTTTCCTCGATCCCCGGCGGTGGGTACCATCCGTCACGACCACCACCGTCAGCTTGACAGAAGTAAAATTGTATTATCAATAATCAATAAAAGTGTAACAGTCAAAAACGGTACAATAACTTGCCAACCAAGCTAAAAATTTTACATCTCTCTAACCCTATTTCTAAACACAACGCTTAGAACATAGACAATCCTTGCAGAGTGTAGATCCCTCGTTGCAAATAAACTAAGCCCTAGCACGTTGGTGCGATAACGAAACGGTAATTAGGAGAGGCCTCTCCTGACAACTTTGGTCCCATTTCAATACTAGACAGTAAGTGTGAAGTGTCGTAGCTCTAAGGTGTGGCGCGCAACAACGGTTAGAGTTGCCTGGGCATTGAGTTCCAGGTTAAAATTAACGCCCTAACTTCGGTATCCATATTCTCCATGCCCTTCTCCATACAATTCTTTTGGTACTGACAAGGAGAATTTGTTTAACAATCAAAGTTTCTTAGTTCGGTGATCATTTCCCTGTATTCTTATCATGTCAATGAGTGACTCAAAAGTATTTCTGTAAGGGAAAAGTAGATGCTAGTCACTCTTAAGGTTTAAAGGGTAAAATAGACACACAAACTCAGGAAACGCTGCCTTGGTGCGACAAATTCACGCAAAAACTGCAGCCCAGGCACGCCGTTTCAACCTCAAGATGATGGAGAGTTTGAGTCTTCCGAGCTCCTAAAAAGACCGTTTTACAGCATGCGTTTAGGATATCACGAAAACACATTTCTCACTTTCATTCACCAACAGTTTCCATTGTTCATATCGCAGCGCAGATGCCCACGTCACTGGGTCAATGTTATGCACCAGTTCCTTTCGAGGAGACTTCTCGCCCTTGGACAAAGAAGGCCACATATCGTACCCATCTATGTTAAGGAGCTTCTGCACGTCCCCACCCGCACGCCCGTAGAGTGTAGGGAGCCAGTCTGACAGATGCATTAGGTCCATGCTCACACGGCCTGTGGATGCCAAGAGGGGGCTGTGGACAAAAGAGGTTCCCCTGATTCCTCCTGACGGATTAAGAGATGATACTAGAACGCTTAGATTTATTATTATCATGATATTCACTACTCTTTGACGTAACGATTCGCTGATTTTATGATAATTTCAAGCACATACAGTAACACCATCCACCAGAATGGCAAAATGAATTTAATTTTCTAAGTTGCAACAATGGCTAAATTTCCCTCATATTCACCGATCACCATGTATCCATATCAAATTCAGATGTACAAAATGCAATAAGCAGACTAGGGTGTTATTTAGCCCTTTACATCCTAACATCAGTATACACATTCTCCACACTGTTCTCTAAACACTTCCTTTCAAGCTGGTGAGGAGAATTTCTTGAACAGTCAAAAGTTTCTTTATTTGGTGATCATTTTCTTAATTCTCATGACCTTAATGATTGATTCTGAGGTGATATTTCAAGGAGAAATTAGATGCAAGTCACTCTTAAGGGTCAAAGGTTATTTATGGCTCCTTTTCTAGAAGGAGACCACAGAGTAACCCTTCATGCCACTACAGATCTACAATATACACTCAAAACGTTCTGTGTAGTTAATCTATCAATTGAAAATGGATGTAAGATATCTGTGGATAACAAATTACTTAGAATACATAAATCTTAACCTAGCATCTGTTTTCTTTTCATTTCACTCCTGATTCACATATTAAGGTCAAGAGAATGATAGCGTTGATCATCAACCAAAGAAACTTGTGAGTGTTTATCCTTTAACACCTGAGAGTGACTAGCATCTAATTTCTCCTTACAATACTCCCCCCAACATCACACATAAGGTCACAAGAAAAAGAAAATGATGACCAATGATAGAAGCTCTAGATTGTTAAACAAATTCTCCTTGTCAGCACCTTAGAAATGTATGGAGAACAGTATGGAGAATATGCATACTGATGTTAGGGTATTAAGAGGCTAATAGTACAATCTATATCCTCCATCATCATCTTATCATAATCATTTATAATCATTCATTATTCACCTTCCCACAAAGTATACTTGGTTCCTCTCAGCGGATAATTACAAGCTGTGTTCCGACTTACACCATTGGCTGGTCCACCATTGTCAGTACTAAACACAATGATGGAGTTATAATACATTCCTCTTGCTCTGAGTGTGTCAACCACCTAATGTAACCAAAAAACAAGTTCAGGAGTCAGACTGAAGAGAAAATCTTCATTGACTCAGTATGTATAAATTGGAAGAAGTGGTGACTTTACAGTAGGTGCAGTGGTCTGGAGTCAGACCTGGCTGGGTCACTGTGTTGTGTTCTTGGGGTAAACACTTTTCTATGACAGTGCTTCTCTCAATCCAGATGTGTAAATGGCTATCAGCAAATTCTCAGCATAGCTTGACAGGGGGTACCCTTATGATGGACTGGCATCCCATCCAGGGTGGGTGTTGTGATACTTTTAGTCACCTCATGCTCTGGAAAAACATGATAAGCTCCAGCTCGATGGATGACTAAAATAAGCTCTAGTACAGACTTTTTTTATAGTATGTACACCCCCTGTATAAGAATTAAATCCAGCAGAAAAATAATTGACATAAATGGTTTTAAGAAGCTTCTTGTAACTCCAAACTTTGTTCTTATTTGTCTGAGCACTGCATTGGTATTCCTTTTGCTACAAGATTGAATCTTATCCCAACGTACAGCATGTACGTCAACCAACAACAAGATCAAATAGTCAAGATTATTTTTGATACACCAAATGAAACTATCAGTGACTACAAGCTTGCATCGCTCACTTCACCTTTCCAACAGATTGATCCAGTGCTGTAGCCATTGCTGCAAAAACTCGCCGATCCTCATCATGGATGCTGTCGTTAAACTTGTTAATCAGATCCTTTGGTGCTTGAAGTGGTTGGTGTGCATTTGCACTATGAACTGCTTCATGCGCCAGGTACAAAAAGAGTGGTTTGGAGGTGTTGTGTGAGTTGATCAAATTTACAGCATGGTCTGTGAACATATAGGTGCGGTAATTTCCCCACTGGTTATGCACAGGCTGCAAAATTTAACAAAAAGCAATTCTTAAATATTCATTTTGTTTAAAAAAATATGAAGAAGTCATTCTGAAGGAAAGAGACAAGAAGGGGTTTAAGAGCTGGATTGCAGGCAAGACATGATGTGGAATTAAGTGTGTTGGAGAAAAATCTAACAGCCCCTATACCTCTTCTTTGAAAATGGAGATGATGATACAAGGGTGGATCTATGAGGGGAGGGGTGCAAGGGGTATGTACCTCTCCCCTGCCCCTTCCCCGCAAGATGACCTGCAGCTTCATGGCGATACAAAATCTGCTGTATCATATGCTATGTATTCTCAAAAATTCACACCGTGTTATTGCCCAGTCATAACCCTGCTTCTTCAGCGGACAATTAAAACTTATTTCTTAGTGGTGCATCCCCTCTTGCAAAATATCCTGAATCTGCCCCCAATAATGATGATGATCATGATCATGACAACAACAATGATGATTAAATATTGTGCAGTTGGAATTTGTAGAGGCTCTCATGAATCACTCTTGGTATGAGATTTTAAATACAAAGGAAATTTCAGTGCATGTACATGTACCTCTGTATTGTTCCTTAGGTCCAATCCCCATGACCCATACATTTCAGCTTCAGATTGATCCCAGTAGTCACCAGCACCCAGCCAGTATCCAAAGAATGAGTCAAATCCTCTTTTCGTTGGGGTATAGTCATACTTGAAGAATCCCAGATGCCACTGACAGACAAATTGAGCAAAACATCATGAAACCAAAAATATTTCATAAATTGATTCATATACTCCAAAGCATACTTGCAATTCCACATCAACAACAACCAAATTTAATGACACACACAGAAAATCATATAGGATTGAAACATTAAACCAATCTTACTACCCACAGTGAGAAATCACATGATGTTATCCGTTAATAATTCTAACACAATACTTGCAAATGGAGTTTTTAAAACCACTTTCTTTCAACTTTTGCATGTTCTGTCTTTTTAAAGAGAGAAAGTAAAAAGCTGGGCCTTTTTCAGAGCTAACCCATGGACTTGGTCCCTGAAGATATTCATGTCCACGAACATACATTTAAACCCTAAGATTGTTTTATTATGAATACAATGGCTTCTTAACCCTTTCACCCTTTCAAGTGACTAACATCTATTTTCTCCCTACAATATCACCCCTGAATCACACATAAAGGTCATGAGAATAGAGGAAATGATCACCAAACAAAAAAGCTCTTGATTGTTATATAAATTCTCCTTGTCAGCACCTTAAGAAGTGTATAGAACATAGTATAAAGAGTTTGCATACTGATGTTAGGATGTAAAGGGTTAAAAGGCTTCTATTACTAGTACCAGGCCACTCATTGTCTTATCTTACCCAGCTTTGCATTGCATGCTGTATCATAGTACTCATCAGAAAGTACATGTACTTAAAGCCTACTCTTATGATAGATTAGAATTATTCAAATCTGTACCTTTCCCACAGCATGTGTGGCATAACCCAATTCTTTGAGAAACTGAGGTAGCAATTTTTCCTCCAGACCTAACCCAAAAGGCTCTCCACCCATGATAACACTGTGTTGCATTCCTGAAAATGGTCATCATGGAAAAAAAGTTAATCAATAATGGTTCACTGAAAATCTTTCTTACAAAAACCCTCATTCACTTGTGCACAATTTTCTGTCTTTCAATTTAATATTCTTGTTTTGAATATACATGCCAGAAAATTTCATTCTGAAAGCCAGACAGCAGCTCTTCAATAAGGCCCTACCCAGGGCCAAGGTTTCAGATGCTGTTAAATTTGCTTCATATAATCTTAAATCACCCGAGGTATCCTATCTGAAGTCATTTCCTATTTTAACCCTTGTATAATTCCAATGATCTGATGTTTAATTCTCCCTACTAGCTGCTGCACATTTCCCTATATATTACAGTCATATAGTCAGGAGAATTTGGTGTTACATAAAGATGAAAACTTTGACCTGATAGGTTAGAGTATTCTCATTGCCTGTTTGCTAGATAATGTATGAATATTATAGGGAGGAGTTCAATGTTAGTCACCTCTGTGGGTTAAAGGAGTTAAAGAGGAGTTAGACAGATTTAAAGGGTTAACACACAGTTAGACCATACAATTGATTATTCAAGATAACTTCAATCTGCTTTTGCTGCTTTATAATCTCACCAAAAAAAGTAGATATAAACAATTTTTTTTAAGGTTTCCTATATCTGGTGGTTCAATATATCTGTGAAACACTAAACTTTAAGTCATCATTCAAATCAGTTAGATATTAAATTTCTTTCTTTCTTTTTTTTTTTCATGATCTGTATCAATAAAATTAATTCTCAAACTGGAGCAAGGAAAAAATTTGAATTACAAAAGATATACCTGATAATTGCCTACAGGTGTATACAAGATATTTAACTGGTTGTAGCAGATATTTACCTGTGTGTATGGGATATTTTCCTGTCATGATAGTACTGCGACTTGGAGAGCAAATTGGTGACACGTAGTAGTTGTTCAAGATCACTCCATTGTTTGCCAAACCATCAATATTAGGAGTCGGAATTTGCTTTGAGCCATGAAAACTCACATCATCCCAGCCCTAAAAAAATGGAAAAAAGAAGAAAGAACACAACAGCCTTATTAGATCACTTCATTATTTCATAATTTCTTTCAGCTCTTAAACTCCAAGAGGTGATTAACATGTAACTTCTCCCAAAAATATCCACAAACAGGTAATGAGAATATTCAAACTTATCAAGTAGAGGTTGTTAATTCTTAATCATACATCAAATTCCTGCAACTATGCAATCCACAAGAAAATGTTTAGCAGCTAAACAGGAGAGAATTAACAATCAGATCTTGGCAGTGGCAGGGTTAAAAAGTATAGTTCTCTGCATGAATGGGTAGTTTAGTTTACAGTAGGGATGTTTAAATATAGCAAATAAAGAAAAACAAAAAAGGAATGTACAACAACTGTATATTTAAAATCAACAAAAAGTAATTATCATGATAAACCTGTAATAATATGTGGTCTTATTAGACCTTTTCACTCTACCATCAGTTTGCATATTCTCCATTCTGCTCTCTTTACATTTCCTTAGGTGTTGACTGAGAGAATTTGTTTAACAATCAAGAGCTTCTTCAATAGGTGATCATTTCTTTCATTCTTGTTTCCTGAATGTTTGATTCAGGGGTGATATTGCAAGGAGAAATTAGATGCTTATCCCTCTAACTCACATGAGTGACCAAGACAGAATTTCTCCTTACAATATCAATACAATATCAACCAGATAAGTGATGAGAATAAAGAAAAATATCAGTTTGGGGATAATAACTTGATCCAATATTACATTTCCCTGAACTAACATAATGATTACAACCTAGAATTCTATGATTGACAGTTAGGAGAATTACAAATTTGATCTGGGAGCTAAAGGGTTATCACTTTTAAGGGTCAAAGGGTTACCTCACAGTACTCACCAAATCATCAGCCAAGATGAATATTATATGAGGCTGACTGATGTTCTTTGCTTGAGCAACAATTACTATGGAGGACAACACTGCTAACTGCAGGATTGCACGCATGGTCAAATATTTTTGGTATATCTCTACGCAAGCCTTTGATTTGTAGTCGTAGGAGATTTTGTGGCTGCAACGAAAACAATGATTACTATGCCTATTAAAATTCAGCTTAACGATTGATTGCCCAGGTACTACCGTACTGGTAGTTTAATCTGAATATATACAAATGGAAGTGAGCATTAGGACTAAAGCCCGATCAGATTGCCTCTCATTCCAAGCGAGGATCAACATGATTTTGAGGCTATTCGTTAGACTCACCTCACTGCACCATCTCCAGTCGTGAGTGTTATGTGTTACAGTAATAGTCATATTACCATCATGTGATCTGCAGTCCTGGAGACAGTGATGATTTACATTCAGCGTGCATTGCGGAAACTATGAAAGTCCGACTATTTTTACGTCCAGAAGAATGAGCGGATAAACACCATGGGCTTGACGAAGACGCAGCCAAATTTGCGTTCTATGTTGGTTTAGACTTTCATTCTCGTTGTATCTCAAGAATATTGAGAGGATCGTGAATAACATTGTCGTTGGTCTTCCTCAGGGCAAGCATTGCGTGACATCACGCTGCAAAGGAGTCAGAGTTGAATGATGAAGACTGGGCTCTAGTGGAACGAAGACGAGATCGCGAGATTAGGCTAGATAGGCGCGCGAAAAATCGCGAAAAAGACGCAGAGGTCACATGATAGACGAATCGAAATATCCAAACGGGAAAAGGAAATGAGTAGCTTTGAAGACGAGAATGGGGATTGTTTAAGTGAATTTCTCTCTCTCCTTCGGATATCTTTGGACGGTATCCTGTCGGGAATCTCGTTAGGAGCAGGCGAGTCACTACCTAGCAACGTCTCTATAAGAAAAATGGAGCACGTAAAGAAGTAGCTACAGAGTGACAAGGGTTATATCTTAATTCAAGTTCATCAGAAAATCCCCGGGAGAAAAAACTTTATAATCAGCCCTTTTATAGATATCCAACGCTGTGATAATGATGGCTTATGTTTCGAATCTTCCTGCATTGGACAAATGGAAAAGCAAGACAATCATATTTTGATGAATTTTAATCAAACTTAAACTTAATCGTCATCGCAAATATATACACTTTCAGTGAGGTGCTTACGAGTTCGTATAAATTCTGCATGTTTTATTGAAGGTGAAGAATACTTGTAGCTTGCAATAAATTACTGTAGCACCTCTCTGCAAGAATCGACAAGGGATCGTGACTGCTTTCTTCAGCGATCGCCAGTCAGCGCAGTAACTGGCGCCGAGTTAGGAGTTTCTATTTTTCGGGGGAGCGCTTTGGGCAGTGTAAGAGTCAGCGAGTGGGATAACAAGAGGAAAATACCGGTCTTCAATATAACTGCGCCATCCCGACCATCGATTCTTGTGTTCCTAAATGAATATTGCGCTCCCCAGAAAACAGCTTCTTCGCTTGCTGTTGGAAAAGGAAAGATTTCAGCTGCCATAAGGAGGTTCCCAATAAGAGTAACTATAGCGATCTGTTTATCAATGGGACGAATAAAAGTAGCAATGTCAATGGCAGGGTAATAAGGAAATCAGTTTTATCATTACTGTGCGTTATTTGCCTCCCTTCTCTGAAGGAAACTCAAATCCCTCCGTCCCTCTTTGGTGCTGGCCCGATTTGTTCTTTTCCGTGCAATTGAGATCGAATCACGGTCTAGGGCAGGATTCACTTTGTTCTGCATCTTTCGACAACAGACAAGATTCCAAAAATGTCGTCTAAAAACACTGCTCTGCAAGCTGTACACAGCTGGATTAACAGTGGAATTAAAAAATACCAGAGCTGATGCAATATTAAAATGAATTGCTCGTAATTTTATAACCCCTGTAAAACCCAAGAAGTAAATGATCAACTCAGGAACCCAACAAAACGCATAAACAACTGTCACAGCGATAACAAGCTTTGTGACACGCCTCCTGTGGCGCAGCAATGCCCTCTGGGTAGCCGCGTTTTCCTGATCCGTAAACCACAGTCGGTACACAACACGTGCGTACAGACAACCCATGATGCCTAAAGGCATTACACCCGCCACCACAGTCCACCCAACTGTGTAAATATTGGCGTAAATATCCTTGGGCCAGCTGTGAACACAACTTTGCAATTCGCTGTTATAAACTGTGATGAAAAATCCAACTCCGGCCCACAAAAGAGCAAGAAACCAGCTGACAGCAACAAAGAAGACAATCTTTGTCTTAGTGAGTTTACCCCGCTGACTGTGTGGATACATCACTGCGAAATAACGTTCAATAGCAATGGCAATTAGTGAGAAGACAGAAGTTACCGCACCCACCCACCCAGGAACACCGCCTGTAATGAGTTTACAGAGAAGATCACCAGTCCTCCCCACTGGGTGATTTAGAGTTGGGGTGATGATGAACTGTATCCCAAAGAAAATGCCAACCAGTATGTCTGCGACAGCAAGATTGACAAGCAGATAATTGACAGGTGTCTTCATTGATTGGTTTCGCAGGATAACAAGAATGACGAATGTGTTACCAATGATATCCAGAACCGCCATTAGGGAAAAGACAATGGAAAAGGCCATATACATCGCCGACATATTTTTTATTAATTCTTTCTTGAGACCTGTGATAAAGAAATAAAAAAATAACATTACCTGCCTTTATACACGGCCTTATGAGTTGATTTGGGAAGGAAAATTATAACTGACAATTTGCAATTTGTTCTTTTGCTGAGGTCTACTGTTCAGAATTCGAACTTCACATGAGACGAATGTAAATTGCAATTTTGGTTAAATAAAACAGGTAAAGGTCGACAGTTTGTTTAAACGTCGAATAGAACTCGTCGTACCAAATACGAATCTACGAATGTGCATGTTCATCGATCCAAATTCAGTTGGACGTACTCAACTGATTCAAATTGACGTCGAATTCAACATGAAGTCAATTCTTACAGTTTGGTTCGTCTCATGTGAAGTTCGCCGTTTTAACTAGGCCAAAGATCTACAATAAACAACAAGTACTCGTCCTTCATCGTGACTGTTCAACAATAAGGTAGCCATTTTTTATGGCTGGCTGAGTCTTATATTATCATATTACTTCCGGTAAAAAAAGATTGACCGCCCTTTGACTTAAAGAAAATTTCCAAAAAAGAAAAAGACCTTGTCCTTAAATGAATAACATATTGTTCTTTCCTGAAATTCTATAAATTCCACACTACCGCCTTAAGGTAACACTCAAATCTGGCCATATCCAAGACTCTTATATCCCGACGGTTACTTTTTGCCTACCGGTTCTTATAAAATCACATCGAGAAATAATAATGGCATTCTGGTGAAGAAACCACAGTCAAAATGTATGTTTTTTTTCAATGTCCTATCAAAAGCCTTCGAGTTCATCTTACCTTACTCCGTTAGTCTGGGCAATTTTTTATGATTTTTCGTTTATCTTCGTCTGGGCTTGATGCCTTCTGTCAATTTTGGCATTTAGATAATTTCCTCCAGGTTTTTTCTCCTTTATAGATGTTTTCTGCCGGATAGAAACAAAACCGAGAATTACCCAAAATATAGTTTGCTCTACATTCTTCCTTGTTGACCTATATTAGGAAAAATGATACCGACTCATAAAGGTCCCGCAGACTCCGCCATAAGATGTCGACTGTCATCTTTAAACAAGGCGTTTATTTTTCATTCTTAAAGTTTGACATAGAGCACTAATTGTGATGACAAGTTCATGTGAAACGTGAACTCTGCAGCAGATGTTCTTCAGTTTTTTTCTTAGAACTGAGCAACAATGAAACTGATTCTATAGAGATTGAGAAAGCCTTAGAGAAATTTGTGCAAGCGGAATTTTGCACGCATTATCCAGTTCCATTTAATGTTCCTCTGTAGGTAATAAGCCGACAAATTAAAATTAATAGTAAGTCGACTTTTAGCTTGAGTAGCTGATCGTGTCCTCTGACAAATTTTCATTTTTGGTCTCAAACTTTTCAATTGGAATATACTAAATGATGCAAGACTTAGGCTAGGATCAAGGAAAAAAAAGAGTTTCAAGCAAATTTGAAAAATTCAAACAAACAACTGTTTACACACAGTGCATCGAAGATACTTGAAAATGTCTACAACTGAGATGTTAACGAAACTCTGAAAAACGAAATGTAAAGGACGAGTTTTATGAAGGGTCAGATTTAGTAGATAATTTAGTCGCTTAAAAATTGAAAAATCCGTTTCGCACATAGGTCAAATGAAGCAACGATGTTGTAGAAATTCAGTTTAGACCTTCACCGATCCACCAAGGTGGATTACTGCTTATCAAGTTCAAGGTTGACTTTAATTTTTTAATATGATACAATAGTTCCTACCAGTCATTGATGCGTTTGATTCTTAACAAAAATCACTTTTAGAGCCATCATTGACGTGCAGGGTAGAATAATGTTAATGAAACAAATTAAAACTGATCTTAAAGAAAATATAAATGAAATCCAATTTCATCTTAAGATTGCAAAAGCCGTGAGAAAAAATAGGGCTCTCAACGAAAAGTCCTGTAGGAATCAGTTACCAGCCTAAAATAGAGTATTGGTGATGAAAAACACTCACATGTCATGTCCAATATCACCTCAAGGACATTGCCGCCGTAGGGAAAAAAATGAAGCTAACTTTCCGACTTGTATTTTTCGTGCTCGACTGCTGGTTAACAGAGCGGCCGCTGAAGGAGAAGGAAATCAAAGAGAAAACAAGCTGCGCTTTTAATTCGAATCACGACAAGTGTGCAATTTTGATTTTGTATAAAAACCTTTTGGATTGGCAAAAGGGACCGGCACTAAAGTGATGTCAAGCTTTTAAGATTATAAATCAATATCTCCGTTCGAGTAAACTTCTGTAAATTGATATGTTGTTTTTTAGGTTTATTTCTTAAGGTTCTTTTTTATCCTTTGCTTTTTTGTAATTACTACCTGACTTACCTTTAATTCTTTGTCTTCTATTGATAAATTATAAAGCTCTCCTTACGTTGTGTCTCATTCTTTAAGAAAAACATATTTTACTTTTTTATCATACAGAATTGGGGTAACTTCGCTATTTTATCATAATTCGTCGGCAGCAAAATGTTGAAAATAATAGACCCGAAAGTTGTTCATATTTACAAAGAAACACATGTCAGAAGACAAGCGCTTGTCAAAACATTTCCATCTTAGGAAATGATTGTCGAAAATTAATCATAGGGGTTTCACTGACTGGTATTTCCCCGTTGGCTCATTCATCGATTCCTGTAGCGACTAGTCAATATGTCTCATGTCTTATACAAAAAACTAAGAGGTGGGCGGACAGAAAGATTTGTTTCTTAACCTTTAACTGGTTCAGCAAAATATAAAGTTTACCTTTTTGCTCAAATTGAGCGGACCTCCTCTGGGAAATAATGCAGAATATGAATGTTAGCGCCGCATGTTCAGGGAAAACGGCGTCAGCAATCTTGAAATATCAGGCGTCGGTAACTCCGTAATACTTACGGGAAGGCAAATAGAAAAATATTTTAAAAAGTTAAAGAGGCACTCCCAAAGATATTTTAAGATAGCGTTATACGTACATAATATTGATGCGTGAAAATTTAAAACACCCTCACAACGAGACTTGCATGCTGTTTGTTTTGAAATCATTTGCAGTGGAAGTTTGACAGTTGAATGCAGCCACCGAAAAAAGCTGAATAAAAAAAAAAATACATTAAAAGTGAACAACAAACATCTCCATAATCGAGATTGTTTAAAATCTTCCACACATTCCGAATTAGTTGAATTATTTGCAAACGTACGTCATCAAAAACCAATTCATAGGCTTTTTTTCACAATTTCGACAAGTTGAATGACAGACCGTCTCAGAAGATGTGGCACATCTGCGGAAACGGTCTGACATTCAACTTTACAGCTTTCTGTCGAAATTGTGAAAAAATGCCTATAAATTGGTTTTTAAAGGACATTTGTAAATAATTCAACACACTAAGATGAGGTGGGGGGGGAGGGGTTATCATATGCATTCAGTGCCACTGAAATAGGATTGCGATTACGTAACCGTAGACTACGAGCTGTCTCTCCGTTTCAGCGAAGTCCGTCGTGCATGGAACTCTGGGAGTGAGGCCCACTTCCAAAGTTCGGCGCGGGCGCGAACATCTATTTTTGTTGCATTTATTTCCTTTTTCGGCTAGCGCGACGGACTTCACCAAAAGGCAGGGACTGTTCATAGTCTAATGTAACCGACTGATAAAGAGAATTTTATGAATGTGATCAGTTTGTTGATTCAAAATCATACCGAAATGGCGTTTTCGCTCCAAAAAACTCAAAGTTGGTAGTCGGTTGTTTCCATTCACTGAACTCAAGGGGCTTTGTGCACAAAGCCATCCGTGACACTTATTTATATGGGCTCATCTATCGACAAATGCTTGCATTTAGTCACCCGTTCCCTTTTTCATTTTTCCCTCTCCATTTTCATCGATTGAAAAAATTCCCCTGCGAGATAAAGATTCCAAAATCATAACCTGATTTTCCGGGTTATATCCATACGTGTTTTCAGCTTCCCTCGCTTCGACATCCTTCCCGGTCCTTCCGTGACATTATCCTTGCCTACGAAGCACTGAGCAGTGAAGTATATTCGGTACAATGATAATGATGAATTAGTTTAATTGCTCCGGTGATTATCGAAATGTGCGCTCTGACTGGTCGAGGGTTGTGGCATATCTCGCTATAATCACCTCGCACGAGATGACAACAGCAGGGGCGTTAAATTAAAAGATGGCTGCCTCGCATTTTGTCATATTAACCTAGGGAGTGATGAATGCGATAGAAGGAAATTCATCTCTGAAGAGCACAAAAGATGCCACTATGTTTGACGTAACACTCTTCAAAAGAAAGATATAAAGTTTTTGCTGATTGAATTCAATAAACCTTTTAAATTCTTGTGAAAACTTGTAACAGAATGGTTTCAACAAGAAATACAATTTACATCAGAATTCGAAAGCGCCTGATCAATTATACTATAACAATTATATACTCGCCTCAGGCTGCATGAATATTGTTGAATGAGCATTAAGGTATACTTAGAAATAGTTTACGGTCAACTCGATCGCCACTGCAAAAAACTGGACAACATCCTGAGAGTCAACTCGCCACCGGTGGCAAATTGAGTTCTTGACCGTCATTGATTAATGATTACGGCTCTATCTCTCTGAAATTCACCTTGTTTATGCGTACCGTTAATTTTGCATCATTAAAACCAAAAAAATTAACAAAAAGAGATGCAAGCTTTCATATGATTTAAGTTTCATAGGATTTGGTTTCGAATTGCGTTCATAAAAACAAAACTTGCGTTAAAGGTCGTTGTGCTTAACACAAAGAAAGGACGCTAAGCCCCTTTCCAACCTCTCTGAAGAAGGGCTAACGCTCGAAACGTCAGCTTTTTTACCCTTTACGGCGGCCAATTTACGTTTTCAACTCAGTTGTTAACACTAAATTACCTGCTAAACTTTCGCCGTATTTGTACGCGTCTAATTTCGTGATATACTATTACGGCCTAGTTTTTAAGATTCATACGATTTCATAAACATCGGCAAAAATCACACGGCAAAATTCGCTCTGGTTTCGCTGCACGCAAACTGATCGTAGTCTTTGTGATACCATCGTTTCTTATTTCACCTCATGCTTGCTTTTAACGATTAACATTCAATAATTGAGACACAACGGTCAATTTGCCACTGGTGGCAAGTCAACTCTCTGTAGTGGCGAGTTGACCGCATACCGTCAGAAATATTTATTCAGTATAATATATGTTCCCATATATGAGCTATCTACCAATCCTACAGCACGTTCCGCTAACTGACCGTGTGCTTGCGGTCAATCTCGAGCCCAGGGTCATTTTGGCTCCTTATCAGCGGTATGGCCAAGTAATTGTTCACAGTAGGTATGTGGTGTAGACTGGTGTAGGGAAACATATATGTACAAATAGATGTACCGCTGACAAGGAGCCAAAATTACCCTGGGCTCGGCTCGCGGTATACTTTTCGCGGTTTTCAGAATATTTGATTCCAGCTACATTGCAGTTTCCGCCGTTCTGTAGAGGCAAAAACCCCTTCTTATTTACCTTTTACGGTGATAACATGGCTCATAACTATGTAGTGACGGCTCATAAGCCAACGGCCGTTAATGCTGCTGTAGTTGGTAATTTTACAGCCCCAGATGACCTTAATTTGATCATTGCAAAAAACACTCGTCTAGAGATCCATGTTGTGACACCAGAAGGCCTGAGACCGCATCTTGACATCGGAATATATGGACGAATTTCTGTTATGGAACTGTTCAGACCTCCGGTGAGTCCTGGAACGTCGCTGACAGTTTCCGAAACTATGTTTGTTTGCATGGTTGTGGCGATTATTTTGTAATGGAAAGTCCCTTGCCATGTGCATGCGAGCTTCATACTATGAGTAAAATTATGATAGTGAAATTAATTTATGAGATAAGCACTAATTTTATGAGATCGAGCTGCCTGTTCTCTCTTTTTTTAAATTAAGTTGTAGCCTGCATGCCCCTACCCCCGTAAAAATGACAGTAAAAAGAGTTTCGATTAAATTTAAATATTACCTTGTTTTGTTTGGGATATGTTTTTTTCTAGGAAGGCATATATGAAGTAGTAGGCCAAGAAAGAGAGAGATGCAATTTAAAATGCAACACAGACTTACAGTTACATTCTACTTTAAGCTGTTTTTTTAACAAAAATATTCCTTTTTCTTGCTGTAATAATATTTTTTTATCTCTAGAAATAAAACCCCATGAATGCAAGGAAAGATACTTTTCTCTATGAACCCAATCATCTCTGTTTGAACTTTGAGCTTTCAAAGATCAACCCTTCACACCAAACATCAGTATGCATATTCTCCTTTCTTTTCCTCATATATTTCCTAAGGTGCTGACTTGGAGAGTTTGTTTAACAATCAAGGGCCTCTTAAGTCACTGGTTATTTCTCGTATTCTTAGAGCTTAATGTGTGATTCAGGGGTCATATTGTTGGGAGAATTTAGATGCTGGTCACTTTTTGGGGCCAAATGCTCAACATGTGACTTAAACATATTTTAAGAGTGTAACTAGCCAATTGGCAGGTCATTGCTTTCTCTAGACTAATAATGTCTTCAGTGTGAGACTGTATTTTGTGAAACGGAACTATTCAAGATTTCCATTTGGTATAGTACAGATTTCTTTTTTGAAAATTACAGATTTCTTTGTTATAAATTAAAGATTTCTATCACAAATTACAGATTTCTATTTCGCAAATTACATATTTCTATTAAGCAAATTACAGATTTTCATTTCTTTTCGCTTCGATTTGTAAATTACAATAAGCTTTACATTGGTCTTATTCTTTCTTGTTTTTTAATTTTTTTCTAGAATGAACCTCAGGATTTGTTATTTATTTTAACGGCAAGGTACAGGGTGTTCATACTAAGTTACAAGTCAGAGTCTGGAGATGTTGTTACCAGGGCTTGTGGGGATGTTCAGGTAAATATATCTGTACATTGTATCTCTGTTGAAAGACTTTGATCATATTGAATGCAGAGCTCTTAAATCTCTTGTTTTGAATGTGAGACTCGTGCAAATGAATGCAATCTTACACCTTATGCTGAAACTACTACTTCTTCTGCATTTAAGTTTTCTGATTTAAACTGTTGGTTCTGAGTTAGTAAACTGCTGCATTAGTTTTCAGTACCTATAGAATGAACTCTCTTAGTTTCTAAATACAATGTATTTCTTATTCCTTTTGAACTCACTTTACACACTCTCAAGCAACCTAAAATTATGGTGCTGAGCCACTGTTAGGTTATCCTGTTTGCTTACCATATAACAAGGACTCTCTCCACACAGTGTTTGACAGTGGTCTAATGGTCAATGCATTGGACTCTGGGTCTAGAAGCCTGGGTTTGAGACCTGGCTGGGACAATGCGTTGTGTTCTTGAGCATTGACACTTTATTCTCACAGTGCCTGTCTTAACCCTTCAACTCCCAGGTCAAATTTGTAGTTCTCCTTACTGTCAACCATACAATTCTTATAATGTTAGTTCAGAAAATTTAGGATTGGATCAACCAATTATCCCTAAATTGATTTTTTTCTTTATTTTCATCACTTACCTGGTTGATATTATAACGATATTGTAAGGAGAAATTCTGTCTTGGTCACTCATGAGAGTTAAAGGGTTAAGGGCACACTTAATTTGAAGCCTCACTCTGTTGTGTGTCCTGCACCTCCATGGTGAAAGTGGTTTAAAAAAGAAAAAAAAAGATGCTCCGGCTAATTTTTCCTTTGGGCAACAAGGTTTGGTTTTTTGGTTCCCCATGGTTTATTTTGGTTGCTGCATTCCCAATTGAAAACTCAAAAGAGGCTTGTTAAAAAAAAAAGCTAAATAAATAAAATGTTAATACTACTGATATAACCCTTAAGACAATCTTGTATTATAACAGGTAATTTAGTGTTAATAACTGAGTTGAAACCGTAAATTGGCCACCGTAAAGTGTTTTAAGGCTGACATTTCAAGTGTTAACCCTTCACAATCACTCTGATGAAGGGCTTATGCTCAAAATGTCAGCCTTTAAACTCTTTACAGTGGCCAATTTATGTTTTCAACTCAGTTATTGACATTAAATTACCTGTTATACTCTCCCACCAACACAACACCACAGTTTCTTTAGAAACTTACCCCCTTTAATCTTGTATTGTAGTTGACATGAAGTTTTGTCCACAAATGATGATAATTAAAAACTTGTAACAAACTGTTATATCTGATAATTTGACGTTCACTTGTCACTTGAGTGGTAACTTAGTAAATACTTAACAACCAGATCAACCACAATTAAGAAAATTTCTTTAAATGAATTATGTATTCTAATTTCAACTAAGTGATCATCAGGAATCCTTTTCAGTGAATATGATGAAGTGGCAAAGAGATGTAAGGTAGTTTAATTCTGCATCTTGTTTACGATCACTACATCATATTACTAGTCACTCTCTTGGTTGCAAATCAAGCCGTTCTGCAAAATATTAGTCCCAAAAAAATTCTGATTGGGCAAGTCTAAGCGTTTTTTGTTGGGTTGGTTACAGAGATATTTGGCTTGCCCTGGCCAATGGAGCAAGCGTCAGAGTTGAACACTGTCCATGAAGGCTTACAGTAGAGGGATTAAAGTCTTAGCCAGTTAATTTTTTCACACTCCCCTTTAGGATTATGCTTAAATACCCTCCCCCCCCACACACACCACCCCAGAATGTGATGCCCGTGGGGTCACAATTGATGACTATGCAGTCAAAAATCTCACTCTTTGTTGGTAAATCTACTTAATAGCTCCATGAAGGACTCTAGCCTATGACTATTTTGTTCACTGTGCAAAGGAGTAAAAGTTTTGGGGTTTGCAGAACTCCTCAATGACTCCTGTGAAGCAAAATTTGCTGTTTTACTTTTTGCTTCATCAGGACAGAATTGGCAGACCATCCGACACTGGTTTGATTGGTATCATAGACCCTGAGTCACGGATGATCGGTCTTCGGCTTTACGATGGACTTTTTAAGGTGATTCCTCTGGAACTGGATTCAAACAAAGAACTAAAAGCATTCAACATCAGGTCAGGCTTGTTAATCTTTTTTTTAGGGTGTGGGTATATCAATCTTTTCTCTCTAATGGTATTTAACAATATTACGTGGATTCCTACTTTCTTAAACAACAGATATTTCAGACTTCTTGGGAATTCACACTGGTGGTGTCAATGCACCACCAATGAGAGATTTTGTGTGAGAATGTTTGTTAGCAATTTTATCCAGGGCCTCTTCAACTCAGGATATCTTGAAAATCTTCTGAGTACAAACTAGGTTTGTATTCCTCTATCTGAACACCAACAACTGGAAAAAATATTAAATGTTAGAGGAATTTTTCTATTTTTTTTTAAAGAAATCTAGGAATTATTGCAAATTAAATGATTTTGATTTTCATGGCTCTGTGATTGGTTTAGAAAACCTGAGCCACCTGTCAACCAATTAGATGCAAAATGTAACCCTTAACACCTTAAAGTCAGTACATGCAAGTTCTCTCTGATTTCTATATGTTTCATCTGGTACCTATGAAGATACTTTTTTTATTAAAAAGGAGTTTTTTGAGTTTGCAGTCACTTTGTTCATTCTCATGAACTTAATGTTTGATTCAGGGGTGATATTGTAGGATGCTTATCACTCTGTGGGGTTGAAGGGTTAAACCAAAGCAGACTTGGATGGTAATGAGTTTCACACTTGAGAATGTTGCTTGTGTTGATTTACCTAGCTTTAGTATAGTGTTGTGATTTCTTTGGTTTTGATTTCACGATACCCAGTCAAAATGTATTCAACCTGATTAGCATTACTGTAGGTGTGTAGATTAGAGAGCCTAGTTCCTCTGTTTTGGCTTCATTATACTGTATCCATGTCATGATTAATAATAGTAACAAGACTTTGTGTCGTCCAATTGTGTCTGTAATCATACATTGAGTGATTAACAAAATCAGATGACTGCAAAGCACGAGTCCGATTTGTTAATCATGATTATGATCACAGACAGAATTGGACAACACAAAATCCTGTTACCAATTAATCAAAGCTATGAGAAAAATTAAGAAAGAAACTAGACACTGGTTATAAGTTTCCATTAAAAAAACAACAGTGAACTCTGAAAAATGCAAGACAACCGCGCACATGTGATGTGTTCTGTCCACTTACACAGGCACAACATGTCATCTGTCCCTTTAACTGTCCTATTACACTGTCCAGTTACAACCATGACACGTACACTGTCCTATCGGTGCTCAAATTGGGCTGGTGATAAGTGATCATGTTTTAGAATTTTGTTATAGGTTTGATTAATCCTTAAACTCCCAAGATCTGATTGTTAATCTTCCCTACATTCCATTTTGAATTAGTCACAAGAAATTGGTGTAAGAACAAGATAACAACTTCTATGTGATGAGTCTGAGTATTCTCATAACCTGATTGTGGGATAAAAATAGATATTATTGGGAGAAGTTACGTGTTAATCACTTCTGGAAATTAAAGGGTCAATGTATCACTTTTGTATTCTAGGCTTGAAGAGCTGCATGTGATTGACATTGCATTTCTACATGGCTGTCAGGTTCCCACAATTGTTTTCATTTATGAGGCAAGTAGCTTTCAAAATCAAGTGTTGTTATTGTCGACATTTGTACATGTATCATTTTCATAAACTCTTCTTCATCCAAAAGACAAGTTTGACTCTGAAAATTAAAAAATAAAATTATAAAAGATATTCTCTTAAATGGAACACTAGGTGCCTTAGAGATCTTGTTTTCAAAGCCTGAGACCCTGCCTTTTGCCCTGCCTCTTAAAAGCTTTTATAAAAGGAAAGCTATACAATTGGCCTGAAGAGAGAGGTCAGTGGCTCTGATGTGGTTTCTGAGCTCTGTCAGAGCTCTGCCTTAATTGACCCACTTTTAATTACTGATAATTAACTCTTGGTGTACAGAGTCATTCAGCTGTTTGACACTTCCAAATGAAATGTTTGTATTTTTTTCTATTGTTCTCTATTGCAGTTATCACATACATGTAGAATCATAAGTAATGTTAGTTTTGGCTTAACATTTAAAATTATCTTATTTGTACATGTTTGCCTGTATGACAGGATCCTCATGGACGCCATGTAAAAACTTATGAGATTGTACTGCGTGATAAAGAGTTCAGCAAGGGGCCTTGGAAGCAAGACAATGTGGAGGTGGAGGCTTCAAGAGTTATTGCAGGTATTTACAGATGTAGTGATAGACATTCTTTATTAGGAGAATCTCTGAATGCCTCAAGGCTCCTCTCTCAGAAATTTAGGGTAAAGCTCTGAAAAGCTTTCATAAAAATATATGAAAATCATATATGTGAACTACGGATGAAGACATGAATATGAAAGTGATCTTCACAGTAATGAACACTACTTGAGCAGTAGTGAAAATAAGGCCTGAAAAAATTCAGGCCTGTGCAGGATTTGAACCCATGACCTCTGTGAATACCAGTGCAGTGCTCTACCAAGGTTATACAAGTTGCACGAAGGCAAAAATTTAGTCACCTGTGGCACATACATTGTAGGCTCCTCTAGATTACAGCCCTGAGTGTTATTATAATGATTAACATTACAAATTTGTTCAGTTCCAGAACCTCTTGGAGGGGCACTTATCATTGGACAGGAATCAATAACATACCATAAAGGGGCCAATTATCATGCAATTGCTCCACCAGCTCTGAAGGTATTTACTGAACAGTAAACATATCCACTGGTCGTTACATACTCTAAGGGCCTGTCTACATGGAGGTGAGGACCTAGACCTAGATGGGATAACCTGCCTTTCCATATAATCTCTTATTTTATCTTGATCATTGTTACATGATAGTTGGTGTAACCTTCCTAGGTGGGTTGCCTGGTCTGCTGCAGGGTAACCCTGTCAGACCAAGTCTCAGTTTGCCACATAAACCTCTCAAGGTGAGGTAACCCACGTAGCTTGGATCATGTTCATGTTACATTTGCAAGCACAATCTCAAGAAATTTCACCATGGGATCCCATAGTTGTACGATTTTAGGTAAACATGGGCTGTTTTTTGAATACAGGTTAGGCATGCTACCTTGCTTACCTGGTACCCCCCACCTCCATGTAAACAGGTTATAAATCATGTCCACAGTACACAATGAGACACACAAATTCATAGGTTTAATGTCGAGATGCAACCCTCTTATTTTTTTTCAGCAAAGCACCATAACATGCTATGGGAAGATTGATGCTAATGGTTCAAGGTATCTCTTGGGTGACATGAATGGTCGACTTTTTATGTTACTGCTGGAGAGGCAGGAACTGATGGATGGTAACATTGAAGTGAAGGATCTGAAACTGGAGCTTCTTGGAGAGGTACCACTCAGGGAATTCTGTTTTGTTACTCTGCTTGAAATAAATGTTGGCTTACTAATAATTTCTTTGTAGTACATGTTTATACTTCCAAATATTTTGTAAGAGGACTCACAAATACTTAAGTGAATCCTGTGCTGGAAAAAGGGACTTCATACTGTAAGGCTTCCCTTCTTGCCTATTCAGGTGGAAACCCTCAGCTTGTCATAGTAAGAGACCTCCTATGCAGGAATACTGTAAAAACCTGCATAAAAGAACCTAGTTTTTTTCAAGTTAGCCTCTACAGGTTCTTAATATATAAATGTGATAATGCGATTTGCAGCGGAATTAGGCTACCAAGGTTCTTAATCACCTTCTTAATTTTTTTTTAAAATGGAACAACTTGTTTTTGTGGGTTTGGGTGTGACACTGCACTGTACGCTAGCCTCATAGTGCCCTGATTTATATGGTTAACTTGTACACACAGTTGGATATGTTTCACAACTATAGATATATTTACAGTACAGTACTGTGGTCTTATAACACTAGGCATTCTAAAAATAAGAACCTGTATTGAGATTTTAGGCTTGAATTGTTCATATAAGAGGGGTGCTTAACTGGGAAACTTTAGCCCAACAGGTTCTTAAATTTTAGGTTCTTACATGGGAGTTTTTACTGTTCTCTTTGGGTTATATTCCTCCTCCCTCTTCCCTCTCTGCCCCACCCTTTCCCCAATAGAATGCTTCTAAGATTTGTTACTGACACAGTTTTTGTTTTATTTAGACTACTATTGCACTCTGTCTCACATACTTGGACAATGGTGTGGTATTTATTGGTTCAGCAATGGGAGACTCACAACTTGTTAAGGTACATATACATGTGTAATGCAATTGTTGCAATGATATCAGCTAGTATGCCATTCAAAAAAGTGATCTAAGCATCAGTCGGTTGGTTGGTCAGTCAGCTAGTCAATTAGCCAGCCAGCCAGCCAGCCAGCCAGCCAGTCAGTCAGTCATCCAGTGAGTGAGTGAGTGAGTAAGTCAGTCAGTCAGTGAGTTAGTCAGAGCATTAATAAGGTTGCTATACAAGTGTGACAGATAGGAAGAAAAACCCTCTGATGAGTGCTCAGACCTCAGATTCACAGATTTTTGTACCATAGATACCTGTAGTGGTCATGTAGGGTGCTCGAACATGAAACTGCTGAGATCTGGATATGGTGAATTCAAATATTTTCCTGATTGTACCTTTTATTCCTTTTTATTAGCTCAACACAGAAACAAATGAGAATGGCTCACATGTTCATGTGATGGAGACATTCACCAACCTTGGTCCTATTGTAGACATGGTGGTAGTTGACTTGGAAAGACAAGGACAGGGACAGGTAGATTCTATCAAGTATAAATTTTTACCTTCTTTGTGAATATCAACCTCAGCCTGACAGACAAGAAGCATGCTTTAACACAATTTACTTTTCAAAGACATGCAAACTCAAGGTTGATGGGCCAATCTCGTTTTTAATTTTCATTTCAAGCTGCTGTCCTTCATCATTGTAACAGCCATTCACATCAGAAACAAACATGATAGATTGAAATGTGCCTTCCATAAGTCAGTAACAGGACATTTTGATACCTCCTAGAACAGTGAACTTTTGCCCTGAAAGATCTAGGACATGATTACAAAGACCTAAAAACCATAATTTATTTTAACGATTTTGTAAAAAATTGAAGTGGTTTGAAATTTTGTTAAAAAGAAAGGTTTGAACCTTGAGAGACAGTATACACAATTTCAATGTTCTAAATAAATGTAAAACTTGTTCCAGTGGTGAATTTTTCCTTTTCCTATCATTCCTTTTAATTTCACACAGCTGGTGACATGTTCTGGTGCACTGAAGGAAGGCTCATTAAGAATAATAAGGAATGGGATTGGTATTCATGAGCATGCCACCATATCAGACCTTGTTGGCATTATGGGTTAGTGATTCATTTTTATTCAGGAAAATTAATAATGAGGTGTAAAGAGGGTACATTTGTGTAGGTAATAACATGATTTTGAGCGTAATTTGGTGTTGATAAGCACAAGTGAATTATTCAAAGACAACAAAATTACAGGTGAGTGCAATGTGTAGTCTTTGAAAATACATGTTATTACACCAAATTGCAAGGGAAATACAATTTTTTCTTACCTATAATGTAAATGAAAAAAATCACAAAAAGTCAGGGCAGACAAATTTTGACAGCGTGCATTCAAGCTATTTGTACTTTGCATTTGTGTTACAACTTTGCACTCATGTTACAACTTTGCATTCATGTTACATGAAAATGCACTCCTTTTCAGTCCATCAGAAATGCATTATTAGCTAAGAAACTGCAGTACTGTGTTGGTGGGGTATTTTTCCAAAGACACTGTGATGCTGTGTCAGTAGCAGGTATAGCAAGACTACTAGGTTTTATCAACTGACTTGATAATCTAAATTGGCCACCGTAAAGAGTTTTCACATTTTGATCATAAGCCCTTCATCAGAGCAAAGGCACAAGTACAAATTGAATTGATTATTCTGCAAATTCCCTATTTCCAACATGCATTTAACAAGTCATCTCACACAGGCTACCCTACTGCTTCTATTGCTTAATATGTGTCTTTTATACATACATGTACTTTGTTCTTTCGATACTTTAGGTATCTGGCCCCTAAGATTACAAAAGACAGCCAAAAACTTTGATGATGCACTGCTCCTATCTTTTGTTGGCCAGAGCAGGTAAAGTAATTGATTATTCATGCTCTGGTTTGATAGCAAAAAAAAAATTTTACTAGTGGTATAAATGCCCTCCATACATGTACATGTTTGTGTGTTGTGCAGTTTTCATCAGGATGTCAGGGTAAACATACTAGCAGGCGAAGAGGCAACAATGAGGGCCCAACTTACTGCAGGCTACAATGATGCTGACTACACTATTGTTGTTCCCATTTTTATGTCAGTTCATTTTTTTCATTATTTTTATTAATTTTATTCAATTGAATTTTTCACAGAATTTTAGCCCTTGCTGGTGAAGAAGTTGAAGAGACAGAGATTCCAGGTTTTGATGATGATCAACAGACATACTTTTGTGGAAATGTTTCAGGAGATCAAATCATCCAGGTGTGTCTTCAACTTGAAACCTTCTTTGCTAGGAATGACCAAAGAGGGATTTTTCCTCGCAATACCTCTACATTTTTATGTAGAAATGTGCTGGGAAGAGAGATAATATTAATCAGAGGATATTGCATGATTTAACATCAAATTCTGGGGGCTCAAATAAAAAGAAATGTATTACAGACACTGTAGATAGTTGATCTTTAGTTCATGGAATGAAGAGGTCAATATTGGCACACATGCTTGACAAGAGCATAATTTATCAGGGGTTTTCTAATAGAAGTATAATGTATAGATGGCATGATCTGTACAACTGCAAGATACTGTGTGCAGCTTTTTCAAGAAAGGTTGTTGAAAAATAAAAAAATGGAGGGTTAAATTACATGTGACAACCCCAAAAGGTACTGAGGGTAGTTTTTGGGTCACAGTTCAAAGACCTCTAGATTCTATAGAAATCTGTGAAAACGTTGCCATAGGAACGAGGCATTGCAGGTTTGATAAATTTCTTGATTTATTTGACTTATTGAAATGCATTGATTACTGGATGCCCAGATTTACTTTCGAGATTTTGGTATGCACTGAATATGTACCTTTTTTTGACAACCTATCTTGAAACAGCTGCATACTGCAAGCATTAATTGCCATGCAGCTGATGACTTATTTCTGCTTTGCGTCTGATTTTCTCTTAAAAAGTATTATAATTAAGTTTTCAAGTGCTGGGATTCAAAATAGGAACCTCTGCAGATTCTAGAGTTTTATCATATTGACGTGTCTATTATTCCTTGCAGGTTACAACATTGTCAGTGCGTCTTGTGAATTGTGAGACCAGGGAACTTGTTTGGTACGCAGCAATAGCAAGGAGTAGTTGAAATCCATTCTTAATACAAAAATAATTATAATAATAATTTACTTAACACACAGTGTCGAATAGTAAAACCATACAAAGAGTATATCACGTTGAACAGAACTGTGCACATTGAACAGTATTCTTGTTCCCAATATCAATGGCTGTTTGAGTTTGACAGAAGCTATGATGCCATAACTTCTGTACTTCTACGCATACCACTTCCTAACTGAATTCAAGGTCCGTAGTTAATGTAACCGATCAAGATTATTTTTCTGCTTGGTTTTTTGGCCCAAGCATGAAAGCGCGCGAGCCATAGAGAGGCAAGATTTCAATTCAAACAAACTTTCGAATCTAGCGGGCCGTACAGTGAAATATGGCCTGCTTAATTGACCAATAATTGCGCAGGTACCAACTGAGAGATGTATTTAGTACACGTATCCATCATTCCTTGGTAATTGAACTGACTTTTCCTCCTGTCTATTACTCAACACGATTATTTCTCAGCGGTTTCTGCTCCAATTTGCTTTGTTAATAGAAATATCCTAACTCATGGGGCTCTCATAAGTTGGTAATCTTAATTTTGGTGATTTGTATTCCATTCCTTTGTTTATTTATTTATCGAATTTATGATGTCCTCAGTTAGCGCAAAGGAGACAAATACGTCAAGAAGTAAAGATTATTTGATGACTAATGGCTCACTAAATTTTATTATTCAGTGAATGGCGACATCCTGGTGGCAAGAACATCAGTGTCTGTGCGTGCAACTCTGGACAGCTTGTGCTGGCCGTGGGTTGTGAATTGTATTATCTGGAGATCATTGCAGGAAACCTTAATCTGATCAGGTGATTCATACATGTACAGTCCTCATCTATTTTCTGTTAGTACTTCTTCTTTCACGGTAATTGAAAAGAACAACTCCTAGAAATCGGTCAACTGACGGCCGACTGTCGGCCAATAGTATTAAGTACACCTGTCGGCCAACATGTGGTCGGCAGTCGGTCAGTTGTCAGTGGACTGACGGTTGACTGTCGGCCAACAGTCTTAAGCACTCCTGTTGGCCTACAAGCAGCCGACAGACAGCCGACGGTCCGTCATCTGCATACCTAAAGAGGTTTGCAAAGCATTGTATGGCGATTCGAAACCCTTCGTCGATCGAGAGAAGGTAGCAGAAATTTGGTGGCTAAATGTAATGGTGGACTAGCTGACTGCAATCCAGTCATAGCTCCTCTTTCTTAGTTGATGCAGGAATCCCAGGAGACTTTCAGAGCTATATGTACATGTATGTTGGTAACCACAGGGCCATTGTGATGAAAGGGTTTCCCTGCATATCAGCTGGTTCCGCTGATCTTTTTTTTCTTTCTTTCTTTCTTTCAGCCACACAACACTTGAACACGAAGTTGCTTGTCTGGATATCACACCAACTTGTAAGGATTTTTTTAAAGTATATGTTGATAGTTTGAATTTATTGGTTTATGGTTTTTTGACCAGAGCCACTGGCTTTTGGAAATTGAATTATCAACATTAAAAATCGTCTTCAATGGACCTCTCTCATGAATACCAGGCTTAATCATTAGTCTTAAGTGTGCATTTAAATTGACCTATTTAGCCTCGTCATGATGTGTAGAATCAATCAAAAGAATTTTAAAACTCTTAAGAGCGAGATTAGGAAGGGTCTTTTTTGCATGCTTATAATAGAATACTTATCATGTCCACTATTTTGAAAGAGGTTTATATCCAAAAAAACAAACAAACAAAGTCAAAGAAAAGAACTGTGATGCAGAGATGCATCAAATTTCTCCCCACAATATCATCCCTGAATCACACGTTCAAGTCATGAGAATAAAGGAAATGATCACCAACTGAAGAAGCTTTTGATAAGTAAACAAATTCTCCTTGTCAGCACCTTAGGAAATGTATAAAGAACAGTGTGGAGAATATGCATACTGATGTTAGGGTGTAAAGGGTTAAGTTCATCTTAAGGTCTCTCCTTAGAACTGCACTACTGTGACATTTTTATTGCACGTAATTTGATAAATGAAACCAGCATTACTTATTTCATGTTTAACAACCATACACAAAGTTTTAAGTTCCCATAAACGATAGAGACAACCATTTTATCGGGTGTGACATAGATTCTAATGAAGTAGCGGATCAATGTCTGTATCTTAGCAACTGCTCACCTACCCCTCCCTTAACCCAACAGCAGTCAATTGATAACAAGTCAGGGTTGATGTTGGGTTAGGGGAGGGTGGTAGGTGCGCAGTTGCTCGAGATTGGTATTGATCCAAAGTTTCTTTCTCAGAGAGAGGACCCAGTAAAAAATTTTCTCCATGTTACTGGCGTCTCTAGCATTGTTTTCTTGTTATTGTTTTCACAGATGATTCTGACACCAGGGCTCAGTTAGTAGCAGTAGGACTGTGGACGGACATTTCAGTGAGAGTGCTAAAACTGCCAGGCTGTGAACAACTGTTTGTTGAAATGCTGGGAGGAGGTGAGAATTGGATTTTAAATAGGTCATTTTTAAAAACCGTTCGTCATTCTGTGTTACGTGAAATGCCTGTGATAGACTACGTTAAAATTCACTTGAGTGTCGTCCAAGTCAGATATGGAAACTAGCCACGTGCTTGTGTTTCTCGTGCCCTGTTGGCTGGGGTTACTGCTGGGATGGGTGACTACACATGATATCCTGTGTTCTTTTCTTTGTTGTTGTTGTCTTTATTTTTAGTTTTCATTCCTGTACTTCAAAGAGTTAGGCATGAATTTATTATTTTACACGTAAAATCAGAGTGGCCGTAGATAACGACCAACACATTCCACGTCAACGCTTCCAGGGGTCTTGTTAATTAACAGTTCACACTGATTAATTTTAAATGATTTATCTTTCAGAAATAATTCCTCGCTCCATACTCAAGACATCTTTTGAGGGTATTCATTACCTTCTCTGTGCTTTGGGAGATGGAACCTTGTTTTACTTCACCATGGATCCAAACACTGGTATTTATGGAATCATCTTCATTTTTTCAGTGATATAAATGTCTTTTGTACATAATCCATTCGTACTTAATACACACTGTTGAAGGTGTTTGGTCTTAACTGAGGTTTATGGGCACCCAACTAGTTTGACTCTTCGGTTATTTTGGGTACCCAGGTCATAACATTTATTTACTCTTTAGTTTTTCATGCGCCGTTTGTGTTGTTATGTATTCGTAAGTGGCAGTACAGATAAATATTGCAGATTTTGAGTTTTTTGTTCCTGTATCCAGGATATCGTTTCTTCGTATGAGGGTACACACCTTTACAAATGATGGATGCTTGTCTTACCTTAAGGGATTTACATTTCTGTAGTGGTTTCGAAGCGTGCGCTCGATCCTAAAATTGTCGCTGCTATTGTTGAGGTAGTTGGTTATCAGAGTCGTGGAGGTTATCGATCTGAAAAATGACATTAACTTCGAAAAATTCTTGTCTACCAGCACTATTATTGCCAGTGCCAGTTAATTTGTTTTTGGATTTTTTGTTTTTTTTTTGTTTTTCTCAAACAGTTATTTACCCAAAGGGTTGGACGTGACTTTCGGCCACGTCCAGAAAAAGAGACTTTGGGCTCTTTTGGGGCAGGAGTACCACTATCATTTAATGAATGAGTTTCCTCCTGGGAATTCTTTTTTTTTCCTAATTCAGACACATACATGTAAAGCGTTTTACACACGCAATGTTTATTTAGTTATTTGGCTTTTGTAGGATCTTTGTCTGAGAGGAAGAAAGTAACCCTCGGCACACAGCCTACAATGCTTAGAACATTCAAGTCACTGTCCACAACAAATGTGTTCGCCTGCTCTGATCGGCCCACAGTAATCTATTCCAGTAATCACAAACTTGTGTTCTCCAACGTTAATCTAAAGGTTTGTGTATGGTCTGCTTATTACACTGCGATACATGTGCTATAAACAGGAACCTTCAGAGTTCTACGCATTGTGGATCCTATGTCCTAGGGTAAAATCAAACGATCGCAGCGAAAGAGTTAATTACTCGCGTATCATGAGGGTTGGCAAAGAATCTGAAGCTGACAACGTGCTGAAATCTCCGAAATGAAATATGTGTTGTATGTAACAAAAGTGTTTTTGCACGTCAATCTCAGAATGAGATTTTTTACTTAAAGCTTGACCATGCATGAAAGTTTCTTTACAAAATATGGTTAGACTCAGAACTATTATTCCTTCTTTTGCTGTTTTAATGCTGATCTCATATTCCGCCATCAGGAGGTGAATTATATGTGTCCACTGAACTCCGAGGGATTCCCAGACAGGTATAGATTCTCGTCTAGATTTACATTGGTTCAATTGACAACTGTTATAGTGGATTTCCGCGCAGCATAAGCTCTTTAAAGTTTCCGTTTCAGGAGAGATCCATCTTCCCGTTCCCATTTCCCGTTCCTGGGTTTTTTGGAAGCTGGACTGAGTTTTTAAAAAATCGCTTTTGAAATCGGCCTTCATAATAAAAATGCCCTTTTTTTTCGTCATTTTCAAAGGTTTTTGAATAGTCCTTATACTTTCCTAAACTTCCTCTTGATAAGCTTTCATTAAAGATAAACTCTTCCTCTTAAAAAACACGTCCTTGGGTTTCTCACTTATTTCTTCTGACAATCAAGAAAGCGAGTTTCATCAACAGTGCTGCGCTCGTTCTCTCTTATTCTGGGCTTTCAAGGTGCGATCGCATTCAAATTTCCCGCTTCAGTGCTTATGAAGAATTAATGATGTCCAGGCATTCTGCACGCTGCTTCCCTTAAAAGTTTTTCTTCATTTGAACTGCATTGAGGAGTGTCGGATATAAGAGAGGTCCCCTGAGGGATGCCTGGCCTCCCTGCACTCCCCCTCCCCCTCCCCCCTCTTTAATGATGCTCTGTGGTTTGTAATAAATTGTTATGTTTTAATGGGATATTTCGATGCAGAAATTTTGAGAGTTCTTTCCTCTGCTTCATAGTCTTGCTGTGGCTAGCGAAGGAGCGTTAACCATAGGAACAATTGATGAAATCCAAAAACTTCACATTCGGACTGTTCCATTGGGAGAAACACCCAGGTATAGTACAGCGAGCTTAAACCTTCAACTTTTAAGATGTGATTGACAATTTTCCCCCCCTAGCTGCTAAACATTCTCATGTAAATGAGTTACAAGAATTTGGTGTTAGATCAAGATAACAACTCCTTCCTGATATGTTTGAATGTTCTCATTACCTGTTTGCTGGATGATGTATGGATATTATAGGGAGAAGTTACATGTTAATCACTGCTGGGAGTTAAGGGTTACAGCGTATGTGCTGTCAAAATGTAGCGAGGAATTCCTAAAGGTGGTCACACAATAATCCTCTTTTGTGGAAGAAGCATCTTGTGAAAAAATGGCTGCAGATCATGAAAGGAAAAGACGAACGCTACTCTGACCCTCGTGGCTGTTAGAGGGTGAACCTTACCTTTCCTGTACATTAAATTAAATCGGTATACCTGGCTTGTAATCCAGCTTGTATCAATGTTCTGTCGTTTGTGCGTATTTCGATAATAGTGGTTTGATCTGAACCCTTTACGCTCAAACATCAATATACACATTCTTCATACTGTTCTCTATGCATTTCCCAAGGTGCCGATTTACGGAAATCAAACGTGGCTCGGAAACTAACTAGGTTCTCTAATATGCAAGCTTGTTTATCGTATCCCTGGGGGGTACCATCCATCACGTACTGCTTGTGTTTTCTTCAGGCGTATTGCTTACCAAGAGTCCACACAAACATTTGGTGTAATCTCAATGCGAGTAGAGGTCCTGGATCCGGCGTCAAATACAACTCGACCCCTCCACCCCAGCGCGAGCACTATGGCTCAGAACATAACGACCAGTGTGTCAGCAGGCATGCCGGGCACTTCCGCCGGAAGTTCAGCCGGTGGTAGGGGTGTGGCAGACGGCATAACATTTGGTGACGAGGTGGAGAGAAGCAGTTTGTTGATCATTGACCAACACACATTTGAAGGTAATGACTTCTTCAGGAAACACTTAGGGACAGAATTATTTTTCCATTAAGGGCTGTTCGAATATTTATCTGAATAATTTTCTATATTCTTTTATTTTCTGTTTTTGTACTTCGTTGATAGATTTTTTCTCATTTGGTTTGCTCTTTGGTTTTGGCGTTCTCTGTGTATGAATATTATTCCATGAGCAACTTTGTTTTTATTATTTCTCGTGTTGCACGGTTTTGAAGATTCTTCACTCCCTCTAAGAGTACGTGTTTCGACCCTTGATGCCGCCAGTATGACCAAAAAGCGGTTATTGGGAGTTTTAAAACCTATTTTCTTCCTAAATCAATTCAAAAGCACTTAAGGTATAAATGGGGGTGAATCACCAACGTTTTCCTTCAGGGAGAAACTTCGCGACAATTTTCACATATTAAAGTTTATCTTTGTTCTCCTCTCATCAGTGACTCATGCTCATGATCTTCAAGATCATGAGTGTGCTACAAGCCTGATCTCTTGCACGCTATCTGGTGACCCCAACAGCTCCTACTCGAGTGGAACGTCCAATACGTATTACTGCGTTGGCACTGCGTATGTCTTCCCCGAGGAAGCTGAGCCAAAGACGGGACGTTTGATTTTATTTCAGCTCTTGGAAGGTGATGATGGTTTTCGAAAGTCAATTAGCCAGTTGGTCTGTCAGTCTTTGTTTGTTTTTTTTGTTTTTTTTTTGATTGAAAGGCAGTTTCAAAGTACTTTTAAGAACACCATCAAAGCCTTCGATAATCTGAATGATTTTTTTTGTTTTTGTTTTCAAGGTAAACTTGTCCAAGTCGCTGATAAAGAAGTCAAAGGTGCCGTGTACTCACTGGTGGAATTTAACGGAAAAGTCTTGGCCGGCATTAACAGCACGGTTAGCTGACGAGAACTCATGTATCAAAACAAACGTTTTCTCTTTCTCGTTCCCATACGCACTCCCTCCCCCTTCCTCCATAACCCTCCCCTCCCTTTCCTCCTCTCTCCCTCCCCCCCTTCCTTCCTCCATTCTCCCTTTTCCTCCCCCCGTCCCTCCTTTTCTTCTCATTAAGGAGTGCATTCGGAATCAAAAATTGACACCAAGTAATGAAGTTATGTGAACTACAGCCTGGTTTAAGTATAGTTACTTGAGATGAGACTGTGGATGTCCTTTAGGTGCGCAGCCAGTGATTTTACTCGTTTCAACAGGTCAGTATATACGAGTGGACGGCTGACAAAGAATTACGTGTGGAATGCAGCTTTTTGAACAACATCTTGGCTTTGTATCTCAAGTCTAAAGGGGATTTTATTTTGGTAAGTTGGTAAAGCAGCATTTTAGGTGTTACTGTACTTATAGCAGTAATAAGGGTTTTAATCACCCTGCAGAACATGAAACAAACTCCGTTTCAAAGAAAATCCCAATTAAAATTTTGACTAGTTCACTAAAGATTAACTGTAAATTGTCTTCGTTCCTTTCGTTGTTCTAGTTTCAAAGTATTTTCTTTTTTTTTTTCAGGTGGGTGACTTAATGAGATCCATGACACTGTTAACTTACAAAGCAATGGAGGGAAGTCTAGAAGAGGTGACTGATAACATCAACGTGCTTTAGATTATCAAAGGAATAGCGTTCGTATTATGATAATTACATTTTTTCGGTAAGAGTTCGTGTAATAAGAACCTATTTCATTCATTTAGTGCTTTGCTTCCTGAAACTATACATATGTAACATGTTTTCTTGTGTCACGCACTGGTTGAACAATTTTTAGGTAAGCGTTGAAATCAATTCTAGATTGCATTGATTTCTTACTGCGATCTGTGATTGGTCTAGGAGACCCGCGTCACCCCTTCAACCAATCAGATGCAGAACAAAATTTAATTGAGAGTTGCTGGCTACCGTTATCTTGTGCTTGACCAGGCAGCTAAATTTACCTCTTTCTTTTTACGTCTTGTGTGATTATGACAATTAATAGCCCATTTCCGAATTACCTTTGGTCCTTTTTTTTTCAAAGCGAGTCCTGTTGCTCCTCCTGTCTCATGATTGTAAGTTTTCATTCACGTACAAATTAAACTAATTTTCATACAAATTGGTGAACACTAGACCTCGTTATCGAGAAGTTGGCCAAAGGTAAGTCGGAATTGGCATATTGAGATGCATTCAGACCAAAGCTTATTTTTATTTATGATAGAACACGTTTTGCGTCCATAAGAGCTCGTCGATGTCGTTCGTGTAAAAGCTTACTTCACGAGTCTCGTTTTTTCGTGATCAGATTGCGCATGACTATAGTCCAAACTGGATGACAGCAGTAGAGATCCTAGACGATGATACGTTCCTTGGGGCTGAAAACTCTTTTAACCTGTTCACCTGCCAAAAGGACAGCGGCTCCGCAGCTGATGATGACAGATCGTATCTTCAGGAGGCTGGGCAGTTTCATCTTGGCGAGTTTGTTAACGTCTTTAGACACGGTGCGTTTACACTTATCCTGGTAGGGACTAAAGAGACAAAGTGGCTGGCCCTTTTTGCACACCGCTTTTGGTCACAAAAAATTGAAAAAATTATTTTAACGTACTGACAAAATTTGTTTCATTCACCCTCACAAAGGTTCTCTTGTCATGGAACATCCTGGTGAAGCGTCGACCCCTTTCCAAGGCTGCGTCCTTTTTGGAACCGTCAATGGAACAATTGGTGAGAATTTGTTTTCTTGACCGTTCCTTTTCCAGCGTAGCCCTCTCATTTCCAGAGTTGATTAACCTGGAACTTCTCCAAACATTACTAAGGCACTATTCTGCAAAATAGTGATGAGTATAGACAATGAATCAGCTTGAGGGTGCTTTTGATATGATACCAAAGTCTCATTTTTAAGTTAAGGAAATTTTTTAGCAGCCAGGAGATACAATTGCAGTTCAGATCCTGTCAGTTAAAGAATTTTAAACCAGGTTCAGATTTGCGATTTTCACTTAAGATTTGAGGAGGTTGTACCGGTGTCGTACGTTACGGTTAAAAACGGGCGCTTGAACGATTACTATTTCACAGGCTTCCTTTATATCTTTTACGAGGAGTTTGCACGAATTGAAATAAATTTTCTCCCCCTTATCTGGGTCGAAGCCTAAGGAAGTGTCGAGATATTTGAGTTTGACTCAGACCTGGGACCTCGTAAATATCCCAGCGTCCTTTTCAGGCTTCATCCATCGCAATGTCAGAGGGCGATGTTCTCTTTACCATTCTAATCATTTGATATGTCTGTGATGTAAACACACAGGAATCGTCGCTCAATTACCTCAGGAACTGAGTGCTTTTTTGACGCAAGTCCAAGGGAAACTCAGCAAAGTTATCAAGAGCGTCGGAAAGATTGACCACAGCTTATATCCTTTACACCTGTTTCCGATGCTTGATACCCAGAAATAACTTCTAACCAGAACATGGCCGTAAGGATACAGCTGAAAAACATCGACGCATGTCAGGAATTACGCGGACTCACGCTGCAAATTATAGCAATATCAGACTAAGATGGCGGAATTTTGAATCATTGCTGAAGGGAGCTGGTTTTCTACCTAAGTTAAGACGCAAGCAGAGAGGTTATGCTAACTTTTTTATGTAGGTTGGGCAAGAATGACGTCGATATGCAAGCTGGGTGGTTCTTAGTGGAAGTCTGTTTAAGTTTGTATAGAGCGGTTTCAGTGGATGAAGGATATGAAGGCATTCAACATTTTTAAAATCACCACCAAATTAATTGATACATACAGTTGCTATGTCGTATGAAGGCGTATTTCTGACATGCGCAGACGTTACTCAGTTCTGTCGATTATGAGCAAGTGTTAGAGAAACCTGCTGGGTTTAACATGTTAAGGACGTGCATTCCCTGATTTTAAGGGAGCAGCAGCACTCTCAGTTTCTCCAAGTTAAGCTGCAGTTGTGTAGTCACCCAGCTCTTGTGGGAGCGTTTGCATCATTGTTGAGTATTATATCTACATATTCAATAAGAATTAAATATGATTTTATCAGTGTTGGTGTTCAAAAAAAAGAAAAAATTAAGGATAGGCATTGCTTCCTTTACTACTTCTTACCTGGCGCTGTTTTTCCAACGAACGGAGAGTTGAGCCTGCCACCGGGTTTGTGGACGGAGATTTAATCGAAAGTTTCCTAGACCTACCGCGGTCCAGTATGGAGGAGGTAGCCTCGGGACTACAAGTAAGTTTTGTCAGGCATTGCTGGGTGCTGCTGATATTTTTACATACGTTTTGCCTACACCGAAAAAAATTTCTTTGTAAGAGTTTTAAGCACAGAAAGAATATGTGCGACTAATGAAATTTTAAGGCTGTAAGTGGAAGTGTGTCTTCTAAGTGTTAGAATATAATTGGGAGGGAACAATTTTAACCGACTATCGGGCCCCCCCCCCCCCTCTGCCCTTGACATGCGATGGATTAGCTTCCCTTTGGGGGGGGGGTTAGAAATATGGTACCCCTCTTCACGACATCACCATCATAGACGAACTGAATAGAACGACCTAACTTTACCGACGGATCGAAACTGACCAATCACGACCGACTTACGCCCCTCGAGTCTTACAGCCCATTACATCATGGCTAACTGACCAATCAGTTTACAACGAAGCTGACTTTCGACTGACAACAACTATTGACTCGACGGTGATGATGACTTCCGCTCAGGTTGTCGAAACGTCTGTCACTACTACCGACAACAGTCCTTCTCAGGACTACACTTACCTGGTCAATCAGAGCACACTATCACACAGTACTCCTAAAGAAACTGGTATATGGACTACCTGGCATTTGTTAAAATTTTACCTTAGCCTTCTACAGGAGAGAAACGTCTTGTGCATATTGGTTCAATTTCTCCTTGTCAACAGATTGATGATGGTAGTGGTATGAAGAAAGAGTGTACTGTGGAAGATCTCGTGAAAGTTGTTGAAGAACTTACAAGGATCCATTAGAAGGTATATGGCAAGGGTCTACCCTGGAAACCATTGTATATATACTTCTTTATTTTGCCACGCGATGGTTGATGTCAGCGTTTCCAGCCAGCAACCAAGGGAAACGGGGTGTAAGATCATTGTAAGACTTGTAAGGGATTGTTGTACTCTTTTAAGGATCCAAAAACAAAGAATGTGATATTGGCAGAAACTCAGTTTGATTATTACTACTTATGCTGCAAGCAGGTGGAGGTCTTTTTAGTTCTGTTCGAACTCCCGATCTTTTGGTGTCCACCATTATGGTTTGAAGCCCATAACACTCCTTAATGAGCCCGCGATTTTGGCTGGATACGTTGCGAAGCGACATAGCGTCGCTATGGTTACCTTGTTGTAATCACTTTAAGCTCGGAGCTATTCCAGTATCGAGTGAAGAAAAACGAAACGTTTTTTCTTTCCTTTTAAGTGGTTACAAAAAAAAATGTGTAATGTATATAAATTTGGCCGTCTAATAAACTTTGTTAATGTGAGTACAGTAGTTAAAAAGTTTTATTTCGAGTGCTGCAGTAAGTCATATCGTAGTATACATAACATTCCTTCAGTTAAGACTCAAAAGAGTAACAGTTACAAAATTATAGTAAGTACTTTGGGTGTAAAAAAGTAAGATTAATTTAAACACGGCTGTAAACTTGAAATCGGACTAACCTTGTGTGTGGAATTTTAAAGGACTTAGGGAGCTTTATACAGAAAATTAGAGCTCTGAATTTCGTTTATGGAAGTGTTTGGCCTTAATAGAGCTTCTTGACGGTTTAAAAAAAATCGTGTTCTGAACGATAAAACTATCACCCTGCCTGATAACAAAATGATTGAATTCTACATCACAAAAAAGGAAGGCTATGCTGACTTAAAAATTCTTTTTCTATCCCCTTTCCTTTACTTTCAACTGTTCAACTCCCAAGATCTGATTGATAATTCTTCACTCTTGCCTCTACACATTTCCTTGTAAATTAGTTACGAGAATTTGGTGCTAGATCAAGAGAACTTCTACCTGATATTTTTGAGTATTCTTATTACTCGTTTGCTGGATAATGTATGGATGTAAAGAGAAGTTACATGTTCATCACTTCTGAGATATAAAAGTTTAAAAAATTACAACAGTTGTCTTTCTAACAATCATTATGTTTGGTACTTGACTTCAGTTCACAGACCATTACAAGTCGGTTTGGAAGGTGACCGTTGTCAGGCGAGTTTTGGACTTTATATACGCAGAATATGTTCTGAGTTTCCTCTCCTGAAAGCTACGCATTGGAAGCGCCCAAGGCGAGATGCGGTATATTCTCGCTGTTTTAACTCTAGCAAATTGTCCGTGCTTAATTTGAGGATAACTTTTTTATGGCACTGTAAGATCCTTACATCGCAGTGTAGTTTATTCAGGAGTAATATAAGTACAGCCGCGTCCCATTCCTTATCTTATTCTGTTTAAGCGTGGTATTCACAAATCTGTACTCTGCTTTAGTCACCGGATTAAACAACATGAGAGAATTTGACCGGCTCCTACACGGGTAATTTTCCTTATGAAGGGCCATTTTACGTGACCTGTGGAAAATGGTACACAGCTGGTCCATCAGGTACTTAATCGTGTCACTGTCCTGAACACCAAGCGTCACCTGTTCCCGTGGTACCCAGTACTCTTTGCTTTCGGAGCTGGCATGGACAATAAGTAGCTCTTCGATTGAAAATGAATCAATTAGCTGTAAACAAGAATCTCTTTTACTAGAACACGATTCTGACTTAAGTCTTCTGTTCCTAAGAGTGACTAGCATCTCATTTCTCCCTTCAGTGTAAAATCTGAATCACACATAAAGTTCATGATGATCAACTAAAGAATCTGTTAATTGTTCACGGAATCTCCCTTTCTCATTGCCCAGGAAATTTGTAGAGAACCGTATGAAGGATATGCATAACGATATTAATCTGTGGGGGGTTTAGTATAATGTGCTACATGGCAAATCCGAGATCGCTCGCACAATTAAGGAGGCTCCTCTTGAGACAATCCATAATATTTTGATGTTATTGAGTAATCCAATAACTTAAAAATACCAGCTCATACAAACTCGAGCTAAAATGACTCAGAGTCGGACCCAAAACATATTAATGCCCATGAACATAGCCTCCATTGTTGTATTAGTGTTAGCGCGCCACCAAAAGATCTCTTTAAATGAGACTTTGACCGGCAGGGTTATAAAAAACAATAAGAAAACTGAACCTGCTTCAAACTCTCACTCACCTGTTGCCACCTGATCACAAAATGAAAGAATGAAAATTGCCAAACAAATAACGGATCCTCTGCTTGCTGAACGATTCGTTAATACTCTTTTTTGCATTTTTTTTTTTCACATCGATGTTGGAAAGAAATCTAAAAAGAAAGGCCCAGTTGAGCCAAAATCAATATTGAGGGAAAAAACTTCAGTTATCACTGACAGCCAATCGTGATGGATCAACCATTTGTTATGTCATGCATCCGTCATGATCTATTCCTTTCATTTAAACTTGTCTTTTATACTCTTTCAAAATCGTAGAGTTTTTTTAAATCCTTAATGAATTGCCAGCATCATATATGTTAAGTCCCGTCCTTGCTATTCCAAACAGCGTTTTTCTCACCCCGCTTAATTTGGCTATTCGCCGGTCCAAAAACCAAACGGTGTCAGTTTTGTGGTCATTCCAGTTTGGACGGGCGGGCTTAATGGTGAAACGTTGACGTGATGGTCAGAAATGGAAACTTTTTTGTGCTCCCTTTTTTGTGAGTTTAGACAAAGTTTTGTGGACCAAGGCACATTTCGTTTTCAATGTATGCATGTGAGCTTGAACTCTTTGAACGCCAGGTGTGACGATCATCTAAGTTCTCCTTACAATATCACCCCTGAATCAAACATTACAGTCAGGAGTATATAGGAAATGATCACCAACTAAAGAAGTTATTGATTGTTAAACACATTCTTCTTGTCAACACCTTAGGAAATGAGCAGAGAACAGTTGGGAGAATATGCATCCTGATGTTAGGGTGTAAAGGGTCAATACAATGGAGTCAACTAGTGATTTTGTGATTTAGCAACGACGCCATTTAAATTTTCTAACGTTTTTTGAGAGATAAGTGGGTCGTTGTCTCCTACTAAACGCATAGTTAACCCTGCGTTGCATCCAAACAAAGCACTCTTTGTAATCACTGTTTAATTTCTGTAATGTGATTATGCTTAATTTGACCTCCCTGTGGTTTTCCAAGGGGGACTGGCATTAACTCAATTTCCTGAACGACAGGGGGGCTCTCAGCACCTAAAAACCGAACTGCTGGGATGATTTTAGGCGCAAATCACGCAAGGCTTAATTCCGTTAAAAATGACCTACCTATAAAACTAAAATTGGCCACGCATAATTCATACGAAGAAATAAATACTTGCAAACAGACGTGTAGTGACTAACAGACAAGGATATTCTCCAAGCCTTAGAAATGAGGCTTAGAAAGGGCTACAAATCTTTTACTTTTCCTTTATTGGACAGTGCAGGGTAAATTTGTCGAACTTTTTTTTTGGCAATCCGTTTAAATCTTCTTAATCCCCTGTCATCCATGACCAACCTTGTTTTCTCCTTTCTTATCATTGCTTTATTTGTGTTTTTCTTTGTCACTGACCCATTATTCTGCTGTGTCCTTAAAGCTGAGGGGAGTCTTACACCTGAACTAAACTCACTCTAGATTATATAAAGGAACTTCTTCTTCGTCCCAAGAAGGTCGCGGGCATGGGTTCTTCAAAAGTTTACCCGGATGCGATCTGTCTTTTAAAATTATCTTCAGTTTACCATCCCCCCATGGCATCTGCGCCTCATTTAATTTACTCAGTTTCAAGAAGGTACTTATTATAAAACTAGATTAATTCTTTGGGCAATTATTTGTCCTTTAAATTTCCAAAACTGTTTGGGCCAAAACTGTCGAGGTCAGGGTAAGTCATGGTATTGATAGGACTGTATGGCGGGTGAAGGAACCAATCTGGCTACAACCTATATATGCAAAGGTTCCTAATGTTTCATTGTGCAAAAGTGCCATGTGAAGACAGCTCAACTGGCATCTAACAAATTAAACTGTTAGACTAGAAAGTTATTGGACTTCATATGGCTTTCTGACGCCTTTTTGATCCTAATTAAGGTCTCAATGGGGTTGACCGTTAGCCGTAAAACGGCGAAAAAAAAAATTAGTCGTTAGGCGTAGATATTGTCAATTTTTAAACGTTAGCCGTAAAAAAAGCTAACCGTAAAATTTTTCCTAACCGAAAAGAATCAACTGTTAGCCGTAAAATAGCAAAAATTTTTATCATTAGACGTAATAGCCATCACCCCATTGAGACTCTCAATTGAGGTTCTAAAAAGCCTTTTAAAAACTTATCATCAATCTCGGAATACGCTCGCTCGATAAATGATTGGGAATCAAAGACTTAATAAAATGTAAAAAAGTAGAAATTGAGCAGCAGGATAAAAAAAATAATGAATTAAGCGTTTCAAAGCAATTTCTGAACTAACCTTGAAATGGACCGAGGTAAGGTATTTGTTGATGTTGTGTCTTCTGAGCTCAGTTCAGTGCATGCTGGATTCTTGTCGATGATACCAAAATTATATGTGGAATTTTTTGTAATGAGCAATCTCATCACTGCGAAGTTTCAGAAATTGAAACTGCTTCGTTCAAAATTACCGGCTTCGGAAAGGAAAAGAGTAAATTAAAATGGATTTACACTGCTGCCCACAGAAATTTTTAACATCGAGCTGAAAGAGCCGACTGGACCGGAGATTTTGCTTACTGAAAGTAATTACCACTGATTGAAGAGGTTGAAATCTTGAAAGAATTAATAAACACACCACGTTATGTTATGATGGAAGGAAACTTCGCTTGGAGTACTCTTGATCAAGAAGAAATTGAAAAGCTTTGAGCTGCGGAAAGTCCATATTTTTCTAGTAAACGTATGAGGCGAAAGAGCGATATCAAACAGATCTTATTTCAAAAAAAAAAAAAAAAGAATTGAAATAGAGACGGCAAGAAAGTTTAGATTGTTTTGCGACCAAAAATATTAAAATGATTGTACTTCTTTCCGTTAGCCAATGAAATACTCGTATATATGCACGTGTTTACTAAAAGCCCTAACAATGATCAACATGTAAACAAATCTCCGCATGAGAGCGACTGAGACAAAACTAAACTGGCTCTAATCTTTCGCCTTCGGGGCTTTAATAACTTGATGATCGTTCCAGTTTATTGTCCTTCTTTTAAGTGCCTGAGTGTTGCAAATAAACACCTTTCCACGAAATAGATAAATTTCCTCTACTCCATTCAACGCTGGAGAAGTGGGCTTTTCGTCTGAAAGCGAATTAGCACCACTAGATACTTATCTGCCATGTCGTTGAAGGGTCAAAGCTCTTTTAAACTTCCTCACGATATCCGAAATTTAGAAATATACGTTACGGGCTGCTTTTCGTCTCAGATGCTGCTATAAATCTGTCTGATTCCTGTTCTTTTGGGATGTTATCTTAAAGTATTTTAGTCAACAGAGCGGACTCCGCTCTTCATGTTAGTGGGCAGATAAATATTCTGCGGTCCCCTTACAGCAGGTGTTAACAGCTCGTAGCTAATAAACCAGTGGTAAAGTTTAGGCAATATTTTTTTTATCCTTGTCTGTCTGGTCGCTTTGGTCTTTTATCGAATATCTTTTCTTAAATTACTTCTTTAATAAAAGGTTTAGTCACTCGGCGTGTATTTGAGGCCGCGAAAAGGATGATTAAAAGTACGGGACGCAGAAATTTATGGAAACAAGTTTTCACAGTTTTTAATAATTTATAATTTATTTTTCAAATCTTCTCTGAACTACACCTCGGTATGCCTGAAAGTCGATTACAACAAGAATTACTGCTAAATTTGTCTCTGATCGCGAATTCGTATGGTGGTCGTTTTCTTTCGATTCAATAGACTATATTTTTGTGCGGGTTGTTTTGTTTTAAGTGTAGTAAGGCTATCTTTAGTGCCTGACTTACTTCCTTTCAAACAATGCTTTGTTTAGCAACTTGAATAAAATTGTCGCATCAAGATCGACGCGTCGCCAATCACTTTTTCAAGATCATTAAGTAGAAGCCTAAAATAGAAAATAAAAATGTTGCCTTCGAGTTGTTATCAATGATATTTTTTGTGTCTCTCGTTCCTTGTGATTGCTCAAAGCGAACGATTAACATATTCGAACAAGAAAAATAATAGCTCCTAAATAAACATTTGGAGTAATATTTCTTATGTTTAAAGGGTTGTACTGTTTACCATGGATAAACCTAGCTATCAATAATTGCAGAATTGCCTCGAATCGAATCGAAATTAGAAATGTTTCGCGGGTGTAATCGAAAGATCCCGGCCTCGTTTTGCATCAAGGTCGCAGTTGCGGACATTTCGCCGAGTTTTATTTCAAAAGTCGTGTTAGACTACACCTACAAATAGTTTTCGGTCGCCTTAATTCAATTCATCTCATGTCGCTCTCGAAATTCGCTTCTTACTCTATGTTATGAAATGTTTACGGAAAAATGGAATTATTAAATCCGGAGAATCTGCTGAAATTGCAGTTCGTCGGAGATTTACTCGCAGTGCTTTTGCAAGCCTACAAAATTTTTTATACTTTACCCAAAATTGTATTTTAAGCTTAAGAAAACTGTTTTGGCGTTGCAATGGATTAAAAGTCTCTCTCGTTACACATAAAAGAATTGTCGTGTTGAAAGCTTTGTCGAGGTAGGGCTCTTTTCATATCCGAAGAGCCTGTACTTGTAACGAATTTCAGCTACTTTGGTGGAAGTTTCGCGTTACAATACGGCTATTCTGAGAGATATTTCCAATATTAACCCTGTAGAAACTGTTTAACAGGTACTTCCTTAATAAAAACATCTTTGTTCCGCAGTTTGCATTCCGACGAGTTTGTGTTTATCAAATCCGGTCTGTGCTCAATTTGCCAGCTTGCAGAAAACAACGCATTCGAGCTAGCGAAAGCTCGCACCTCAAACACGAAGTTCCTTGCCATGACTTTTTAATAAACCATCAAGCTTTTGCGATTAAATTCATTCAGCTTGATCTTTAATTCCTAGTTGACCCATGCTCCGAGCCACAGTTTCTTAACAAGAGATTTGTTTTGCTTTTTCGGTCGTTCTTAGCAATCTAGAGGTCATTTAGGTCTGGAACTCTGTGCTTCAGATCTCCTTCTATCACTTGGCTTGTGTTTGACGGGGCTACTCGCTCCCGACGCACTGTAAAATTGATCAGACCAGCTCACGACACTCGCAGCTCTGCTACTGCGACCCCGCTCGTGAGCTGACATGCGATCATCCGCTTCAGAGTTAAATATATCTGCAGAAGTCTCCCGTATTGGCGACAGCGCTCTCCTGCCTCCCACCGGCGACTTGGATGAACGACGCGAGCTGCGGTAGCTCTGTCCCGTGGCCTGTGGATTTCCCGCACTAATGGCATCTTTGTTTTTTCCTATGACTAGATTTGCTACCTTATAGTTCGCCTGATGACTGAGACTCGAGGTATTACTTAACCTTCTGTCACCAGTGAGCCGGCGATCGGGAGATAACCCGCTTGAATTTGAAGCCGAATCCACCGACCCTTCGGATCGTGATGTCCTAGAGGTCCTCGGACTCAAAGATTTCAAACCCTGTATATTAATGTCTTTATTCATAGCTAAACGCTTAGTGGCCATCGCAGTTACCGGAGTAAGAACTTTCACTGTGAGTATAAGCCGTCGAGTCATCTGCATCAAGGCACTCACATCTTGTATGGTCATAGTCCGCACATCCACTTTATTCACCTTAACAATCTCGTCGCCGACTCGTAACAACTCGAAAACGTCCACATCTGTTCCTAAAACAACACGAGACACAAAAATACCTTGTTCACGTTCCCAGCCATCACCCTGACGAATATAAAATCCCAGAGTCTCTCCTGGTTTACGTCGTAGCTCGATCGTACGCTGCAAAAACGTTCCGTTTTTCGAGCAGGCCTCGCGGACACCCAGCACGTGTCTGAACGAGCCTTGTATAATCTTTATAGGCAAAGGTGGACATGGGTCGCCTTTAGTATCAGGTTCTGTGATATCAGTTGCTTTCCTGATCGCAAAAAATTCATCTTCTTTCTCAGCCAGTCGCATTTTTTCAAAGTCTTCTTGCGAGACGCTGCTAAACCGACGTAACCGTTCCACTATGTCGTCGTCGCCCGACTTAGTCGCCGAAGGGAAGGCTTTTCCGTTCGGCGACGAAGGCTTTTTCCTTGCGTCTTCCTGCCGTAGAGCCATGTTTTTTTTTTTTACTCTGCGTTTCCTACGCGTCCATCAGGGCCGCCATATTGCTTGAATTCAAAATGAAAAGTTTGCATGCAATTAAAGAATATTGTAGCGACCAGCCAATCACCTTATACCTTCCAAGACAGGTGTACAGCGTCACACAAAAACAAAGCTCAGAGCTGGTTGCCAGTCAATTTTTTCTTCGGCCGCAGAAAACAATTAAATACGTAGATATTTTGGTGTGAAAACCAATGAAAGGATTCCCTTTGAGAGGATATCACTTGGGGAAGTATAAACAAATCGCGTTTGATCGAAAACTGTTCGGAGAGCGAAGAATTGCTGCAATACATAGCCCACGCTTGCGTGATGATTTTTCCTACTTCGTTAACGCTGTACTTATAAAAAGAAGTTTTGATTCATTACAGCATTCATTACGGCGATATTTTCGATGGAGGTGGAGGCTCAAATTTACGGAAACGTCGGTAAATTGATTGCGAAGTGCAACAATGACGTGAACAAATGAAAGCGAAGAAGTTCATCCGCTTGGATACGAAAAAAATATATATTTATGTTTTCGAATTTTTAATTCTTGTCTGAATGAAGTGATATTTGTTTGCTAATAATCGCCGCTCGCTTTTTTCCTTTTTGAATCGTTGATCTTCGAGTTATTTTATTTAAACCCACCTTACCGAAATCAATTGAAGATTCTAGATCTGTCGAGAAGTGAAATCGTTTAAAACAAAATTTAGAAATGAGCTCTACCGACGCTTGATAGGTACGAGAGAAAATTAAAATCGCGCGATCGATTTCGCTAAGCTTCCGTGAAAATTAGCATTTCAACAAGGTCAGCCTGTTGTTGTCGACAGAAAATGTTTCGGTCTAAATTTTTGGCTCTATCCCGAATGTGTTTGCAGATTTTGTTCGATAATCTACTTTGTTTCAAAAGCAATGGAAAATTACGCGAGGTTTTTTTTGGTGACGTCAAGGGACTATTTTTATCCCTATTTCCGTTTTAAAACGTGTTCTCAGTCGATTGTAAAAACCACTTTAGCTCAAAATTACGTCATCGCTTCCGAATTTTCAAACTCCGCTTGTCGAGTTAAAAATGTCTCAAACTTCGACACCCATCGTCACGTTTCTATACCTTTCTATATTTAGATCAATCACTCATTCATTTCCGCACGCAAATTGTTATTCGCAATTGAATATAAAAAAGTGCGTAACTTAGTGCCAACCATTTTCCTGTGAAAACGGGAATTCAAACTTTTATTTTTGTTTTCTGTTTTCCTTTGACAATTAAAAACGGAATTCGAACTTCTATTTTCGTTTTCCTGCTTAATTAAAAAACGGTATTTAAAATCCCATTTTCGTTTTTCGTCTCCATGTTTTTATCATTTCTGTTTATCATCCTAACGAGAAGATCGTTGGCACCTCATGTCGTTAACAAAAAGGCCTGGCAACCATGAATGACATTTTGGCGGGAATAACAAACAAAATGGCTGCCTTAGAAAACATGAAGGAAGTAAACAGACAAGAGAACTTTTTGAAAAAAGGGGATATCACACAACCTTCCTCAAAAATTTCTGAAATTTTAAGAGATTGAATAATAAAAGTACCGACACAAATTATCCACCCACCGAACTAAACAGACTGGGACTCAAAACCAAAGAAGCAAATTTACATTTCGATTTGAAACTTTCTTGTTTACTTCCGTTCGGCGTGGTAATCGGCAAAGACCATGGCAGGTTTTTGAATAATAACCCAAAAATGACTTTTTTTTATTGATCTTTCAAAAGCGACTTTGAATTCTCTTTTTTTTCCGCTTTGCAACTTCAACCTATTACTAAAATAATCTGCCAAGGAAATTGTTCATTTTGTGGCCTTGTCCACTCGTTCATGTTTTTTGACTTCCTGTCAATTAATTTTCTATCCTATTTATGTTGTCGTCCACTAAAGTAAGTGCTCCCCACATCGTTGTATCACAGAAATCCTTGTGTCCTTCGCCAAAAATGATTCCACGCTAAAATAGTTATTAAAAATGTTGATCTCTTCGGGAGTAGCCATTGTTCATCGACTGCGGGACCCCCCTAAGGCTCTGTAATATTCAAATGATCTCCCCTCATTGGCAGTCAATTTTCTATAATACAGTCTCTCTTTTATACTCCGTCTGTGACGACTGATTCTCCTTCTGTTACCCTGGAAAACCATGTTATCCCCCCCAATAAAATATTCCGATCCCCCCCTCCCCTCCCAGGTGATCAATAATGACCGTTTTCTACACCCGACTGAGTGTCGTAAAAACATAAATTAAAGTGTTCGCAACAACCAATCAGAATGAAAGTTTTATATAACAAAGGGCCTATGAGAACTCAAAGTAAAACCATGTGAATCCCTGAAGCGCGGGAAAACGCAGTTAACCAAGACGCGATTGACTTCAGTTTTGAATCTGATTGGTTGATTGAGGGGTGCAAGTTTTTCTGGATCATAGGGCTAAGAAAAGCGAAACCAAAGCAGTTCCATTTAAATTTAATTTCTAATTTTCGAGGAATTTTCATTTCTGTTTAGATCAGTTTATACCAGGTTTTTGTACACGTAAATGGCTAACAAAGAAATCGAGCTTACTTTGGCAAGGAAAAAGTATTGAATATAAACCTTCCCTTTACTTTCACGAGTATGTGAAAATTTTTAAATATGATTCAGAGCCGCTATAACTTTTTTCTGAATGAAAGACAAATCTTGATATACTTGTGGTTATTCTTTAATTGAAAAGAGAAGCTACCGAAGTCGCTCGTGAGCTTCAGTTAGGTCTTGAGTTGCTATGATAACCTCTTTTGTCATAACTGAATATGTAAATTTTTCAAAGAAACATAAAAAAAATTGTTGGTGCCGGTTTCTCGAAGAATCTAAATTGGTGTCAAGAAATAACGAAATAATTTTGAGCCGCCTCAGGAATGTTCCATGTACGCTTTCTATTGTTTTGGAATAGACCCCTTAAGCTTGTATGGTTTTTTTTTTTTTTACTCCCTTCAGGTCTGAGGCAGGGAATTCAATTATGCGTACATATCCACGTGACTAAGAGAAAATTTGAAAGAAATAGTTCTCTAGATCCGAAGGTCTGAGGTTCGATTCCTCATGGGGACTCAGAATTTTTTCTTTGTACCACGCTCGTGACAAGACGAAAAAAAACTTTCTTAGTTCTCTAGAGTGTTATCAAGGACCTGAAATTGGAAACAACACCTACAAGCTAAATAGGTCTATTGCATTTTCGAGGTTGACAAAGTGATGTCTGGATTTTCTTTATCGGACAGCCCCTCTCTCCTGAAGTTTTCGCTTCATGGTGAAAAGGAAAAAAGGATGCGATCTAGGTTGTAAAAATTGTTGTGATGAAGTTTAATGCTAGTGTTTTTAATTCGTCTATGAGTTTCAGGCAGGTATGTCAGGGTCAAAAGACTAACATTATGTTTGTTTATGAAAAATGTATGTAACTTTGAATAAATAAAAATTAATAAAATACAAAACAAAAAAAAAAAGACTAACATCGGGGAAAGAAAAAAGATGCGATCCAGGTTGCAGAATTTTTGTACAAGTTTAATGTTCGTGTTTTCTACTCGTGTGGTCCGCTTTGGTGATGTTTTGGCCGCCCGATGAAACGCGTTTGTTTTCAAGAGTGTTTTCCAAAACCACATGCAAACAAACGGGTATTTGCAATTAGTATTAGCACTTGTTATTGCTTGGCAACATACTTTTAGTTGTTATTTTATTGGAATGCTTTAACGTGGTCATTAACAAACTGAGCCGAACCGGCTTTATGGTGGGTAAAATTTAGTAAGTATATAACACAAATCTAAGATCGCTGATAGCTTTCCAAGATGAAACGGAAACTTTGTTCTGTACTTCTGTTTGATGAATGCCATGTATGTCGTGCCATCGATCATTTGCATCAAGACAGGGATTATGTGTATTGACACAGGAATGAATTTATTTTAATGCAAGAAAAATAGAAAATTTGATTTGTATTGAGCATATCAAAACCGAAGCAGAAAAAGCGATCGGAGAAAAAGCACGATAACATACTTAGGTGAAAATGATAAACACCTCAGTATAAAGAAGTCACCACTGATTACATTAATCGCGGTGGCGACCTTTTACACCTCTCAGCTTTAATTTCTTGGACTACATATACCGAACAATTTACATTTTGTAATTACGGTATTACAATTTTGAGACAAAGATATATTTACCGTGAGTCAGCTCATTATATATTTTACAAAATTGACTTTAAATTCAATTGCACTTTGAATGTTACGCGTTATTTTCCGCGACGGATGTAGATATTTCATATTTAATCTTTTCTTCAACTAGGATTTAAGGATGAAGCCACGAAAAGACGTCAAGCCTCTTTTAGTGGTTTCATTTGTGGCTGCTGTTTTGATGCTTGTGGAGTACGAGTACTGGAGTGAAATAGATTATCTCTCATCAGCCATCGCCGCGTTGAGACAGAATGTTCGTCTGACCTTTGAATCAAACACTACGCTAAAAACAGAAAGGGTCCATTTTGAAGGCGAATCAAGATCCGAGGAGAAATGCGCGATACCATTAGCCTTCAACGCAGATCTTCATGAGCGGAGTAAGACAAAATGGCCCTGTAGGTTGCCAATTTTGGACCCTTTTCATCCGCAAGTGATGAAAGCGATTACACCAGTGGCGTCACTAAACTGCAAGGGGAGGCTTTTTACGGAGTTCCAAAACGGAAAATTTCGACTCCTAGATGACGTTAGAAAAGGTTCGTAATTAAGCTATTCCAGACTCGCCATTGTATCGAATTACATGAAGACTTCGGCCCCATTTCCAAGATTATCTGAATACAAAGAGCAGTACCTTGTTGTTTGGGTGTATGTGGGTGTGTGTCTGTGTGTTCATATGCCGTTTCCTAAAGGGGTCAGAAGATTAATCTGAAAGCCCCGAATCACACATTTGCACCTAACATCATATTTGGGTATGGATTTTTATCTTGAAAATGGTTTTTACTTGTATCATTACTATTACTTTTTACTTGTATCATTACGATTAGTTTCATTTTTGACACAGATTGAAATAAAGTTACTTACTTATCTTTTGCACACAACATGGAGTGCTTAAATATTTGCTCGTGAAGCACAATTTCACGTGCTTACGAAAAGGTTTGATCTAAAGCGGGCAAAGTTTTTTACATACAATGTTGGGAGAGATGGCTTAAGTAGTCAAACATGCTCTTCCAACACGTTAGGCCCAAAAGTTTTACTGTTTAATCAGCGCTTACATAACAAGAGAATCAAACTGTAATAAAAGAGAAGCTGCAAAATAAAACAGTAAACGAATGGTAAGGCACCTCTGTAAGAAAGTTCATAAAGATGCCCTGTTAGAGAAAGTTCACCATCTAAATATTTTTTAGTGTAGGTAACAAAAAATGTACTGTTTCCCTGGCTGACATTCCTTTGGTTTAACATTTTAGAGTGGCAAGTGGTAAGCCAAATGAAATGTCTTATGTGTAACTCAACTTTACATTTCTCGAACTGTAGCTAAAATGCTCTTTCTTTGCTTCTGTAGAGCATGAAATCGCTGAAGTCTTCGCCGAACCGATCTACCGTAAAACTGATTATGATGTAAAGTTGGGACAAAGGATCTTTGTTAACTTAACGAATAGGGAGGCAAGAGTAAATAGCGATTTTCTCAAAGTAACCGTTCGATTTAAGAACGGCAAAATCCAATCCGATTTCCACGCCGCGATTTCAGAGATCGACGACGTTGCAAAAGAGAAAGAAACGCACAGTGCACCCTTGAACATAATGATTTTGACTTTCGATGGAACGTCTACCGCCCACTTCAAAAGATTGTTGCCAAAGACGTATGCCTACCTTAAAGATGGGCTGGATTCCATATTTTTCAAGGGTTATTCTATTGTTGGAGAATCAACAACTCCGGCGATGACTGCTTTCTTAACAGGCAAGTCGGTGTCGGAGAATTGTGAATTCAAGGAAGCGAGACGAGGACATAAAAATTCGAGTTACGTGGACAAGTGGCCATTTATATTCAAGGAATTAAAGCGTCTTGGAATTGCTACAATGTGGAGTGAAGATCAACCTGGTATAGGTGAGTACTTTAGAGTAATTTCAGTTGTTTGTCGAAAGTAATCCGTGGTTGCATGGGTTTTGCTCTACTCCGCTCTGTGATTGGTCCAGAAAACTCGCGCCACTCTCTCAACCAATCAGGTGCAAAGCTAAAACCAATCACGACTTGATCTCCTGCGTTTTCCCGCGCTTCAAGCAGTTTGCTCGTTTTTACTTTGAGTTCTCATTGGCTATTTAAGATATTTTCCTTCTAGTTTGATTGGCTGTTATGATAACTTTGGTTATGGTTCCACGAAACTCAATCGTTAATCGCTCAAACATGTGCATGTAATGCATAAACAGTAAATGAGACTTGCAGTGTTGTATTGTCTAAAATCACTTTACAATTAATTTCTTGGTTTAGAGCTCTTCAACTAATTTTACGGTTAAAAGTATAACTACATGGAAGGTAATACAAGCGAGTTGTACTGAGATGGAAAACGAGGCGATTGTATCGTCTTCTCATTGTGATTGATTTCAAACTAACCTGACCGCTATTGAACCAGAAGTTTGCAGTGTGGCCGCCCCTGAGAGAATGACAACTAGAGTAGACAAGCTTTTTGGCTTTTTGTAACTGCTTTTTCATTTAATTTCTCCTTTAGGTGCATTTCATCTCACACTAAAGGGATTCAAAGATCAGCCAACTGATCATTATGGAAGACCTTTGTGGTATGCAGGAGATAAGGGCCTTTGTTTCAGCTCTCAGCCACAGTTTGAATTACAACTCAAATATCTTAAAAGCTTTATGAAATCCTACCCAGGAAAAAGGAAATTTGGTTTCACATTTCTATCAAACTTGTGCCATCGACAACCTGGCCTAGCCCACGCAGCTGACGATGGATTACTGTCTTTTTTCGTTTCACTTAAAGATAAAAATTTGTTGAATGACACCATGTTCATCACAATGGCTGATCATGGTGCAAGATTTGGCGTCGTGCGTGAAAGCCCTCAAGGAAAGTTGGAGCACAGACTTCCACTTCTTTCTTTGACTCTTCCGCCTTGGTTTAAACGGAGTTATCCGGCGCAAATGACAGCATTGGTTAGGAATACCCGGATAATTTCCTCACCCTTCGATCTTCACAAAACGATGAAGCATCTGTTGATGTTTCCAGAGAAAACTTTGGTTCAAACGGATACGATCGGTAGCAGTCTTTTTGAACCACTTTCAGAAGACAGGAAATGCATTGATGCAGGTATTCCGGAAAATTACTGCCCGTGTTTAAGATGGCAACCAATTAGCATCGCTCATCCGCACGTGCTTCGAGCTGTTAAGGTGGCAGTGAGCCACGTCAACGAGTTGTTGATGTCTCACCCAACGACAGCCAAATTATGCCATCGACTAGAGATGAAGACAGTTTTAGAAGCTTATCAAAAAATTTCAAGTCTTGAAATGCATCTGAATTTAGACCAAGAAAATACAACGTGTAGTTATCAAATTCAGTTTCAGGCTACACCTGGTGATGGTGTATTTGAAGGTATATTCAGATTGGACTCATCGGGGAATTTCAGAGTCTATGGAGATATTGATCGTGTTAACAAGTACGGTGATCAACCTGAGTGTATTGTTGCACATGCGCCGTCAATGCGACCGTACTGCATTTGTTTGTCACAAAATACGCCTGACACCAACAGACGGGTATAGCACTGTCTACCATTTCTCCCGCCCTCCCCCCTTACGCTCTCTACCCCTCTCACTTCGTCCATTGCTCAACTGTGATAAACTGAGTACAAACAATTTTAAAAAGTTGTATCCAATCTTGTGTAATATTTACAGCAGATTACCATCTGTAGAGAACAGGTCCTCTTCAAGTCCCTCTTTCAGGTGTCTTTGGAACGTAGTTTCGTGTGGGTACAGAAGTATATTTATTTACGGATCTTCTCGCTGAAGGACAGAACTTATTTCTTACGGTAAGTGGATCGTGATCTACAAAAGGGGTTTGCACATCGATGAGTCACAAAAAGAACAAAAGTATTCACAAGCGTAACCCCAGACCAATAGCCTTATCTGAGAATTTTGCGCTTATTCGGACAAGGAAACTAAAACACGAATGCGAATCAAATAAGAGACAAGTCTGCGTTTGTTTAACAGTCCTATCGTATCAGTAACAGGGCAATGGTGTTGTGGTGCAGAAGGGAACATGAAACAAGCCAGTGCAATAAACAAAACAGGATAGAAAGTAAATGGCATTGTCAACAGACAGTTTTTCTATATTATTCTAAGTTTCTTGTTGTTGTATTTAGGAGAATTGAAGATTTAAAACGAGTGCGCCCGCCCGCCTGATTAAGCACCCCGTCTGAGTTGCTAACAAATGAATTAACTTAGGCATGATCCCTTTCGAGTTGATCTGATGATAAAATAATTTTTGAAAGGGATGTTTTTGCCTTCAGACAGAGTAAAAACACTTCTTGTCTCGTCCCCACATGATATTATCCCAATCCAGGCCTGCTCGGCAGCTTATAAGCAACTTTTGGCGTTTGGAGAAACTTTTCGAGATTCTAGCAACCTCGAGCAATTTTTGAAGACCTGTGGAAAGCAACTTTTGAAATTTAGGTGGCCAATTTTTGGAGTTTGTTCAATTTCTTAGCCCGTTTTTGGTATTCCGCTTTAGAAACTTTCCATCGTGTTAAATGATAAAATTACAATTATAGTTAATCTATAATATCGTAAGGGTTTTCTGTATTGGTGTTAGAAGGAAAAGGAATGGAAATATTATATTATTCTAAGTCATTTAAAGTAAATTATAAAAAGGGCAGGTTGATTACTTCGTACGCCTTCTTGGTGGTCTTATCTTAAAGGTTGAGTCTAATCACATTCTTCTTGTGAGTTTGGCCACGTTCACCTAGTGAGTTTAATCACGTTTTCTTCGTTGTGATCGTGAAGTTGACATGGAACTCGTGATAGGCCGTGTTCTTAAATAAGTTAATTTGTTAGTCCAGGAAGAGTAAATCTCCCTGGTAATAGGTCGCGTTCGACACCTTCGTGTTCCCAGAGGTAATTTAAGGGGTAAACAGGTGATGTCCCTTATGTTTTCGCAACAAGAAGCAATTTGGGGGCGGTACTTGTGAGCGCCCTTCTTCTTTAACTCTTGTGACCAAGATGTTGTTATGTAACAATCTTTAAAGGTGATTTGCTCTTAAAAATATACTTTCAGGTATAAATAATACTCTACACCAAGGTTATTTGTAATTTTACATTGTCGATCTCGTTTCTGTTCTGACCGATCTCAACCGTAAAGATATGAAAATTAGGAAAGAAATTAATTTTATAACTGTGTCGACAACCCTTAGTGCTTACTCAGTATGTGGGAACTATAATACGTAGTCAAGCGTGATTCGCTAGTTGAGATGGTACGATGACGACACAAGAAGATTGACGGCTTAGAAATGTCATCCGCAGTGACACCTTTATAAGCGGAGACTCTAGTTTTCCTTGATAGATTGAAGCTAGTCCCTATTGTAACAACTTGAGGAGAGAAGCAAATAAAGAAGGTTCAACCAGTCCACAAACGAGTGTTAGAGAAAACAATTCTAACAATCGTTTTACGAGCACAGTCTCAAGTACGGGCTATTCCAGTCTCTTTTCGCTCAGAACTCTTCCTGGAAGATGTCAAAAGAAAGCAAGCTCCGAGCGGCACGACATAGAGCATCGTGATCTCTTTTCATAACCGTTCACAGGCAGACAAAATGTAGCCTCCCTCTCTTACCAATTCTCGTTCCCATATCTAGTCCTACCGTGTAGTTGTAACGGAAATGTAGACTTGGTCGAGGAAGGTTTTTGGCATGTGAAGCGTAAATTTTTCAGAAAGAAGAGCGTGATTCGTGAATTTGTGAACCAGCGTGAGAAGTGATTTGCCCCCTGAAATATACGAGACTCATAAAAACCTCAAGATTTCCCTGAAGTCCTGTACACAAGAAGAGAGATTTGAAGTTTTCTCTTTACAATGTGACGCCTGAGTTTCTCTCCAATTCATAGGTGAAAATAAACAGGATCGGGACCCACCCTCCCCTCCCCCCCCCACGCCTTTGCTAATTTCTCTTTACATTTTGTATGGTACTGACGAGAATAATTTATTTTGAAAATCAGCACCATTTCCTTTGTTCTCATTCCCTTTACATTTGATTAAAGGCAGATAACGTAAAGAGAAATTAGAAGTCACACGCTCCTCGGGGTTTATGTTCAAAGCACGATCTCAACGATTGTGCTACGCGCTCAAACCAATTTTTCCCACGTCCGTCGCCCATGTTTGCCGGCCACGTTGTTTGACCCCTGGCGATCCCTGAAACCTTTACACAAACGCGAGGATCCGATTACTGGCAACTCAATCCTTTATTCAAAGACCTTGCATTGATCGATCCTTGTCTTTGCCAACGTAAGCCACGTCACAGTGTAAATTTTAGATTTGTCCATCGTCTTAACGTTGTGTTTGTCGCTAAGGACGAGAAATAAGAAGAGATAGAGCGAATCTAAAGAAACCTTTCGTTACGCTAAACACGGCAGTGAATGAAATATTCACTCTTCAATATCTTCAAATTCTCCTTGTCAGCACCCTAGGAAATGTTTAGAGAGCAGTGCGGAGAATATGCATATTGATGTTGGGGAGTCGATTAGTCTTGTGTCCCATTCACACCAGCAAAAATATAACCCAGGTGGAGCTGAATAAAATTCAGCAATAAAAAAACTGACAACTAAATTTCACACATGGTTTAAGTAATCACTAAATTTAAATTTCATTGCGCTAAAAATTTGAAGTCGGCAAACATCAGGTTAAATAACTTCAATGAAGGAAAAATAATTTGCAACCGTGATCGACATTTTGTTTTAGCTTTGTAATAAGAGGGGATTTAGATTTGTTTTTTAAAAACTTTTTTAGGATTATCAAGTCTGTCAGTGCACGTTTTATTTCATGCTGCTCAAGAATTCTTTAGTCGTGTTAATTTTTTTTTTCTTATTCAAATAATTCGGCTAATCAATCCCTTTTTTTAAATTATTCTTGTTTTCATTTTATAATCATTTTCCTCGCCGCTGTATTTCTAGGAAAGTCAACGTCACGCTCTGAACAAGCTCGTGTCGGATTTATTTCCTATTGTGACGTAACTGTGTCTTCTACACCAAAAAAGAGCATATATTCTTGACATGCCTTAAGAATAGATTCTTGTCAAAGAAAAAGAAGATTGCAGTGTAAGATCGTCTTACAGGTCAACAATCAAACAAACAGCGAATTTATTTGCTATGTGTGAAAGTGTGACCTAGCGTCTGAATATCGCATGACATCTCCAAATACAGCTGAAAACAATAAGCATCTCACACGAGGGCTGAATTATCTGAAGCAATGAAGGTGAGTCCACTTCTCAAAACACTCATATTTGTATTTCTAAAGGAAGTATCCTCAATATCGATCCATTGTATCCACTAAATTTTGTAAATAGATCGAGCATACCGGTAAAATTTTGTTTCGTGTCGTATTCCCTGCGTTCGGGAATGTGTTCCTAAGTAGTAGTCATTCGTCTGAAAAACTATTTCTTGTCGTTGAAGGCGAATGAGGTACGTGTCGTGGTTTTGCTTCGTTTCGAAATGATTACCGAGTGTAATTTAATCTGCTTTTCATAACTCCTGATGAAACAGAAGCGAAATACCTATTTCTTGTTATGGGTTAAATCGGCGAGGGGTGTTTGAGCGAACCCGGATGACAACAACAATGGAGGAAAACCAACAAACTGAAGTGATACGAAGAAATAGTATTGATGAATTTATTAAATTTGAACCGCAGGAAGGGGAAGGGGAAGAAAAACCAATAGTTAATATGATTTTAAACTAGAAAATTTCCCCGTTTATTCGATGTGGCTTTGATGTCGCATGTGTATTGAATTTTTATATTTAGATAAGTGTTCGCCAAATTGTCTAGTCAGTGTTTGTTCATTTGTGTCTTCTTGCCTTCCTCATTTCTCTCGGTCAGAGTCCAGCAATTACTAAAACAGATGTATGCAATTGAAAATTACAGTTTATTCCGGGATGGAACCCTGCATAAATTGTACCCTTTCGTGCACGAGAAGTAGATTACGAAATGAAACGTTACACGAAATTGTGACATGCATTCAAATGACACCTTTTAGACCAAATGGCATTAAGACAATCGAATTACTCCGAATAACCATCTGACGCTTGAAATTATTTTGTCTTTCTTCCTTTTTTTTTCTTTGGGGCTTCGCGTTCTGATGGAAAGCTACTTTGTCATTCAGAAAAATAGGATTTGTTTCCACAAGATTTGTCCTAGACTAGTATCAGTTTCGTGCCTGTCGAAAAAAAAATATCAATACGGGTCACCTAAGAGTGTGGCCAGAGGTAGTCAATGAAAACAAAAGAAATTTAAATAAACTTTAAAGTTTATTTATATTCGGGGCCCTAAAGAATGAGAAAAGGATATATTTAAAGGGCTCAAACCCACGACGGCGAAGGCAACGAGGATGTGGCAAAACAAAGGAAACGAAAGAGCAATAGCTCGGCTCAAGCATTTTGATACTTAAGTTTTCTCGAAACGGAAACCACTACTTTCCTTTTGTTGCGTCATGTGATATAAGCAAAGCTTTTGGCAACAGTAATTCATATTATTTTTGTTCTCCAGGCTGTCATTTTAAGATGCTTAGCTACTTCAAACACATTTTAAACTTCCCCTGTGTACTACTACCGTCAGTATATTATAAACAGTTTAAATCTCTTGCTTAAGGCCATAGGCATAACACTTCGTCCAAAAGTCTTTCTCTTAAAATTTTGATATCTTGACCAAATTAATATTTCAGCTAAAACAAAATTTTAAAAATTTGTGTAGAGAAAAGAAGAACTTTGAAAATAGATATTAGTTGAAAATAGATAATTCAGCTGTGTTAAACCTTGGGTTTGACTGGGAATCGATTTAAAGGGGAAAATCTCTCGAAAGTGAACGTCGAGACACTGCCATGAGATTCACTCGTACCATAAATTATTTACACCGACAAGATTTCACTGCTAAGTGCACTTTTCAAGGAGAATTTATTTGCTCTATGCATTTGCTGTTAAAACTCGTCAATCAAACTTTTAAATAAAACATTTTACTCTGAAGTCCAGAAAGCTTTTTTCTAACATGTGTCTGTCACAAGTCAATAACCTTACAAGTTGTTCCTTGGACTTGAAAAAGAACATTTGTCATACTTTCTCTGTCATGGTTGAAAACTCAAGCATATAGTGAAAAGTCTCCCAAGTTAAAATGTTTCGCGAATTTTTCGATCACCGTATAGTATGGACTTATTTATTGAGTTGGAGGGGTTTGTGCGTCATGGCCGAGAGCCAAATATTTTCCCGTCCGGTTCGGCTTAACTCAGTCAATAAGAATTTTATCATATATTCGTCGTCATATGTCCTTAGCTCGCGAGGCAGTAGGAGGGCTTTGTACGGCCCTGTTCATGCGTTACGGGTCATACGAGCATTTTTGTCTAATGTTTTTCGATAAAAGCGCGCGCGCGGGCAGTGCGGTCTTGAGTTAGTACCTACAGTAATCGAACGTGAGACCTGATTGAAGTATTTCTATTGCAGTTATGTTTTAGGCTGAAACGCAGAAAGTGGCTCAAACTCCTCTTCGTTCTCATCTGTCTTCTCGTTATAACAGCACTCCTGGAGCAGATGTACCTCGTCAGAATGAAACCTTTCTTAAATGTCTACATGGTGAATGTCGGTCGTTCAATCGGTCGTCCCCTTTCTACCGACTGGGACATGAAGCTATCCCGATCGAAATGCGCAATAACGCATATTACTGACAACCATTCTGAGTTGGATGATGGGAAGAAATGCCAACTGCCCAATCTGGATCCTTTCCGTTCATACGTGGTGAAAGCTATCAACCCTGTAGAGTCGATAGACTGCGAAGGAAGATTGTACACTGAATATGAAAACAGCGTCTTTAAACTCCTGGACGATGTCGATGAAAGTTAGTCTGTGGCCGATTTGTTTGTTTTGTTCAGTTTTTCTCGTTTTCTTTCCAGTAATTATTAAGCACCTAGAGGGGGGTGGGAGGATTTCAGGGGGGTTCAGTTGACATCAGAAGAGTATAAAAGGGAGACATAGAAAAATTGACTACCAATGAGGGGGGATCACTAGATACTAAAGAGCCTTGGTGGGGGGAGGAATGGGGGTGGAGGGGCAGAAGCAAAGTCCTCCGACCGCCCGGGCGATAAATAGAGATCATTAGATCTGATTTACAAGACACGAACTGACCTTATTTACTAGACATTTGAAGTCTGGCTTGTAACTCGTCAACGTCTGTCACAAGTTTTTCCTAAAAGGAGAGGGTGCATTGTTTAGCAGGGCTGATTCGTACGTTAGTTGACCAACTCGAAGGGTGTAAACTGGATTGGAGCAAACCAACATTTTACATTTGATCATTATCGACTCTTGCAAGCTCAATAGCTCTCATAGTATTCACGTCCAGCTAATAACAACGAAATTTGGCATGTTGTTAAATTCAAAGCTCAAAAACATGTTGAGGTGGCGTAGTTATGGTTACACACTCCTGACCAAATTAAGCTTGTAAAGGAAGTTCTTCTATCATGATTTGCCACCCGAGCATAATCACTGCATATGACTCTGGGATGTTTGCTTGCCGAACTCATCGTTCTGGATATGTAGGATCTTGTTTTGTTATGTTTCCTTGATGTATATATTGAAATCCTAAATTAGCATACTATTATAAAAACGGTTTTACGAGTAGAATCAAACATATCTGTAATTTTTAACCAACGGGAAGGGGTGGGAATCAGCGAGCAACTTTTCTGAATGGGTACAGTTTTCAGCCTGTTGGCTCACCAGGCCTATATGAACTGACTCAGTTTCTCTTTTTTGTAGAGCATCAAATTAAAGAGGTTTTTGCAGTGCCAATAGTTCGTGTTTCAGATCAATATTCGGCCTACGGAGAGAAGACCTTCCTTAGCCTGAATAACAGAAGTGCCATTATGGTAGACGACTTTCTCAGAGTGACCATTCGCTTTAGAGACGGATCAGAGCAAACAGATTTTCACGCCTCGATTTCAGAGATTCCCGAAGTCTCAGAGCAGAAGGAAACTCACAGCTCTCCCCTTAACATAATGATTCTGGCATTCGATGGAACATCTGCTGCCCACTTTGAGAGGATGCTACCCAAAACATACACTTACTTGAAAGACAATCTAGAATCCATCATGGTGAAAGGTTACTCAGTAGTAGGGGAATCTACGACGCCCCAACTGACGGCTCTTTTGACCGGGAGGTCATTAGAAGAGAACTGCGATTTTAGTGAAGCAAGGAAAGAATACGCATCCTCCACATTTGTAGACGTATGGCCCTTCATATATAAAGATCTGAAACGTCTTGGAATAGTCACGATGTGGAGTGAAGATGATTATCACATAGGTAAGGCTTCCCTTAATTCCGTGGCTATCGCGGGTAAAAAAAAGTTGCCAGGTAAATTTTTCGGTGACAAAGTTTTTAATGTTTTTTTTTTTTTACATGGCTATTGGTGAAATTCCAGAATTTCTCTTTTTTCAAGAACATAATATCTCTCGCTCAAAGACCAACTCAATGGGCTGGTCATTTACACGGGATTTAACCGGCCAAGAGGCTTAGGCTCTCTTTACAAGAGGGTTAATTTAATTAAATAAATTTCCTTCCACTGTTAGCTTGCAGCCTCCTTGACACTGTTCACAGAAATAAATATTCAGTTAAAAGATTCAGATAAAGTGAGGAGTTACGACGCGGTTTTGTTAAACAATGGCTGACCCTTGTTTAAATAATCGGCCCAGTGAGTTTCCCCGCCCGGCAATATGATAGCTTCTATATTAATTATGATGAGACTCTCCGAAGAATAGGGCATGTACCTATACTTTGGATTCAGTCTCTTAGGTTTATCATCTCTTGATGGAAGCCATGTAATCGAGACAGCGCCAGCGCTTAACTCTTTGACTCCCAATATCTCAATAAAAATTATCCTTACTGTCTACCACATACATTACTCAAGAGTTTTGTCCCTGAGAATTTGGTTTTTGATCAAATGGTTATCCTCTATTAATCTTTTTTGCTAATCTCATTACTTAGTTTCGTGATATTGTATTGATATCGTAAGGATATATTTATAATTTGGTCATCCCTGAGAGTATAAAAAGTTAACATGAAATAGCAGATGTTGTTTTATTTTTTGTCCTAAAGGTACATTCACTCTTAGACTAAACGGATTCAATGATCAGCCCACGGACCATTATGGAAGAACTTTATGGTTAACCACGCCAGGCGAGCTCTGCTTTAATTCTCAGCAGCAGTACAAGGTACAGCTGAAATACCTCAAAAGCTACATGAAATCATATCCCGGGAAGCGAAAATTTGGTTTCACTTTTTTTTCCGACTTGTGTCATCGTGAACCTGGTCTTGTCCATGCTGCTGATAGCGGAATAACAGCCTTTTTCGAGTCTCTTCAACGAGAGAATCTTTTGAATGATACCCTGTTCATTACAATGTCCGACCACGGCGCAAGATTCGAGGAGGTGAGACAAAGTCCTCAGGGGAAATTGGAACAGCGACTTCCATTTCTTTCTTTAACGTTTCCTTCGTGGTTTAAACGCAGCTATCCCGATCAAATTGCAGCTCTGGTTAAAAATACTCACATCATTTCGTCACCGTTCGATCTTCATAAAACGATAAAACATCTATTAGCGTTTCCGAAAAAGCATTTTATCGAGACGAATACGACAGGTAAAAGCTTCTTCGAGCCATATTCTATCAGCAGAACTTGTAGCGATACGGGCATTCCGGAATATTACTGCCCGTGTTTAAAGTGGCACCCCATTAGTATAAGTCATTCGCATGCAACGGAAGCTGTCAGAGTTGCGGTGGACCACATCAACAAGCTCTTAATGTCACACCCGATGACAGCCAAACTATGCCACCAACTTAAACTTAAGATGATCGCTGAAGCTTATCAGAGTCAACCAAGCAGTGAAACACATCTTACGTTAGATCTTGAACAAACCGAATGCACTTATCAAATTCAATTTCAAACAACTCCTGGTGATGGCATATTTGAAGGGCTAGTCAGGATGGACTTATCCGGGAATTTTAAAGTATATAGTAAATTGGATCGTATTAACATGTACGGCGATCAGCCGCGGTGTATTTATGATGCTGTGCCGTCCATACGATCGTACTGTTTGTGTAAATAATAGTAATAGTCTTAAACGAGGGCTATCTCCTCTGCCATAATTGAGGCAAAGAAATATAGAAGATTAGATTCCGTAGAAACTCCGGCGTTCCTTTACTTTAAATCAACTGATCCTCCGTCTGTTTTCCCTGTAAACCATGTGATCCCCAGAATCCAATTTGAGAGCAATACGGTTATCCTCGAACGGCCATAAAAAAAACCGAGCGCTGACCGCGTAAAACGATCGCTGTAATTAAAGTTATGATACCTAGACTTGAGGCGTTAAAAAGTCGTAAAACGCATAAAGGCTGCGCCTAAATTGATGTTTTTTAAAATACTTACTCACGTTCTTGTGAAGTAACCAGGAGGAGCTGACAGAAGATTGACAGTCGTTTAACAAAACATCACCTATTCCTAATTTCTTATGCCCGGGAGGGGGGTGGAGGTGGGGGAGTCGGAAGATTTGGGTTGTGTGACAATAAATTTTACCTGATCTCCTCTAAGTCTCTGTGGTATTCTAGTAATTCTCCCTCTTCGACAGTCAATTTCAACAGTCTCCCCTTAATATTTTTTAGCGACAACTTATTCCCTTCGTTCCCCCATGAAAACGATAAAATTCTCCCAACACCCCTAACCCCCCCCTGCCCTCCCCAGCCCTCTCACGGTGGTAAATGATGACAGTTTCCTTAAGCTCTCGTAATGCCCTGTGCCGATAGATCGTGATAAGCTTGAGCTCATGCATGCATCGTATGGTGACGATATTTTACATCGACCAAGTAAACGTTAACAAAATCTTTTTCTTGTTTAATAAATTTTCCTTATTGTTCGTAGGACGCCTGGCCAATGAACCAACATGAGCAATTCAAAAGGTACAAAATTTAAATCTTTAAGAACAAATATTCAAGTTTCTCAACAGAGAATTTAAAGAAATACAGTTCAAAGATCATGAATGCGTGATGAATTTACAACATGAGTGCACAGTTCGTTTTCGGAGAGGAAGGACCTGCCAGTGGTAATGCATATTTCTGTAAATCAAATGGAAACTACTTAGTATTCAAGTCACACTACCGAGGTAATACGTAACAAGTTTTGAATCCATAGCAACACAAGTAGTACTGATAGCTGCAAAAACATCGATTCGACATGAATTCAGTACGAATAGTTAAATAACGAAAGACTATTGTTAGTGAAAAAGGTTCAGGCTTAAAATAATGACTTAGTGCCTTAATTAAAAGTACTCTTGGAATAAGGTAGATTGTTCCTTTAAAACAAATCAATTTTAGCACATATATATCTATATTTCCACCTGCACTAGAAAACTTATTAAAAAGCACTCTAAGTTACTGCTTCTAAATTAGCTTTCCCACGAGTAAAAGCAAATCCCGAACTCACGCGGCACTTTCTTTACATTAGCTTGGACACTTTCACTCTTAAAAAATACTTGAGCAATCAATCAAGCACTTGTGTGATGACTGTCACAATAGCTAATACCGTTCTATTCAAGAAATTGGACACCGCTGTATTAAATAAACTTTAGGAAGTCCAAGAACAAAAGACCAATTTTAATAACACTCTCGATTCTGATAATTTCGAGTTAGTTCAACAAATTTCGATATATTTTGGTTTTTTCGAATCCGGTGTAATGTTTCAGATGACTCAAATAATGCTTAAAATCACCTGATCACTGTAAAAAGTTTTTCCATAGAAATTTTACTATGAATAACTGTTTTTCTTTTTAAGCTCTTTTTTAGGTAAATCTTTTTGCTAGCAACACATTCATGGTTGTCATGCAAAACTGGAATGTTTGACGTTTTGAATAAGTAATATAATCTAGTTATAAAGAAGACGGGCCATAAAGAGAAAGAAGCTTTCTATTCATTTTCCTTTTCGGGGGAGGTATTCCACAGGTAAGTCACGCAGTTTTTAAAAGTAGTTCCGCCGCGGAATCTCATAACTTGAGCAAATATACATGACATCAACTCTTTATTAACTTTTTAAGGTTTGGCACGTAACATGTTTCGAATGATAGCGTCGAACGTGGAACGATTATTACTATTGCTAAAAAGAGAAAATGAGACTGTCAATCAAATTGAAAAGCGAAGGTTTCTCTACTGGCTTTCGTCTTGTTAGTTAGAAATTTATCTTCAGTTGTACATAGCTAGGGCACTAGACTTTCACAGGCACGAAACATCATATCATTATCACTTTGTCGGGCATTGCGGCGAATTTTGCGGGCTAAGGTGGAGATTTTGGCATCTTAGCCAGTCTACAGACTGTTTTGTTGCAACTTTTTACTAAGTTTTTCTCTTATCAGTGCTAACTCTGCTAACTCCGCTAACTCGGCCCCAATTAGCACGAACCCCCAGATAACTCTAACAAAATCCCATCTCCATCGACCCCATTTTTTCAGTCACTTACTATCAGCTACCTCGAACCACCGCTAACTCGAACCATTTTTGTTTCCATTGGGAATTCGAGGGAGTGGGGATCTACTGTTATAGACCTTATGTTAACTCTAAGTCGGCCCAAAACAAATTTTTGGCCGTGTACATAAATTCTATCAGCTATTAGAACTCAATGACCCAATCGGACGCTTGACACGTTTAAACTTGCGCACTTGCAAGAATCAGTTTTTTCCAGAACTTTCGATGAATGGAAAAAAAAAAAAAAAAAAGATTACTGATTGTGAATGTGGGTGGGTAAAACCCAAACGCTGGCAAACAATTGCTCCAAAGGTAAACATTCCCTGCGAAAAAAACACGACGGCGACGGCAACGAGGTGGTGACAAAACAAAAGCTCTAATGAGCAGAACAAGAGCACAGCACGTGCGTTTTCAAACTTTGTGCATCTTTCTAGCATTCCTCTACAAAACAACAACGTGAAGTCACCGAAATATTTAAGTTTATGTGGAAAAAATCGCTGTTCACATACGTGATGCTGAAGTTAAGGTGTGGCACCGCAAACGACGGTCAACACATTCATGCAGCCATTTGTGTAATTTCAACTGAAAATGTAAATTATTTTTTTAATCGACGTACTGTTAAGCGTTGCAGTCCTGACTGCAAAAGATTCCTGTTATTGGTAATAAGTTTTAATTTAAACTGATTAATATTTCAGACATACGGAGAAGAACTTCATTTCGTAGCTTTCATCCGGGTTTTACTGGTGAGACTAGGTACATCATCAATAAATTATAGACAGTTTATATTCTCTTGTACATCCTGGAGAAATATTTTAAAAGAGCAAGAGAAAATTTCAAGACTGCCTCTAAAAGCTATTTCAAAACAATAGCTACATGTAATGACACACATTTACGTGGCGATCTAATTAATTAATAGTGGTAAGGCGTGGGGTTCCCAGGGAGCAGCCATTAGTAATCGCCTAAGGAGGAGGAGAAGGGGGGCTGGGAGACAGAGAGGGGGCGGAGTCATTCGTTGCTACCAGAGTATAAAGAAGGGAGTATAGAAAACTTTAATTTTAATTTACCCTTAAAAGAGTAACTCCCTCTCCCCACTTCCCTTCGTTAGGAGGCTTGGTTACAAAGGCTACAGTTTTCGTTATACCTTTATATTTTAAATTCTGTCGAACATATCAAGGGAAATTACCTTCATAGGGTTTAAGATTGGTATTTGCACATCACTACTATGGGAGGGAGGATCAACCACCACCACAGAAGGGGGGGGGTTACGAAAATTATAATCGCCAATAAGAGAGGAGGGGTGGGGGGGAAGAGCCAAAGCAAAGCCTTTAGAGGTTAAGGTAAATATCATTGTGACACAGCCAAACTCGTCCTCCCCTCACCCCCTCCCAACCCCCTTTTCAGGCGATAAATAATAACTGGTTCCTTATTTAACAAGGGGGTCATTAAGGGACGATATAATTTAAAGGGAGTGGGAATATAGAATTCATCTAACGAAAGCTCCTTCTCTTCTCTGTTCTCTTCGTATCTCTCTCTCCTCCTAAAGGGTCTTGATGGGGTTATCTGTCAACCATAAAACGGCGGAAAAAAATCACTGTTAGTAGTAAGATTGACAAATTTTAACCAACGATGGAAAGAAATCAACCGTAATCCGTAAATTGGCCAAAATTTTAATCTTTAGCCCATCACCCCATCGAGACCCTGTGAAATGACTCAAATATCTACAGCTCCATTTAGGCAGATTCAACTTCATACAACGTCAAGTCAGGAAAGTTACTTTTTTTTTGTAGGTTTTCATGACCACATGGCGGCTGTCAATGTTAGACTGATCTTGAGGCTTCTTGTGTCTATGGCATTCGCACTCACCATAATGACGCTAATACGATGCATAGAATTCGTCACAAAGTTTCCGAAGCAGTTTCAGTATAGGACTTTTTTCATCTTCAACCGTTCAAATATTCCCCAGAACCAAGGTGCATGCGTATTACCTATGGCTATCATCAACAAAAAGTCCCATTCAGATGGAGAGCTGGGTTGTGAAGTTCCTACATTGGATCCCTTCCTACCCGTTATTATGAAATCTCTCCAACCCAGAGAGCCAATCAAATGCAATGGCAGACTATATACAGAGTATGAAAATAACGTGTTAAGATTTCTTGATGACATCAGTGAAGGTTTGTCGTGGAGAAGTGTTTTAAGGATATTCTTTTTTTCGTCAATGTTAATATCCCTATATATATATATATATAAAAAAAGAATAAGCAACGTAACTTTCTTAAGTTAAATTAGTCCATCGTGCAAAAGTACCTTCAGCTCAAAGAGGTCTATAAAATTTTATTTCGATAAGATGAAAAAACACAACAGAGGCGATGATGAACCATGAAAGTTTGCACAGGATGAATACGATTTAACCCTGAATTTCCAGAACCATTTAATATTTGAGAACATCATCCAGCTAAATTATTCAAGCTTTACAGACAGCTAATGACGTATCACATCTAAGCGGCCAGGCGAGGAATGCCCCGCTATTAATAATTTGAAAAGTGATGGTGGTGGCGGTAGGAAGACAGTGATAGAGAGATAAAATCACCCGCGATTGTCTTCACGTTGTGTCTGTGCAAATTTGTACGACATACAGCGCACCAATGGATTCGTACCTTGACTTATGTATCCATGCATGGGCATGCTTTGTAACATGAAAGTTTCAAAAGTCCCCTTTTAAATTACCCCTTCCCCTTTCAACGGTACGGTTGTTATCGTGAATTGTTTTTCTCATCTTCTTTAGGGCATCAAGTTGATGAGGTCTATGCAGAACCTTTCATTCGTGTTTCTGACTTCAATGTAACACTGGGGGAGAAGAGATTCCTAGAGCTAACGAAGAAAGAGGTCAAAGTACCGATAAATAGTGACTTTTTAAAAGTGACAGTTCGTTTTAAAGATGGCTCTGAGCAGACAGATTTTCACGCCTCGATTTCAGAGATACCCGACGTCGCGCAGCGCAAAGAAACGCACGATGCACCCTTAAACATAATGGTCCTAGGATTAGACAGGACATCCTCAGCCCATTTTCAAAGAATGACACCAAAGACCTATGCTTTCTTAAAGGACCAATTAGATTCCATTATATTCAAGAGTTATTCAATAGTCGGGGAAAATACGGCACCAGCTATGTCTGCCTTCTTAACTGGCAAGTCACTGAAGGAAAACTGTGCATTCAAGGAAGCAAGGAAAGGTTTTAAAAATGCTGGACGCGTCGACGACTGGCCATTTATATTTAGCGATCTCAAAACCCTTGGAATTCCAACAATGTGGAGTGAAGATCAACCCACTATAGGTAAATCGTTTCCAAGGGGAAGTATTCTCCTGAAATTTAGTGATTTTATCTCCAATATTAAACATTTATGTGCGATTATGACTCTGGGCGCGTTTTCAACACCAAAAGACGCTCTAAGCTTGATGAAATTTGCTTTGGAAAATGGTAAAAATAATTCCTCATGCCGACATTTTGGATATGACCGCTTTCCTCTGCGTAACACTCTCACTTCTCTTTCCACAATCTGATGGCGATCTTTTGAAAAAAATTGGAACTAAAAAAGAAAGATTCAATTGACTAGAAAAAAATGAGGTTTCGCAATGAGTTTCTTAAACCTCTTAGCGTGGTTAAAATAATCTGGTGTTTGTGCGGCCTGGTTACTAGGCTGGTTACAAAATGCACGTGTCCATGGTCGAAATATTGGCTCAGGTTGTATGTCGAAAGGTTATGTAAATTTTTGTAGTCGAAGACCGCGGTAATTAATTTTGAATTTTTTACAAATATACTCCACGATGGCGAAGATTAGAATTGTGTGATTATTTCTTAACTAAACTTGGAGCAAATTTTGCCAGACATTATTTAGATACCATTTAAACAATATAATTTTTTTTGCTACGGTTTTATCCAAGCAAAGCAAAGAGCTCATGCAGTTTTTACATTTTTAGGAGCGTTTCATTTTCGACTGAAAGGATTCAACAAACAACCCACTGACCACTATGGAAGATCCCTGTGGTGGTTGTATGATGGTAGCCTCTGTAAGCACTCCCTTCCACAGTACAAGCTGCAACTGCAATATCTAAAGAGCTTCATAAAGTCCTATCCTGGAAAAAGAAAATTTGGTTTCGTATTTTTGTCAGACCTTTGCCATCGTTCGGCTAATCTTCTTAGTGCTGGGGATGACGGATTTTTGGAATTTTTTAAATCATTAAAGAATGAGAGTCTTCTTAATGACACTTTATTTATTACAATGGGTGACCACGGTCCTTACACATATGGTGCAATACGGGATAGTCCTCAGGGGAAACTTGAACATCGGCTTCCATTTCTTTCTTTGACTTTCCCTGCTTGGTTCAAACGCAGTTATCCAGTGCAAATGGCAGCACTAATCAGGAACTCCAGGATCATATCGTCACCGTTCGATCTTCACAAAACTATGAAGCATCTGTTAACGTTTCCGCAGAAAACTTTTGTCCAGACGGATACCATTGGTGAAAGCCTTTTTGAACCACTGCCAGATGACAGAGCTTGCGAAGATACCGGTATTCCAGAATTTTATTGTCCCTGTTTAAGTTTGCGATCCATTGACACTGCTCATGCTCATGTTCATCGAGCTGTTAAGGTGGCTGTGAAGCACATTAATGACATTTTGATGTCTCGCTCAATCTCGGCCAGGCTTTGTCATCAACTAGAGTTAAAGGCGATCTTTGAAGCTTACCAGAAAATGCCAAGTCGTGGCTCACCCAAAAACGTTCTAACAGATCACAGAAATACTTCGTGCAAGTACCAGATCAAGTTTCAAACGACACCTGGTGATGGTTTGTTTGAAGCACTCTTAAAAATGAACTCAACCGGAGGTTTTGAAATTTTAAATTACATCTCTCGAGTCAATACGTACGGAAATCAGTCAAGCTGTATTAGAGTACCATACATCAAACCATATTGTTTGTGCAGATAACGACTTTAGAAAATATGCGTTGGGACCTACGGACGGAGTTTTACCGCGGATTTTCTCCAATTTCCTCGCCAGTGGATCAAAAACATCGACGATATACACAATGGACAATTTTTCAAGGGAAGAAGCTATGCTCTTTCCTATATGTCTTCGAAAATACTGCGTCGTTTCTAGAGGCCGTCGATAGTAAACATCTACAGCCGGATTTTACCCAGAAACTGCAGTTTTGGAAATTCTGGAAAAGGGAGAGAATTCTCTGAGCAAAACGGGGAGTCCCTGAAGCGCGGGAAATTGCGAGTGACCTGGGCACGAATGGTTTTCATTGAGCATCTGATTGATTGAAAAGATCGTGCTTGAGTTTTTTGACCAATCACATTGAACAATAAAGTAAACGCATTGTCATTCAAAATAGCTTGGAAAATTAAATGAATTGAAAATTGCTCTAAAAGTGACTCTGTGTTTTACAACTATAAGACTACTCAGTAAATCCCGCTTGCTACATAATTTATTACTCTTTTCACAATGGACTTTATATACATTTCGTCAGCTGCGAAAATGATTTTCCAACTGTTGTGTGACCAATATTGTATGTCCCTGGAACGCACCCCAAAGTAAGAAAGTCGGAACTGAAATTTCAAAAAGAACACCCGTTGGATAAAATCAATTGGAAAGATTCACTTACGTCGTTGGCTTCGGCTTTCGAGAATTGAGTGGGTTTTACTCTACAATCTGTTCTGCAAGGAACAAGTTTCTAAATTGATGAAGAAACTCCCACCAATACTTTTTCCTTACTACAATTCGTTGTTGAAAGCTGTTTATTTTTCAAATAGATTCCATTTTGCTGTGTGTCTGTAGAGAAATGGGTTTCAAATGACAAAGTGGCACACGACACTCATGGCGACCCCGGACTATCCCATGAAATGATCATAAATTACATAGCATATTTTAAAGGAACAGCTTCAAATCACTCGCCAGAATTAGTGAAATCACTTTCCAGATTCCGCGATCTTGTAAATGTAATTAGTCACTGGTCCGCCAGTGCACAGCAAGGAGCCATGTGGACACTGAGGAGAGGGAACTCCATTGCTGCTGGTGTCACCTTCATAGCAGAGAGAAGATTCGCCATGTAAATTGTACCTCCCTGCGGCAACTTCATCGCTCCAACATGACCCTAGGCAAGAATTTTTAAAACAGTATGAGTAGTCTATGTTTAAGATCTCTGTAAAAATGGTTTAGATTTTCGACCACACCTCGTATTGATCGAAACTTTGGTTCTATTTCTAAAAAAATGCAGATATTATAAACGAAAACTTTTCAGAGGCCAGAGACGCACTTTTTTATCTGTCAGTATATGAATCAAACAAAAATCTGTTTAAAACATGTCTGTTTCTCTGCCTGTCTGTCTGTTATAAACTGCTTTTTAAGTTCATTATCCGCCAATTTGTCTAAACTATTTAATGTCCTCGAAAGTGGTCTGTTGTTATGTCTATCCGTGTTTATGTCTATTTATCATCGACTATTAACTGCTTACTAACCATGAGTTTAAAATGTTGGTTTATTAGTCTGACAGCCTTGTGTCTGTCTGTCCGTCTATCTGCATTTTCGTCTGTCTGACTGTCTATCTGCTGGTCTGTCTTTCCGCTGTCTGTGTACCCTCCTGTCTGTCCTCTGTCTGAGTACCCTCCTGTCCGTCCGCTCTCTTTGTACCCTACTGTGTGTCTGTCTAACAGCCTAGTTACCCATTTGTCGCCCTGTCTGGCTGCTTGGTTACCAATCTTTATTTGTGTGTCTACCGTTTCTCTGCCTGCCTGCTCACCCATCTACCTACTACCTGCGTATCCGTCCGTCTGTCTGTATCTTCAAACGCGTAATGCTTAAAAATAGTAAAAAAAAACTAATTTTTTAGTTTCCTCACCAAAATTGTTGACACCAAAGTGATCGTATCCCTTGGCCTTCGCATTACGGGCACAATTGCAGAGGAACATAGGAAAGTCATTTTTCCAGTCTTTCGGGTCTATCATATGCCCCGCAAACACTGAGCTGGATGGGTCCACCTCGTTGTAGATTTCTTCGCCCAAAGCTCGATCATTTCGCACCTCATTGAAGCAACCAACTGCCTCAATTTCAATCTCACATTTGTCGCTCTCTTAATGAGTAGACATAGGTGGATTGGAAGAAAAAGAGAGAAAAAGAAAAAATGGAGCGATTCGGTTTAGTTGTTTTGCACAATCAACATTCAAATAAATTAAATTGATTGAGTAAGATCGAACGTGAAAATTGAAAATAGACGTGAAAATATTGCGAGACTTTTCAATGAACCTGAAAGCCCAGGCAACGGTGAAGTACTCTAACAATATTTGATTATGGTTCAACCTTTTTAATACGACATGGGCACATGTGTGAAAAGCTTCTCGCTATATGGGATATGTGCAATGTTTCCTGAAATATGCGTTATGTTTCCTCACTAAAATATGCAAATAGATTTTAACTGCTAACAGACCACGAGTTCTGTCATTTCATTAGAAATTGAAATATTCTAGCAAACCCATCCTGCTCACTTATTTTATAGACATAGTTTGCAAAGTTTTGTCCGACACAGAATTTGCTGTAGCGCCGACACGGCTGATAACATTGGTCAGTGCAGGCCTTGTGTAGGCCATCGAAGGCAAACGTGTTATGACCATCGTCTCCACTCCAGCACTCCCCTGTTTTTAAACAGAAGAACAAATATACGCTTAAGAATTATATCCTTTCTACACAGAATGTACAGATTTTCAAAGAAAACGTATCCTGGAATAGAAAAGATCTTAGCAGACTGTACCCCTATCCAAGAGCATAAAGTTGCTTAAAAGAAGTCATTTCTTGGCTAAAAGCTGGGATGTAGGTAACTTTAGAGCGCTTTTCGATTGAGTGTCGTAAAAACCAAAACCAAAAAAATCACAACAACCAATCAGAGGGAAAAAAAACCTTTAACAGCAAACGAGAACTCGATGTAAAAACAACCAAACTGCCCATAGTGCGGGAAAACGCGGGCGACCAAGTTGTGTCTGGTTTTAGGTTTACTTCTTATTGGTTGAAAGAGTGGTGCGGGGTTTCTGGACCAATTATGGAGCGAAATAAAGCAGAACCAAAGATCGCGTTGTATCACGTTGACGGCTTGATATTTTAGAAGTTTCTAGATGCTGTACCCTTAATGGAATTTGAATAACTTACCGTAGAATTGCAAACCGAAGAAGGTCATGCCCTTTTCTTGTGCCTTCTTGGCACATCTGCAAGCCAAGTCTGGGAGATAAGTGTCCCAGTTCTTCCAGTCGATGAGCTTCCCGCTAAATTTTTTATGGAACACATCGCGATCGTTCATCAAGTAATTTGGCAGGGGTCGCGGGTTTCTGTGTCTGTCCCTGAAACAGCCAACCTTCTCGTATTGAAGGCTACATGTTGTGTCAACTAAAGAGAAGTTAAAGAATGTGATGCATTGAAACTGAAACACAAGATGGATGCCTGTGTGGGTCAATCTCAGTCCCTTTCGCGTCGGGCCTCGTTCGTCTACGCAAGAGGATATCACGTGACCTTTAGCGGTCAGGAATTAAGGTAACGCTGAGGCAGACATCTATTAAATAATAATTGATATTTCTGGTTAGAATTCAGCGAATGGCTGGAAAATGTGAAATGTCTCTTACGGCGCCGCACCTCAATTTAATCAAAATGTAAGTGAGCATCGTTGAGCAGTTCCAAAACTCAAGTAATTGGCCGTTGGGGTCTCCTTCCTCAAACCAAGCAAATGTTGATGATTTCACGTTGTTGTTTTGCAGAGAATAACTAAGAAATGTGCAAATACTCGTCATGAGCTATTCTTCTACCCCAACATTAGTTCTTTTGTTTTGCCGCGTCATCGTCCTCATCTTTACGGTCCCTCCTCCAAACTGTAACGCCAAAATAGACTAAATGCGAGGTAATCTACATACGCCAAAAACTCACCGATCTCGTAAACCATGTTGCTCCATTGTTTTCCTACGCAAAATCGATCGAATGCACCACAGGGTTTATAATCATCCCCTAAACATTTGTCTGCCTCTGCCCTACCCAGGGACATGTAGTCGTTACTTGATTTGTGTCCTGCCCAGCATTCGCCTTCAATACAAGAGATCAAAAAGATTAAATATTAATAACGAAGAATTAACGTTTGTTTTGTCAGATGAAGGAATGATTTTCAACGATATGAACTTGATTTCAAAATAATGAAAAATCAATCCAAGATTTCCTTCTCACCGTAGAATTGAACCCCAAACACATCGTAGCCTTGCTCCATCGCTTTTCTGGCACAGCGGCAAACAAATCCTGGCATGTATACATTCCAATTGAACCATTCAATTTTTCGACCACCATAGTTTTTTATTGAAGGGTCGCGTTCGTTTAAGATGTAGTTTGGCAACGTCCTCTTTGTCTGTAAACAGACAAATTAACAAACAAAATTTAAACAAATGCACATTACTTCGTTACTTACATCTAGATCTCTACTCGCCCACCAAAAATATAACACTCTCACCGAATCTTTGAAGCATCCAATGGTTTTAAAAGTCACGTCACATTCGATTCTGCAGATGTTGGTCGCTTCAGCTTCTAAACCTACCAATCATGGAAATATAAGTTAGATTACCATTTTTTCTATTTAATGTTTACTACTGAAAAAAAGCCCTTTATATCATTTGTGTATTTATTTGATGAAAACGGATCACAATTATTTATTGCGCACTTTATACTCTATTTGCGACCACTGATCGCCCCTCTGTCCCCTCTTTTAATTCCCCCAAAATCCCCCTCCCCCCTCCCCAGGCGGTTTATAATGAATGGCCCCTCATACTTAACTGTAAAAAATCCAGATGATCAAGATGGGTAGCATTCTGAAGGAATCTCTTTGGAGCCTCTAGTGATCTATTTGACGGTAGTAAATTCATAAACAGAGTTAGTTAAGTAAGAAATGCTTTTTTCGTTGATAGGCGATTCCAATGGATGGTGATGACGATGGGGGAGGGGGCTGTATGCATGGAAAGAAAAATTCCTTTTATTGAGGGGGCGTGAAGGGGGGAGATGGCTTTCAATCGCTTCATTCACGTCCTCTCTCCAGCACTTTGACGCCCAAATAACCGTCATTGTTAAGATCTCTCGAACAATCTCATCCCCTACACGATTTCATCCGTTATCCAGCCTTCTCTCGTGAAAAAAAATCATAAGGTAACCCATAGTATTTTCGTATCAGAAAAAAAAATCGGTTTGGAATTGCTCTAGAAATTACCCTAGAAAAGGAAATTGGTTTCAAACTGATATTTGTCATACAAATTCAATCCCTAGCTGGAAGTTTTTTCGGGTAAAAAATTTGGATCAGAGGAGGACAAGTTATAACTAGTAGCCTTCACCTGTTTGGATCTGAGTTTAATGGCCTCAAGCAAATGAAACTGTTTCTCAAATAACGTTAATGAGGCCACCTATTTGTAATGATGTCGAAAATATTTTTACAGCTATTTAGCATGCAAATAATTGTAAAAGAAAAATTGTGCCGACTGGTGCCACATTTTTTAATAAAAAATCGAAGTTATTTATATTAAGGTGACAAGAGCTATGCTAAGAAAGACACAATCGGAGAAAAACTCCGTTTAAAAACTTCCGATATGAATGCAAATAGCTCAGTTAATACTTCAAGTTTTTCTTACGATTGATTGCATCATGTAATACATTAGTTTACCTTCGTAAAATATGATGTTATTGGCTGATTATTGAGGCACAGAAGTCCGTTATATTTATTATTTATACAGCATAAGTATCCAATTACTTGTGTATCGAGACAACTGCAAGTAGATGAATACGTAGTTAAAAATGTTAACACCGATCTATTTAATAAAAAAAAAGCTTAAAGCCTAATTTCAGTTGTTCAATTTGGAATGTTCCCAAGGTTACTAGCTATTGAATGGTAAAAATGAGGAAATATGTCAATACACTGGCTATTGCCCGTGCACAAATGAGTTTTTTTTTTTTCAAATCGTTCTAACATTTGCGCCCTGTACATATTGAATTAATTGCTCTCGAATTCTTCTGAAAGGTTACCATAGAATATCATCATCCATTGCTGGATATTTTTCTCTTTGACCTTTCTGCCTTCTTCGCCCAAATCTTCGCAGAATGCAAGTTATAATATTTTCTTTACCTTTACAATAACTCTCCTGTGGTACACAAACTCATTTCTATCCCACACTCGTCAAATGGGAAGGTTTGCACAGTATCAGAATGAACAAAGGTTTCAGTAGATGATGACAGCGATCTCCTTTTACAATCTATTTTTACGTTCAGCTTCCTACCATTTTATTCAGTTACAATACACAGTATCTTCGTGGACAAATAGCTCTTTGTGGTATATTGGTGTGCATTGCGTGCATATCTTGTTTTTCGCGTCCGCCCCCCCATTTTATTTAGGTACAAACACGGTATCATCGCGTGCAAAAAGTTCTTTTCGGTTTACTGGCTTTGCGTTGTGTTCATTGTAAAAACTTCACTTAATTCTCAAAATTTTAATATATCGAAGGCAAACTTACCTCCTGGTCTTGAGCGCCAACAAAACACGCCTTAAAACTAAAAAGCGTAGCAATCGGTTTTTCCAAGTAATGACAACCACATCTATCACCGTTCCAGTAATAGGTTGCAAATCTGGTTGAGTATCTTGTACACATTTATTTGACCAGCTGAATCATCTTTGTGCCTCGGGGAGCCAATGAAAACTCGAATCGAAAACATGTGAATTTATGTGCACGGGAAAACGCCAGTGAAGAAGTCACAAATTGTTCTAATTAAGCATCTGACTGTGGTTTAAGTGGCATCGCTAAATCTCTGGACCAATCACAGAAAGCCTATTGAAGTAAAATCATTGCATTCTCAAATTAAGTTCGACACTTAGGAGTTAAAATCTGGTTCCTTTTTGTTTTTTTGTTTTTTGGGCTGCACCAAGGCATCAGTGGAAATTAAGGTTTTTAGTATCACGGGATACCTCAACAGGAGTAAGTTAAACAAACTGCATTTATCATATAAACTGCGATGATTTACAGGTATTTCCAGCCTGGAGGAGAGTCGTAACGGAACAAGCGTAAAATTACGATAATTGTTTACGTGTGTTTGATATCACCAATCAGCTGCTGACACGTCATTCGCCTTTCGCGCCACCCTGTCAGGTTGATAAATGAATGGCAAAGCGTTCACCATTCTCAATCGAAGATCGTTTGTAGAATTTCCCTGTTAGTAAGGGCCTATGGTGTTTATATCATGAACAAAACAATACATGGTTGCTCTTAGATATTGAATTTCTCCTCTCGTGTTCAACTCGATATCCCACCCGTTCGCTGTTCTCACTCGTGACATATCCAATTGAACACTCGAAGAGAAACTCCATAGCTACGCTTGCCCGTGTATAATCCTTTAAGCACTTACTGGTTTCCAAGTTCTTTATATTTCACGTTGCTGAAGCTTTTTTTCGATACTCTAGGCTGTTTAGAGAAAGAATCTTCTCGCTCAATGAGCTCTAAACTTAGGGCCTTATATCCTACGATGATGCCGTGTAAGCATGCGTCTAGTACCCGAAAAGTCCGGGTAATAGACGTCTTTTCCTCGTGCACCAACAAAGATTACAAAGCTGACTTTGCCTACCCTATTGTTGGGCTATTAGCAGAAAGAGGTAAACTCACTGCGCTAAGCCAGAGGTTCTGAGAGTTTGCGCCTCGAAGGGATTTATTTTCGAACTTACTGTGCAGCCAACAGCTGCTGCAACTGTAACTGCTGACGGTTTTATCGTTCAAAGTCCGCCACGGATAAATTATTGACAAATTTTCGTTTAAAATTCTCCTGATCTCACATGACTAGAGCCGATACTTCCGAGACTTAAAGGGGAAGGCAATAAGACAAACAATTGAGATTTATGTAGACAACCACCTCGAAAAGCAAATAATCCTTGACAAACCCTTGGGAAAGAATTAGAAAATGATTTATTGCGATAGTACAATTGTATATTTTTGGTTAGTCCTGGCCAAGGTCAGCATCATAAATTCCCAAAGATATAAACTGTGGTGACTAATAGACCTTGAAATAAAAACAATTGATTAAAATACCAAAACATGACATTTTTAGAAATCCGTTGCATGAGCTCTGCGTCCTCTTTCTGCGCCGTGAAAAAAGCATCATATCGTCACCGACAGAAACCACTATAAAAAAAAGAGCAAAAATTCAATTAAGTGTAAGAAAATAAAGGAAAGAAAAAAAAGGAACGAGGTCAGATGAGGACGTATGGGATTCACATGGATTTCAAGAGGGACTCAATGGTGACAACCGTTACCTGTAAAACGCCATAAAGGCGTAGTCTTTGGACGTAAAAGTTGACATCTTACTGGAGGTCGTAAAGAAAGTAAACTCAAAAAAAATTAATTAACCGTCAGTCGTATAATTGGCAAAATCTGCACCGTTAGCTGATAAAAGCCATCATCTCATTGAGATCCTCTTGCAAATGTAAAACTTGAATAACTCGAGCTTAATTCTTTAGCTGCTGCTATCAAAACCTTAAACATAACAGGCGTAAATACTTCAAGATTATTGACCTTGACTGGACCACGTCTAAGTCAAACACCGAATATTATTATTATTATAAGATCATAATTTTACTTGAGTGACCCCGTGGATATTGACTAGTCGGAGCAAAACAAAAAAAAACAGCTCCCTTCACATTTTTATTTTTTTTGTAAGCGGAAATCAAGTGAACCTAATCTCATTTTCATGGGCGCGGCTTCTGAAGAAGACTTTGACATCCATAATCAGAAAGCGATATTTTGAGCTGATTCTAGAAGTCTCGAAAAAAAAAAACTTTTCCAATTACCTGATATGGCACTGTGCATAAAAATTAGTTACATGACCGTAACGGAATCTTCGATTACAGTAGAATCATCTTGATTCGTTCGTATTCACCGATGGTGATAATAAAGAAACCTAAACAATTAAGATGTTTGTGCCATTCGCTATCTTTAAGGGCGTTGCAAAGATTGGGGGTTTTCACAAGGCTTGTAACCCCCCTCTGTCATGGGATAGAAATTAATAATTTATAATAACAGAACATTTCAGTATGTTTATGTTGAGCAATTCTGCTGTCTCCTTTGCTTGCCTGGAATTTGTTGCCAAGACTTCTAACTATGCGACTAAATCAGAGACCATTTTTAGACGAATTTCTCCACGCTTCGACAAAAAATCCAGAACAGTATTGTGAAGCATTTTATTTTCTGCAGACAGACACTACATTATTGAATGAACAGTACAGAGACGTTCTGTAGAAATCATAACAAGATTGGCACTGAATCTGAGCTTCGATGATCAACTATGAAAACCTCGTCTTTGAGGGTTACAATTATTTATTAGCTAACAGCTATAGCTAGCGCTCAAAAACAAATTTCATCACAAGGTCTAGCGGTAAATTCATACTTTCCACTGACAACAAATTATGTATGCAGCCACAAAATTTCGCAACACATCATCAATATTGATGTACTTTCCTTCTAAAACTGATAAAGATTTATAAAAGTGTTCTAGCAAAGTCATTTTTTAAAATAGCATTTAGATTACATCATTCCTTTTAATCGACCGCAAGACATAAACGCATGATAATTTTCTTTGGAAACACAACTAGGGCACAGAAGCCCAAGTAAACGTTGAGAAAATGATTCATCAAACTTACCAATGCTAATGTGAACTCTAAGTGTAAATTTAAAATTTTGAATAAATTAGGTACAAAACTCAATTATCCATTTTATGTTGTTGTACCAATAAAAGCTTAAAAATGATTTACTTGACGGTGATAAATCATGTCATTAAAAGCAGGATATGTCAATATGCGATTTTGTCATCGAAGTGCAAAGTTCAGTTCACCGGTTCTGCTTCCTATCGATCTTTTGCTAAAATGTAAACATTTTCCATCTGTTCCTGAAGCTTCTTTCATCTCCCACGAATTGGTTCGAAATTCAACTCCATCCACTGAGATCCAGTTTCGTCACCGTTGTGAAATGCGTTTACCCACGCTTCATCTGATGGCCAAATATGGTCACGATTCCACAGCAATATCAACGTAGACTCGAAATGAAAACTCGTTTCAATTCAGACCCATGCTTCTTCCTGTTGGGCCAGCTGATCCCTCATTTGCTTCTGGTACAACGCTAAAAGTTCATTCCATCGATTGTTGCTCTGTTGATCGAACATTTCCAAGCTGTCGCTTCGGCTTCTTAGTCTTTCCAATTGATGCGACAGGATATTCACTCCGGTGCGAATCAGCATCGAATTCACGTCGTTAAAACTTCTTGTCAAAGTTTGAGTCGCTTTTAGAGGCAAGCGCTTGTTCACCGAAACGCTTCTTGAACGTAACATTCTCACTCGCCGATCGAAGGACCTCATTCCTGAAACATCCCGGGGCCTCCTGATCATAGAGTCGGGAGAGAAATAAATAACTTCCTCCAAATCCGTTGACCAATGCACTTTTTTTCGTTCTGCTAACGGCATTTTCTTCTCAATCAGAGAAAGTCTGGAAGGCCTACCCGGCAAGGATAATGATCTTCTTGACATTTTAGCGAAACAATTTCCCCGCTGATTCTCACTGATCTTCGTTCGCGACGCGTCTGCGCTCGTCAACTGGGCACGCCGTAGTTTGTTCTCTGTTTATCAGCAACGGAGCTGCTTTTAATAAGCCGTAATCTGCCTAATTTCCATTGGCTCGTGTGTGGTTGGCGTATCACAAATCGGCTCGCCCCCAAGCGCTAAAAATAGTATTGTTAACTTCCCGCAGGAAAAGAATCACGCTTCTGTTTTTTTTAAGTTATCAAGTCTCGTTTTACAATGCTTTATATTGAGATTAGAAGAGAAAAATAAATATTCTGTTACTTTCAATAACAATTAACTCCCTCTGATTAAATATGTGAACCGTTTTGTATTCTTGCACTCGTCAAATTCTACAGACGTTAAATACATCGATAGCTCAATTCGTCTCCCACATTCATATATTGACGATATACTTTTTATTCAGGAAAATAAGAAAAAAACGGGCTAAGAAATATAGAGTGTGGATCAACATTTATTTTCTCAAAAGCCAGGATAAAAGATCTAATACGGCCTTATAATCGTGACACATCAGAAACATCTCTTGATCTTATCGCTCAAAAAAGTAAATACGCCGCGGTTGCCACTGCAATGAAAAATTCATGAATAACAAAAATATTATTCGTTGGCGTGGTTTCGGCATTTTAGCCACGAAAATTCAAGCAAAGTCACGTATAAGCGAACCACCCCAAAAAACCAATCATTCTGGAATTATCAACCAACAGACTAACGTATGAGTCATCAATGCACGTGGCGTAAATGGAAATACATTCTCTTTAAATGTGATAATTATGGAATCAGATGTTTGCATAGTCACGTTTTTGAAAAGAATAGTAAGTTTTGCTCTTTAAAAAAATCGAATTATAACCTTTTCTTGGGAAAGTTAAGCCTTATTCTGATTTCAAAGCTTTTATTATATCATTGAGTCAATGCATCTTTGCTCCTTCTGCACGCCTTTCAAATCGATCGTTCCTAATCAATTCTTTTAGGTCCTTTTATGGTCTCCAAACAAAAACAGCCCAACCATTTTATGACACTGCACTTCCTTAAACGCGTTTGGGGAGCCAAGGCGCCACCTATGCATACCTATTGAAAGAAAAAATATATATTTATTACTCGAAATAACACGGAGTTAAACCATAAACAAAATGAAAGGAAACTCGATTCTTTACACATGGATGCGAGTCAAGACTTCCTGTTTATTCTGTGCATATATCAGGTGTCGTTTATCTGCATATATTTTCTTAATTTCGATGTTCTTTTGGAGAGGTGTATGTCCGCGGCAAGTTTTTTTCGCCAGCCTTTCCGCTCTTTAAACCAACTGCAGCAAAAATTACATTTTCAAGTTGGCATGGCTGTATTTCTATTATAGGATTTGTGCAAAAGGTGCCTCAAAATAAAGAGACTTCAATTTATCATTGGATCACGTCACCGGAGGAAACGCTGAGCAGTCCACGCTGCAACAAGAGACAGTGAGAACCGTGCCACAAAGCTTTATTCTATTGTGTCTTCTTCTGAATTTTCTAGTAATGCCTTTTGAAGTGCTGCTTCAACCCACTCTAGTCTCAGTTGATCACGTTTGCACGTGTTGTCTTTAAAATGCCACGTGCTTATGTATTATAGCCTCCTTGAAGACATGTTTGGTTTAGACCGACGTCACCCATCTTTAAAGGTCGAAGAAATAATTGGACGTAACCGCAAACCCAATCCTAGAAGTATCAGGAGAATTCGTTCTTATGATACAGCAGGTGTGATACGAGCGCGCAGATCAATATGTTGCGTTGACAACGAACCGTGGGCTCCATCTTACGTACACTGAATGTTATATGATTGACAGGGGTGGTCAAAGAACCTCCGCACTTCTCGCAAACTGAAACACTCATTTGCCTGGTTTCTTTGCCTGCGTCTCTGTTGGCTCATTTTGTTGTCGAGTTCCAGCCTGCCTTAACAAATTAGCCGCAAAAAAGGGAAAAAAAGCGTTTAACAAAGAAACCCTGCCACTGCAAGGCAAACATCTTGTGAGAAGCTGCGGAATAGCCTCTGTGACCCAAACAGACGCGTTATGACAAAAAAATTGTACAATGCATAATGTGTAATTAATTCTCTCTGTGATTGGTCTGGATAAACTTCCGCCACTGTCTTATCCAATAGGGTAGAAGCGACTTGGTCTCCTGCGTTTTCCCCCGCTTCAGTCAGTTTACCTGCTTCTGCTTTGAGTTCTCAATGTCTGCTTGTGATATTTTTTTTGTTCTACTCAGTCGTTTTGATTACTACATTTCGAAAAGCATTTTAAACTCTGGCAAGAGACGGTTAAGCTAAGAGATATCGTCATCACCCCAGGAGTGAGAACGCCGAAATTTCTCTTTGCAATCATGATATCAGAACAATATCAAGCAGATAGCAGATGGAATGTAGAAAAACAAAACAAATAGAAGGTTTAAGTTAATTTCACACCAATTCTAAAAATTAAAGTTAATTTAAAGGTATTACAGACGATAAGGAAAATCAGTCTTGAGATCTTGGAGTTGAAAGGGTTATTTTAAGATCACTCTCATTTTCCGAGATGCCAGGAGAACATGAATTCTCGTGTCTCAAATTTTGCCCACAAATCCATAAATACTCTTTTTATTTAAGATATTAGTTTTAGAGCGTACACGTCATATATTAATCAAAAAGCGTGATGGTAGGCAAAGGCAATCGATTAATTTCAATAATTCGTCAGTTTTTTCTAGCATTCTTCGAAGCAATTTTGAATAATAATCTTTTTTTTATTCGTTGGGCTCTTATTAGCATTGATGAAAACTAGAAAAAGGACTATGAATGCATATTTTCATAGAAAACAGTTTCTGTCACCATGATGGAAGTCTTAGGTTGTGATCTTTCACTTTATCGTGTTAATACTACACTTTGATTAGGGCCAGACAGCATTTTCTATTAGTTTACCGGCGTAAAACTGAAAGAACACGAAAAAACTGTGGTATGAATCACAAGGCTCACAAAAGTCAGTTTTCCAACAAGTTATTAGCTCACCAAACGAAATTTTTTTATTAGTCAGGGAGATACATGACGTACATTATTAAATTTTGAATAACTGAGATATTTCTTGCACTTAGACATTCTTGGACAAACATCTTAAAGCCATTTACATTATTTTTTTGCGTTTGCAAAAGCTAGGGTTGAATAAATTATGCTTTAAGATTTGAGCAATACACTTTTGAGGGTCGTCCCCTGAAAATATGGCATTATGCCGAAAACTATGCTCAAAATTTTTCCTCATGTCCAATCAAAAATAATAATAACAATAATAATAGTCTTTATTAATTCATAAGATAAAACTGCATGTCTTATTTTACAAAACTTCCCATTTAGAACTAAGTTATATTTTACGTCCTAATTACAAATCTAAATTATTTTTTAATATTTACAAAATTCCAGTTACAAAGTTAGGTCATACCTAAAACTAAGGCGATTAAAATAGGAGTCCTTCACTCGATCTGCGTTTAAGTTTGCCGGTGACAAGGTTTGTGTTACTCTGGGCTCAATTTACTAATTCAAAATAATAGCTTTTAAGTGTCGTTCAACCTATCTGCTCCCCACCAATCTAATTTCGGTAAAGAAGGTTCAATGTTAACATTTTTATCTCAGTCTTGTTGAAGGAATCGCCGAATTTTTTTAACGTTCATTCATTATACCGGCATCATGCTCCATGTTCTGACTTCAGCATTTATCTGCCCAAAATTATGCCGCCATAATTTATCTGACCCTAACAAAAGCAATAAAATGTATACCTTTTATTAGTTTATTCCAATAATAACATGAGTTCTGTTGCGATCTCTTATTTAAATCTTGCTAAACTTGTGTCATAATAACACGTTTCGATGACAGCCCTTCAAATTATTAATTCGAAAGAAGGCAACTTGATCACCAATTCGTTATGGAAGCAAGAGAAACGCGCACTGGGCAAAAGTTCCAGGGTCGCAAGCGAAGAGTGAACACGGAATTTTTTTAGCGGAAGTCGCATTCTACAGTTACCATCTAATTTACAAGTAACTTGAACACAAGGTAGTCACAAAAAACCCTCAACTAAGAAATGATAAATAAAAACCTCAATTTTCCAGCATTTTGAGAAATGAAAATATAGCGACAGGTAAATGTTAATTAGGGAAGGCGATTTGCAATTAATTATCTAAGGGTGTAGGTGGGTGCTTTTCAATGAGGAGACGTTTTGTGGAGTTTCCGCAGGATGTAATTTCTTCTTAGAAAAATAAGGACATGAATGTCATCTAAAAATAGAATTATGATGTAATTTTTTTGAGTTCGAAGGACAAAACGCGCGAAATTTCTGCGAAATAAAGAATAAAATGTCTGAAATTTTTACGAATATCATGCAAACACAACGAAAATATTTCACACAGACAGAAGAAGAGAAGCCTATTGGAGATATTCCTTGCACAAAAAAGCATAAAGTTTAATAATATCCGGACTTTGTTTCAAAATGAAGCCTGCGCCGATGGGAATCTGAATAAAAGTAGTTCAAATGTCGGTATAACAGATCAAGATATAACTGTCCATAAGAGGACTTTTCAAGGTGTGAAGTGGTCGGTAACTGTAAAGAATCAAGACTTGCTATTAACATTTGCTATTATGAGCGCTTTTAATAGTAACGCCTGTTTCCAAGAAAGGATGAACACATATGCAAAACGGAAGAGTTAGGCCAATCGCATATCGCTCTAAAATTAAAGTTGAAAATTATGCGAACTTTAACCGATGTACTACAGCAACAATAATTAAATATAAGCTGTTTCTCTAAGATGCGGGTAAAGTCGTATTAAGTGAGTAAGCCAGATATAAGCCAGCCGTATAATTTTGTAAGATAAAAGTTTTATTTTGACGGAACAAAAAATAAAACAATTTTTTTCGGTAATGTCAAAATTTAAAGTTCATTTGTGCATGTTAAGTTGCATGTCTTTATTTGTGGGCGCTATGCTAACGTCATTACTACGATGTCTTCCGGTGACCGAGCAGGTGCAAAGGAAGAACTCTCAATGGTCCTATCCGTGTTTTTAAAATTATTTGTCCGTTATTTGTGGCGAGAACAAACGATCTGTCTTCAAAAAGCCATTCACTAAGATTGTTTATTTATAGCATCCAATAGGATTTGAGTAACATAGTGGACGTACGATTGAAACCTAAACCGCTGTGCTTACATTTAAAAGTGATCGATCGTATTGATGTATATTTAGTCCCTCGGCGATCACCTAACAGTTGAAGCCCTACTTAGCAAACTCTCATTTCAAAAGACGATTATCAATCACAATGGAGTTATCAAAGCAAGAGGCCGAAGAACTTCAAAGCAAGGAACAAGAGGATGATTTTTCAGAGAAGCCCAGAAAAGTTCGATGGTCACTCGAGCTGGAAGAGGTACACTATTTTGTTCCATTGCCGCAAAAGAAAGACAGCCGATGGAAGAAGACTATTAAGTGCATCAAAGAAAAGGCGCTTGATTGGAAACACAACCCGCTCATGATGCTTGGAGACCTACATGATCGTAATAACTTGCACCTTCTTCACAATGGTCTTGTATTTCTGACAAGAAAGGTGAACAACCGTTCAGATAAGGTGGATTGTGAAGACATCCACGACATCAACAAATACTGGGATGAATTGTTTGAACTGTATTCAACGCGCGAAGTGGTGTCTTGCGACGACAATGACAGGCGGAACTCCAAGTTCGCCTGAAAACGTTGCTGGTTGAAGGCGTATGAATTGAGAATTTATGAAAGTTGTGACTAAGCAAACCTTGCGAAGCTGACGTTTGGCTTTTGTGGAAAAGAAGAAAAAAAAAGGAGAAGAAGTATTTTAATCGAGAAACAGAACAGAAACTTTGATAAAAAAAAGACGTCAGTGTCAGTGTTTTGAATGTCACGAAGAACTGCACGTGACAGAAATTGAACGTTTGAATTTTAACATGAACGCCCTCAGGAGATTTTCAAACGGCTTTCGGTCTGCAAAAAAGGATCGATAAAAATATCATTACGTTAAGTAAAGAACACGTCGAGAGCTGAAAATAAGAGAGTTGAAAAAAGACCGTTTAGGTTTGTTTCGAAAAGATGTTCCACTAATTATTTTTTTTTTTATATATATTAACACACACTTAAATATCTCAGTTCGAATATTTTGAAAATGTAATCTCTGTTGCTCAACAACCGCAGTGATATGCAATATTTCTCGTGGTTTACCCTAATACTCCCATGTAAAAACTGAACTTTTCGAATGAAAATAAATCTTGGGATTTTTTTAATCTCGCAGTGTTATATAGTTACTGAGAGAATTTATAATACGGAATTTTAAAATTTGTTTATGTTGCAAACGTCTCCAGCTAAGTGTAGTACGTTACATATCCAATTATAAACTGTTTTCAAATCCCCATTTCTTTGTCTAATTGATGAAAACGGCCCCTGAAGTTTCACACAGCTTTCAATGAGTTTGTTTTGATTAAAGAAGAAAATAAATAACATGTTTTTTTAAACTTTGAACCCTAGTGAATATGCCCTAAATTTCAAAACATTCCTGGAGTCAAAACATTATAAGCGAAACTAACAGCAGAGTTTGTTAGCTTACACCGTTTGAGCGTAAGCCGGGCAGTAAACTGCCGCCGGTATTTTCAAGCCTTACAGCATCAACAAGCCTAGAACAACATTTAAGGATTATCATTTTTTTAATTTCAATCTCAAAAAACATCTCTCCGGCTGCCTAACTGTTGAGGAAATTTAAGTTTTTTTAATATGTTATTAAAACTGTTTTGTCGGTCACGCACAATTCTGCTATCGTATGTTTTGTAACTATATTCTCATACCGTCGACCAATGTTATCATTTCATAAGCAGCTTCTATTCTGCTGTCTTAACCATTAATTTCATCGGTTATTTCGTTGGAAAAGAATAATGAAAAGTTTCTTGAAAAGTAGCTCGAAAACAAAGTCGGTTGTTGTATCTCAGTCGATTATGAAGAACTCCGTGAAAATTTCTTCTCGATCTTACCGCCTATCGTAAATGAAGAAAACTGGAATTAATTATGGAATTCAACAGTGTAGCCATAAACACATAAATTCTGAGTGGAAAAATTAGCACATGAAGAAATTTTCCTCGGCAAGAAATGGTGAGGTTTAGTATAGCCTGCACGTGCATTAATCGAAAAAGGCACGTGATTGAAAATTCAATTTTACTGTTGCTGTAATTAAGACCAGCTAAAGAATTTAAGATGCACCCATAAAACTCGAGGCAACGTCGAAATTGAAATTCATTTCATGCTACATTAAAATTTTTTGCAAATTTGCACATTACCAAAGTGGTTCGAATTTGTTTGTATGAACCGATGAACCGACCAAACTTTCGTAGCAGTGTTAACGGCCTAACGTCAGTATTTTTCGTGATAAAAACAAAGGCAAATTTTCAAAGAAAGTTATACAAAACTTGAAAATTTTACAATATTTAGGGGATTTGTACCTGCCTAGATATGTTGTTTTCCTGACATTAATTAATTTAATCATTACGAATAAAACTTTTCGGAACTGTCAGTTAGGGTGAAAAAAGAGTAAACACACTTTAATCAAACTGAATCTATTTTAGATCATAAGTGAGAAGGGCGCAGATGATCATTTTAATTCAAACCTTAATCGAACCAAAATCTTCCCCAGTCGTAAGCTTGTGGTCTTGCATAACGGGGTGGGGCCAATGGGCTATATATATATATTTTTTCAAAATTTTACCCTCTGAAAAGTATATTCAAACGCAAATGCACCTCAACTTTTTAATTATCTTTTGTGACTTTCTGGTTTTCAACTAATTAATTTGAGGCTCTCTCGTAGAATGTCTCAACACCGCTATTTTGGATGTTTTCATTGTTATTATATTTTTTTTAAGAAAAAAGAAAAAAAAAAAGCAAGATTAAAACGTTAGATATTATATCGTAAAGGAATCGGCGCATCTTACATTGCCCGAGTTTCAAACCACCGTTTATTTCCAAAAACATCTTTCCTTGTAATTACCTTTTACTTGTTGCCGAAATAATGGAATGAGTCGGCCATAAGAGTCAATTTTTATGCAGACTTATTTTTAAATGTTAATTTCATTTTTTCACCATACAGAGGAAATTGTTAATTGAAGTCACAAATGCGAAGCAAGCGACATTTTCATCCTGACAATTTTTTTTTCTTTTTATTCATTAAGTCTTGAATTTGCAGCGGGGAACTTTTCCGCCACTGACATTTTATTTATGTGTTACTCGTCTCAAAACTATTTTTAAGCGCGATTTGCAATCATCACAAGTTACGTAAGTGCCAGGTTGTGATGAACTCAACCGTTCACGTGCAAGTTGCAGAAGTTACATAACTGCCACAGCTCCTGTCCTCCTAACAAAACGGCCGCCACGCCAAAACGAATTTTGAAATGAAAAAACATACGTTATCCTGAAAAAAGATGAGACAAAATTTGTATCTTGATTCCTATCGGGCACATCTTAGTATCAGTATGAAGCGACAGAAGAGAAATATTGAGAATTAATTTGTTTTCGAGGTCATTTTCTTTTTAATATGAGAAAATGATGTGCTCGCTTTCAAGAAACTGATCCATCGAGAATTTACTTGAGACAGTAAGCGTTCACGTGCCGAACATCAAAGCCATTTTAATATCCTGAAATTAATGGATTGAGTCTGCTACTGATCGTGATATACGTAAAAAGGAAGCGAGTCACCTTGACGCGAATTGACAAACAGACAATAACTATCTGAGAAACAGCCTAGAATTTTTAATCCTTGCAAGGGAAATCAATTTAACTAATATTGCATAATAGTGTTTCGTGAATAGCTGTCAGTCACACTACCATGTGCGAGATACTTAAGAGAGAAAAATATTTTTGAAATGAGTTGCAAATCATTTGAAACTCAGAGCTGGGAAGGAGAATATCTTTAACGTGAGCTGACAATGCACTTTATGACGCTTATAACTGAGACAGTTAAGGTTTGAGTGGTTTGAAGAAGGGAGTCGAAACGTGTTTAAAATGGCTATCTAAGACGATACTTTTCAATTCGATTTTCCATTTTAAAGCAATATTCGATACTTCTGTTCCTTTCTGTTAAAATATTTACCCAAATTCGGGCCGGCAAATGGACAAAAACGTACTGTACACACATAATTCAATTTAAGCTTTTATATTCACTAATTTTTCCATTAATGTGCTTGTACAAAAGATCAATACATTTAGATGGAGAAACCATCTAACTGTACGGATGTCCTAGCACTTTGTTGATGAAATCTGTCTTTGATTCTCTTTAATGCACGCAAAACTTTAGATAAAATCGCAGTTTGACGATCAGCTGGTTTCGGTCTTACGGTTATTTATACATGACTATGAAAAGCCAGATTGTTTTTACTCTGATGTTTTTCAACTCTTTTTAATTCGAAATTACCTATTTATGTGTTTGTTCGTGTTTGGCCAAATTTTCGAACGATCAAAATAAGGTATTGCGTAATTTTAGCGTCAAGTACCAGTGACACTTCTCTGTCCACTTTTCCGTGTATCTATCACGCCTGACCAACAACCAACAATAATTGATAGACTGAAAATGTCAAAAAAGGTTGTTCTTTTACTTCGCACAAAATCCAAGCGCACACTTAAGTCTGCTATGAAAGAGCAAAGTTCAATTGAGTTGTTTTACCAAAAGGCATTAACGTGAACCATTCACATCATTGAGTCTGAACCAAACAGCTACTTCTCCCGTAAAATGAAACCAAATATCTTGTTTGACACCTTTGTTATAAACCATGATGTATGGCTGAATGTTTTTGCATAAAATAGAAAAAAATATATATATAAAATGCCTTTTCGCGTAGGAAGTTTTCCAAATGGTGAAGATGACAAAGGAAAAAAGTTTTGGACAAACCTGAATTTTTCCCAAATATTAAACCAAATTGTCAAAGGCGGCTGGTTTGACGACAATTATATAAACACGTGTGCTTTTCTGGTGAGAGCCAAACTACACCTTGCAGATAGATGTTCACTGGGCCGGCTTCACTCACCAATTTATAATGCCCTACTTGTATCATTTTCATCAGTTTTATTATCAAAAAATCGTGTTCTTGGAACGTGAAGACGCCTCATGCAACGAGCACACAGTTCCTGTTATGTAACGATCAGCTCTCACCTAATCTTCTCTTTAAATTATATTTGTTGTTTCCACTACCGTCAATTACCTAAGGGTGGCTATTTTGAATCTCCGTCAAACCACACGTACTTCGATTTGTTTATGCTTTGAAGAAATCTATCGTTTCTGAAAGCAAATCAACCTCCTACTGGTAAATCACGAATGTCTCCGGTACAGTTGACTTTTCGAAGGGAAATTCTCATCATTCATTACCGATGAGCCAATTAGAAATTAGCCAGTTGAAATCAAGCTTAATTGAAAATCAGGGAGATTATAACTTTGCCGAAAATCGATCTGTAAAACACCGCACGAGACCAAATTTATCAACAAAACATTCACCCTCTGATTGTGGGAAAGACCCAAAACTTCTTTGATTTACCTCATTGTCTAACATTCTACTAAAGGTTAACCGCAAAGAAATTGTAAATGTCTACGAGCTCTTCGTAATGAAGAGTCTCCAAACCTCTTTCAATTATTGGCTATTAAAAATTTAAGAGTGCAGCTGCAACTCTCCATTACATAACTGTATGACCACTCGT